CACTATCGGTGGCGAGTCGACCTTTAATGGGTCGGTTCATCATCCCAACAAAGATTGTACTGACCTGCGGCAGCAGGTCTCGCTGCATCCTCGCTCATGATCGGCGCCAGATCAACCTCAGTGTCCCAGCACATGTTGAATGCTGGCCAAGATCAACAATGGGCAATCATACAGCGATACGTGACTTACTTTGACCTCCAAAGTGTTCACTGGCCGATGATGTTCCAGTTGGCGTCTCCATGGTCAGCGGGTCATCGGCTTCAGTGCTCCAGCCCATGTCAAATACTGATGTGTGGTCAACAATTAGCAAAGGTCAATTGAATAGGGGACTTACTTTCATGGCCAAAATATTCTTGGAAAGTGCGTCTGCACGATCCGGTTGTGTTTGTATGACTGAGGATGGATGTTTCTTTGGTTGAATGGTGCGGGATGTAGTTGGTCGTTTAGGTCGAATGCGAAATTTGTTGAGACCGACAGGAATCATGTCTTTTTGAGGGGATGGAGTCGGCCACAACTTCAGTGGCACCCACTGATCCCACGTGACAAAGAAATTCCAGTCAGCTTTGATGCGCTCGTCTTGTAACCACTGAGCTTTGTCAATTGGATGCTCGTGGGAATCCATGGTGCTGGCAATGGACTTCGAAAATTTTGTGCTGCCAGTTGGTATTGTTTGGTGTGATTAGAAGTGTGTTCGGTGTGATTAGAAGTGCGTTCGGTGTGATTCAAAGTGTGGACCCATCTCGGCAGGTCCTGGCGGCATCACATTTTGCCGACAACACGAGCGCAATTTGTGGACTTCATTTTTGTGAAGTCAAATCCACATCCACCCACTGTTGTTCCTGATATAACAGAGTCAACACTCATCCTATCTTCTACATTTTTACTATTACATCTCTACAATGTCTTTAACAATCAAATCGAACCAGGCTTTGGCAGTCGCCGACGCGTCTTTGCGCCATGCACTCCGCTGGATTAAAATCCATGAAGCAGATGGCAGCGTGGTCGTTGACCAAGCTCATGCAGTCGCCCGGCTAGTGGTAAGTTTCTGATTCCCAATGTTCTCATTTGCTCACCAATCCTTCACAGTCCACTGCCCTTCAGCAGCATGGCAGAAATGCCTCGGTCATCTCGCCGTTGCTGCTGTCTGCTGCGGCCGAGGTCAGAGCGACCATGAACCAAGGCATCGCCCCACAGTGGGCTCGGGTGCAGGATAACGATACTCGGATGGAGTCCCACCCTTTCTTCCCGAAAACTGTCGGATATGGTGAGTTGGCGGTCATTCTGTCTGTCTTCACAGCTCAACATCTTGACAGTGGCAGGAGGCACACCCGAATCTGCACCTCAAGTTGCCCCAGCTCCAGCTCCAGCTCCAGCCCCAGCCCCTGCCCCTGCACCAATGTTGGTCCCTCCAATCAAATCGCTCCCTACCGCCGGGCACCAGCACAATCTTCTTGTGCCTGGCACGATGACCGGCAAAGGCAAACAGCCTGCCTGCAGGACTCGGAGATCCCGAGAGGACAGCCCAAGCACTGAGACAGGCCGGAAGAAGCGCAAGGTCTCAAGGCCCTTGTCCAAAGCCTTGGTCTCCGACACCGAGGATGAGGACGGTCAGCCAGGAGGCACCATTGTGGTTGTAAAGCCAGCTGGTCCGCCGAAGTCCAAGGTAAGCACTTCGGTGAATTCAATATCGACACCATCGCTGACTCATGGACAGGGCGTGACCAAAGGCGTCAAGAAGGTGAGATTTACCTTTGCCCACCAGCGATCACCCCTCAACAATTCTCAGACACATGCCAAGGACACCATTGGTCGCACGCTGGTGAAGGGCAAAGGAAAGGAGAAGGCCAAGGAAGTTGCCAAGCCCATTAGAGGGCGGCCACTAGCCAAGGCCAATGCTGGGGCCAAGACTGTGAGTTTTTATCTCTGCTTGGTCACTGAGTACTCACCATGTGATAGTACGATCCACCTTGCAAGAGGTGTGTCGACGAGCCTTGCCTTGTCATTATCGGCAAGAAAGGGCAGGTCATGAGGTCCTGCGCCAAATGCAGCCTCATGAAGGTGAAGTATGACCGAACAATGTTGGTCGATTCCGACACTCCTGCGCCGATGGCACACCTGAGGTCCAGGGCTGCACCGGCCTCCAAGAAGGTTCCCCCGACGGCAACCCCAAGGTCCAAGTCCAATGGTCCGCTCAGGAGAACCAGAGCAACCTCACGGGCACGTCCACTGACTCCCATCTTGGAGTCTGAAGAGGAAGCTGTCAAGGGTACCGGTAAGCAATCCTTTCTTGTATCATAATGTCCTCTAACCTTTGTTTCTAGATGTGTCCATCACAGGTGATGATGACGCTGACATGGAGCCCACTGCCGATGCCCTGGCTGAGCCCGCAGCGGACGACAAGATCATCGTCGATGAGCCTCAGGCCATCGCATCTGCGGATGGCTTCCCCGCCGATCATTGGGTGGAGCCCCACTCTGATGACTTCGTCATTCCAACGGCAGCTCCTGCGGCTGGAGATGTTTCCCTCCCTTCGGCATCTCTCCCACTGACCGTCAGCGCCATCCACGAATGTGTGGTTTCCCTGGCTGCTAAGGTTGCTGCCATGCAACATCAGGAAAAACTATATCTCTATATAGAGGACCATCCTCTATATAGCCCCGATAGCACATCACAGCTCTATACAGTCTATGGCAAGCTATCACAGCACTATAGACCAGTATAGACATCATGAAAGTCTATATATTACCATAAAGTTTGGTAAGTGTATTTAGAAGTAAAACATTTCAACAACTATAGACCCCAGTAGACCGTGGGAACTTTTTTCGATGAAAACCAAAGTTGTAGGTCCTTGTCTAGGTGAAGTCTATCCATAGTCTTATGACTTTCAATAGGTTAAGATCCTAGTGAGTTATAAGGAAAATACTCGAAATTGAGGGTTCAAGAAGCACTTGACCATGGGAACTTTTTTCGATTAAATCAAAGTTGTAGTCCTTGTCAAGGGAAGTCTATCCATAGTCTAATGACTTCAATAGTTCAAGATCTTAGTGAGTTATAAGGAAATACTTGGAATTGAAGGGTTCAAAAAAGTGTTAAGGTACACCTTATTATGTAAGCAAAAATGCGAAAATTCACCTTATGTGTATTCAAAATCCTAATGCTAACAGTCAATTTCATTGTCTTTTTCTTACTGTCATAATCCTAGTCCTATTACCAAAAACTCGAAAATTCACCAAGTCTTGTGTTGTGGCTTTGTTTGGCACTGCTTATGTAAGCAAAAATGCGGTCAACCAACAAGTCTTTTCCCATTCTTTCCTTCCCCCCCCCACTGCCCCCTCATTAGATTATCTTCCATATTTTTCTTACAATTTTCGAGTGTTTGCCTCTCTTCTCTTCTTCTTGCTTCTCTATCCTTCTCTTGGTGTTGATGTTGTTGGTGCTGGTACTGGTGCTGGTGCTTTGAACTCTGGTAAGTCTCCCTCCATAATTTTCGCATTTTTGACTATTTGACTAATCTTTTTTCTAACCCTCTCCTTCTAGCTCTCTTCCCTCCTGCTCCTCCTCCCCCCAACTATTTTCGCATTTTTGACCATTTGGCAAGTCTTTTCTCTGACTCTCACTTCCTCCTGTCTGATCCTCTCCTTCTAGCTCCCTTCCCTCCTCTTCCCTCAAGAATTTTCGCAATTTTCACTATTTGGTAAGTCTTTCTTTTTTTGTATTCATCTTTCCTCTCTGATTCTTCCTTCTAGTTCTCTTGCCTCTTCCTCCTGTAATTTTCGCATTTTTGCCTGTTTTGTAGTTATTAGTTTACATGTATTGTAGTAGTTGAAATATAATTTGGAATTTTCGCTTTTTTTTTAATTTTGAGAACACTATCATGGCAACAAACAGCTATTAAGAGAAATTTTTGCTTTGTGTTTTGAGCTATAATAGCTACAATAGTTGTGGTATGTTCCACCCAGCTATAGCAACTTTAATAGAGCTATATAGCACTATACACTGGTGTAGTAAGCCTGCACAATTGGGCACTTGGCTATACGAGCTATAGGGCTATGGAGTCTGTATAGCAGTCTATAGCGCTATGGGTGGCTATATAGCCTTACCACATTTTCCTGATGAAGTCGCCAACCAGAATACCCTTGCCAGGGTTGATGCGGTGCAGCAGGACTGCAAAACCCGGATCTCCTCGATGCGTGCGGAGCTTTCCTCCATGCAGTTCGATCTCAGCACCACTGTCAGCCTCGTCAATGGCCTGACCAGCCTGGTGGAGAAGCTTTGGGAGGCACAGACCATTGCCAACCCATCCTTCCCACCACCGATGATGAGCAACTTCAGTGCTACCTCGGCCACCCCACAGATGCAAGCGATGGGCATCAGGTACTTGAACGGTGTGTATGGCCCTTCGGTTGCTACCTCGGCATCTGCTGCAGGCCCTTTGGCGTCTCGCCCTTTCGGTCGCCTTGACATGCACGGCGACACATTCACATCTGGCCAAGCGTCCTTGGTGTCAGCACATGCCAGTCCTTCATCCGCTCCTGCTGTAGTTGGACCCCATTCTGCTGGAACATCACCTGCTTCAGCTGCAAAGTCTCTCCCCTGATCATTCAGCTCAATACATAGTTGTACATAGAGCATGCGTCCGTCAGCAGAAATACCCCGGTATATCACGGACTTGTATTATTTAATTTCAAATGCAATTGTTTGGCCGTTGATTCCATGTATATTCACTCTCTTTCCTGTGATATAAGTACCGACAGCAAGTCGGCAGAGTGTATCTCGGTCATGTGTTGCAGTTGGCACGGTATCCTTCAGTTTCTTGTCTTTTCAGAATTGACCGATTTATGCTCCATATGACCGATCACCCGATCTCGGTCGCTGCATCACGCATGCCAATGAGATTCCATGCAACTGAAACTTCACCAACTCGTACAATTCACCGATATCTTCTTGCCATTGTCTTCAGCTCAGCAGTCCCCTCCTCGCACCGCCGCTTCCACGAACAGAGCCAATGGCAACCATTCTGGCACTCCTATGCCAGATGGCGACTCGGTCAGGCTGATCGCCCCACCCAATGGCATTGCCGCCACGACTCTCAATGGCACAGCACATCAACCGACAGATGTGCAGATGTCACCTCCTGTGGAACCTCCCCAGTCCAATCAGACTGGCTCACCAGCGCATCTCAAGGTTTAGTCTCAGCACATTCCGGTATCTGTCCCACTCAGTAGTTACCACATCCCTATGAACGGCTATGCCACCCTGCCTAATGGCACCGTCATGCAGGTGCTGTGACCACCAAATGGCTTCATGCAGCAATGTCTTCTGACCGAGTCGTATTTACCCGAGTGTCTTTTGACCGAGTCGCATTTACCCGAGTGTCTCTTGACCGAGTGTCTTTTGACCAAGTCATATTTGACTGAGTCATATTTACCCGAGTGTCTTTTGACCGAGTCATATTTGACCGAGTTGTATTTACCCAAGTGTCTTTTGACCGAGTTGTATTTACCCGAGTGTCTCTTGACCGAGTGTCTTTTGACCAAGTCATATTTGACTGAGTTGTATTTACCCGAGTGTCTCTTGACCGAGTGTCTCTTGACCGAGTGTCTTTTGACCAAGTCATATTTGACCGAGTTGTATTTACCCAAGTGTCTTTTGACCGAGTCATATTTGACCGAGTCGTATTTACCCGAGTGTCTTTTGACTGTGTCATATTTAACTGAGGTGCTCTTAGCATGTATCTTATGCATCGGATCCTGGTAGATCCCTCATCCATCATATTTGACCGAATGTCCTTTGACCGAGGTGGTCTTGGCATGTATATTATGGAAGCTAGTCTATGAACACTTTCGGCCCATCTGTATATATCAGTACCACTGCCCACTCGGCCCACTTGTTTCCATCATACATATATATATAGCTCTTGTATATTGCCTATCAAATGCAATAGCAAACTCCACACTTTGGACTATCAGCCCACCTGTTGGTATCAGGTACATACTTCATACACTACCTACCAAAATCAATAGAAAAGTCTACACTTATCTACACTACATACTATGGGCCCACTGTTTGTATCAGATACACACTTGAGACTGGCCCACCTGTCGGTATCAGGTACATACTTCATACACTACCTACCAAAGTCAATAGAAAAGTCTACACTTATCTACTACACCACATACTATGGGCCCCCTGTTTGTATCAGATACACACTTGAGACCGGCCCACCTGTATTTAACACAAAGATACATTGATGGGCCCACATCGGGTGGCCTGTGTAGAACAGGGATATTTCAACCTTGGCTGTATGTTTTATACGAGGGTAAAGTGACTGCAGTATGTGAAAACAACGCTTACATCTATCCTGTCAATACAAAGGTTTGTACTATGCTGATATTGGCTGTCACTGTCGGGGTTGATGCTGCATTACAGGGGGATCTTATTCGAACCAAACCTTTTCAAGCACCCGCGGTTTTGGACACTATCAAAGATGTTTTCTTCAGCAACAAGCTCGCAGCAGGACTAAAGTGGCACAATGATTTACATCGACACTGGAGGATCATCATGACGAGGTGGAGTTACCTATTGAAATGGTGGCTCTCGCTAGCACTGCGGTGTGTTTCAATGTTTGTGGCTTTGTGATAGATATTAATGGATCTATCATGCTATGAAAGGTGTGTTCGGTGATTATGCAGTATTCCTCCAAGAAATACAACCGCAACTTCAACTCAGAGATGTATGGTGGAATCTACCGAACACTGGTCGGCGTGTTGAATGGCATTTTTCAGGCCAGCGAGCGAAAATTTCATGTCCTCGTGCATGGCTTATACAAATCTGTCCAGTGAGTTCTAGCCCTGGCATCACCAGCAGTTGTCTGATTGTACCATGTTATAGTGGGTCGAAGCGCAAGACTGACGAGCCTGGTGCCGCTAAGAGTCTCATGTTTCTCGATATCGAGGGTATGGTGGATGAATGATAATTATTGTGCATTCTATTGCATCTTGATTTGATATCTAATAGAATTTGCTTGATATAATTGGATTGGATTGGGAAAGCGACCTGAAAATTCTGTTCTGACTTTCGCAAATTGAGATCCTATTTGCGAAAATTCGAAAGGGACTAAAATTCATCGAGTTGTTGCAAATTTGCGCAAGTTAGATCGCATTTTATCCAATTTGAGAATGAGGTTTTCCCTAATGTGGAGCGGGGACAAATGTGGAATGGAGTGTAATTGAGCACGGTATGCCTCTGTCATTTGCTGCTGGTTGTCTTGATCAACCCCTGCAGCACCTTGACCTGGGTTGATTGGAGCCCCACTGGGACACCATTGAGAGGTCTGGTTTGCAAACATGGGGCACTAGAAGGAGGGGAACGAACGAGTGAAGCATCCAGGCTGGCCTGCCATTGAGTAGTGTGGATCCCTAGTAGAAGTGCTTGTACATGTTACCTTCTATCTCTACTCTAATCAGAGATAGTTTGAGCTCATATCCAAACATAAAGCGGACTCGCGAATGACATTAAGCAGATCATTAACAAGGTCGGGTTAGCTACTAGAAGGGCTAACCAGCCCCCTCACATCATTTCCTTCCTGCCTCATGTTATAGTCCGAAAGGCTCACCTTTCTCTACATTAAGCCTAAGTGATGTACCCAATTTGCATCCTCCGGTTATGATATGTTTAGGACCTCTAATTCTACATCAAACCTATCGGGTTATTTTCTCGTTTCCGCAGTGATTGCGCATCATAGCATCATCGTGAATGGACGCAACTCATTTTGTGTCACCACCATGACAACATTTGCATTGGTACTGTCAGGCCTTCCTGGAATACCAAATCAAGTATACCAAGTACTATTACACTTGGGCTGAATGCATGGGAGGAAGCACTGGCAAGGGGTTGTCTGTCTATTTTTTTTACTTCTCACGCTGTTCAGCTTGCTCTCAGTGCACCTAAAACTTGGTGATCAACTCGGATTTCATTCAATAGTCTTTCATGCAGCTATGACTTGCAGGACAGATTTCATTCTGATCAGCATGCAAGTACGAATTGCAAACTGAATGTAGCATTACAAAAGGGCAGTACTTGTCACTTGAGCTTAATTGCTGTGCATCTCCTCATGTGATATGAACGTTCATTGATGCATCTTGAATCCACGACCCCCAGGACACTCATCTGATCGGACCGCAGTGTTGAATGCTTCATTGCATAGCAAGAGATTGATTTTACACCATTTTAGGGGAAATCTGGTTGTATAATATTTGAAAGCAGGCTGCACTTGGTTCTCGCTGTACCATTAACAATATTGCAAAGCATTGTTAATCTTCACACTTGTAACTTATGGCCTCCACCTCTCAACTACAGCCTCTCACCCGCTATATAATCGGTGACAGCGGGTTGCCAGAATGTGACATCACCACCCCTCTACCCACTCATGGTGACCTCATCCTCTTAAACCTGCCATTCAATTTGCCAAGGCCTACTAGTGTCTGATCATCAGCACCGATTAATTCTAACGAATGTAACTACCTATGCGTCGTTCACTCATTCTCTGACATGTCACATGTTCATGAGTGGACAATCAAGTTCTTCGTCTTCCAGTCCTTCCAGGACGATATCCAGCCAACAGTGGCTGATGCAATTGCTTACGTCGAGTCGCTCACAGAGGATGATAGGAAGACTCTCATTCCATTGCAACTGGCCGCCCCTGGCCAGCACATTCCTGCAGTACCTCTGGAATTGGTGGTCCTCTTATCGTTGACTCAGGCTTCTACCTTGATCGTCAAACTTGGGTCGTTGTGTCGGTCATCAAGATCACTCAGTCCTGGGGCTTCTGTGAGTTTTTACCATATTCCTGCCAGTGTATATACTGATTCCCTACCCCCAGTACACACTATTTTCACTCAAAGCCTGCCTTGCCATGCCCGAGCTCACATGCTGCACCCAATACTGGAGGTATCTTGACATAGCCCTCAGTGCCCAGATCCTCCCCCAGACGTAGGCATCACTGGTCCCGCCGAAGCAGCCAATCGTGCACCACCTGGCATGCTATACTGTTACAGTTGTCCTATCTGTACGATTTCTCTCAATCTTAAACAGTTCCTGTTCGCTAACCAGTTCTAGATCTGCCTCCCAGTTGTCAACTCCAATGGTACTCTTCAAAGAGCACTCATGCAGGCGATGTTGGATTGTGTTAAGGTCGTGCTCAAGGGAGAGGTTACTCAAAGGGCTTCGGCTTCAGCTTGTGCGCTGCGCCCCTTACCCGAGTACGTGCCCTTTAATTTCCGGGGGACAGAGGGGAAGTCCGACGGAAGTCCGGGGAGTTCCGGAGGACTTAGTGTTGGTGGAGTTCGGCAGAACTCTGGAAGGTTTATATGGGGGACGAAGTAAGGCTACTATGGAAGTCCAGAGTAGAAACTGAACAGAGGTTAGACTACCCTAAGGTAGAGCCAGAGAAGTAGTCCTAAGGTTTGACCCCTAAGACTCGGAGGTGGACAAGAGGTGAGACTCGAGTCCGGAGATTGCAGGAATGAGCAGAACTAAGATGATATTCGAACTGAGGAGTTCCAGAGTATTACAGGGGTTTATATACTGTAGGTATCATATAGGTAAATCAGTCAGCAAAGGTAAGGGCTATGTACGAAACATGTGGAAAGTCTATTACTAAGTATAACAGATCAAAGCAGTGAAGTCGGAAATGAAGTAAGAATGGACAGATCAGTAAGCATAGCGGAATAGGACATAACTGGTAACCAGAGCAATAGCTAATCTAAAAGGAGTTAGGGGTGAGTGCGGAGATGAAGGCGGAGCGCCAGGCGGAATAGTAAGATGGAGGACCGGACTTCAATGAAGTAGATCCGGAATTCCAGATCCAGAGGTACGGGATATGACAGATTGTCACACTGTACAGTCGCTTCCACGTTCTGCAGACATCGAGATGGAGAAGTATTATGAGGAGGAGTGCAAGAAAAGCAGTCATTCTGAGGTGTGTGTGTGGATCTGATGTGGTTGATTCATTCCTTGTTTTTTTTTGCGTTCTTCATGGTACATATCATGATTGGTATTTGGGATGGGCCTCTCTGTGATGCACGTATGCACACGCATACATCTCGTCATAGATACTCCTGAGCTTGTACATGGTCGTTCGGAACAGGCAAGAAGTGCTCACACGTGATTTCTTTATTGCTACCGGGTATGTGCTTATTTACATGACCAAACGGATTTGTCTTCTGGAACAACGATACTGAGCTGTCACAGAACATATTAAAACGGTCAGATTCACTGCAGCCGGAGGTGATCACGATTGCACATCATACCCTTCAGCAGGTCTGGAGGACATAGGTTTGGTGCATTTAGGAATGCAGGATCAGGCCCAGATTCATCAACTATAATGACTCTAATTGCACTTCCAGAACATAGTGACCGAAGCTACTTTCATAGTCATGGCAATTCCTCAGTGTCAGAGGATTCTTTTAGTTTGCAACCTGTTTGTCAAACCAGCAAGAGCTCGCACGCGACACAACCTTTCATCACTGCAAGAAGCCATCTTTTGCATTAATCAGAAATGCATTCAAGAAGAATACCTATGTACCGCCATTACCTCCCCTGGACCATCAAGCATACCCCATCCTCAAGATCCCCTTCAACCGCTCAACTTCGTCCTCGCCTCATTCCACCTTGACCTCTCATAAGCCATTCAATGCTACAAGTCCACCGCATCCTCAGCCACCAATGCCTGGATCTAGCGAATCACATCCTCGCACTCCATCAAGGGCAAGAGGGCATTCCACTGCAAGGTCACATTGTTCTCAATTTGGGTCTATATTTCATACCTTGGACACAGGAAGCAACCATGGCCATGGCTTCTCTTCCTCATCCTCTCCTCCTCCTGTTCTCCAGGTGCCAGATGCATTTGATGGTCAGATGTTTAGTAGCAATGGACCCTCAATAATGGAGGAAGGTGAAAAACTGCCTTTGGGTTCTAAGATGCCATCTGATTATGTTCTGCATGCAGTTTTCATTCAGTTTTCTACACTTGCGGAGGGAAATCTGGACGTGTTCCTTCACGAACTATGGGTATTTTCATTCCCTTTGTATTGGTCAGGCGCACCTCATTCATGCTCCTTTAGGATCATGAATCTTGATTGTCGAACTTCATGGGTCCTTCATTGAATCTTTGATGGGCTCCTTGGGAAAGATTGCTCAGAAACACCCAAAACCCGTCATAGACTCAATCATGCGGTGGAGACAGAGTCACAATGAAAATGTCAGTGGCGGTATACTCAAACATCATGCCAGGAACTATCTACCTTATTGAATGAGCAAAAGTCCCTGGCGTCCATATATATCATGTGTTGCGCTCTAATTGCTGTTTTGTCCGTTTTGTCAAAAGATGCATCGGGTGATGTGCTGGGTTTTACCTTGGAAGAAACAATATTTGAGCAGTTCAAGAGGCCAGATTTGAAGCCTCTTGCATGATCAGCTAATCATTGGCTTAATGCTGAACTGTATGCCCCACTGCTCGGACACTTGGCCAATGTTCGGTGAGTATGGTGTCGTCGTTACCCGAGCATCCAAACTAACCCTCCGCTAGCTTCGTTAGTGTCACAGATCGTTTCCTCAGCGAGTTCAAGTTCGAGCCCATGACCAATGAGCAGGTGGCGAAAGCCCCTCAATACAAAGTATGAACATTTAGTGAAGGGGCTCTGTCACGTTCAGCTGAGAGTGAGGGCCATCTTACTCTTTTTTTTTTCTACTCACGTGTCAGCTAGGTATGGCCCCCAGAGGCATTTGAGGAAGGAGCCGAGTTTCTGGAGTTATTAGCCAAGTCCTTTGCGAAGACGCGTGGTCTTTGGTTCAAGATTACTTCCGCAGATAGCTTGACTCATCTATTACATCCCATCGGACAGGTATGTCCTAACCCCTAGCTAGTGCTAATACACGCTAACACAACCTCAAGACAGTGCAGGCTGAAGTCAATCATCCACAATGGGAAAAGGCGATCCAAAGGATCTATCCCTGGGCTAAGGAGATGATGAACAAGCCATGGTATTGGCATGTCGCCTACCTGTTGGCTGTCACCAGCCTTTGTGTTGTGCCTCATCAATACTTCTTCCGCAACTGGACGGCTGGCTTTCAGTATGGGCTGTCGATGATGAAGGTTGGATTCCAACTAGTCACACAATTTTCTTGCTGACTCCTGATTCACGAGAAGCCTCATTGGATTCCTGTCTTGAATGGAATCGTTTGATTGGTCTGGACATACCTGTACCGATGCCAGGAGCCATCAGCGACGAGCACTGCCAAGCTACACACCCTTCTCAAATATATATTCCCTGCTGGACGGTCATTGATTTTCCATCATGAGGAGCATCTTGAGCCCTTCATCTGCATCGTGCATTCTATCCTGTCGCATTATTTCGAGTATGGGTTGGGACACTGCATGGATTTACTTCAGGAAGCTGCCATGAACTCCTTGTCCACAAGTGATCTCATGGGTATATTGGCTCCTGAATGTGTTGTTATATCTGCTCAAGCTATCCTCTTGACCTTACACGCCTTCAAACGTGAGGAATCGGTTCCTACATGGCCGTCTAGTGTTGATTTCACTGCTGTACCATCTTGATTATCCTTCATCTTCTGATGCTCTTCCGGCTGCTGTGGTGTCCAGGCATGGTGTTTCAGGATTTTCTTGACAGATACTGTACTGTTATTACCGTGATCGCACAGTCAGTGAGCCAGTCTGTGGATCAAATGTCCATCTTTGACTAACAGTGGTCACTGTTGCAGTTCAGTTCTTCCCATTAAGAGTCCCATAACATCATCATGTGTCGCTGTCCCGAAGGATCCTTTGCCTACCCCACCCATCTCATGTCGCAGAGATCTATGCTGCAGACATGTTTGCAGTCATGGCTGCGATGCTTGCACGCCTCTCTGCCCCTTGTGGGCGCTGTTAGCACACTCATCCATGGTATTATCCATGTAGAGCCCCGGATCAGAGACGCAGCAGGGGCCATGCTGAGGCACTTTATGGCGGACAGGCGGTATGCACCTGCAGTGTTGCGCCACTTCACAACCTTCCTATTTGATCCTGCGTATGTTAAACTGGTTGCTGGGTAGTCATTGCTGGAGGCTGAAGCGCTGACTTCTGAGGCCTGAGGCAGAGGCTCTGACTATTTGAGCAAGGACACTGAGGTTTCTCAATCAGCGGGCTATTCAATCCTCCCAGGCCAGCATCTGATTCAGATTCGAGTCCCACTGGAGGGCCAGATCGTTGTCGGCTACATTCAGTTCCACTGATACCTTTGTATGACTATATTTCCCTTTCTTGTTTAACGTGTCCTTCCTATAATATCATGGCTCTTATATATCTCCTATTGGTGCTCGCGAATATTGTGAGGGTGACAACTATCTGCAAAGTACGAGATAGGTTTATACTGAATGCAAGCAACCCTGGTAGAATAGATCGAGAATGCGCATCAAGTGCAACCTTAAAACCATAGGTCAAGCGCTCAGTCACACAACGCAATATTGTTGTTTCAGCAACAATCATTGTGAACGCATGATATCACGATGAATTAGCAGAACCATGGTATAATGACATGAAGGTTGTGTTGCTGGTTGACCTCACTAAATTAATATGCCTTAGCATACTTGAGAAGTTCATGTAGAATGAAATATCAGCAACACACCCAGACAAGATCCTCGAATCAGCTGAGAACAAGCGTTTGAGACACTTTGGGATGCCCGCCAGATGAGATTTGGGTACATGCATGTGATGAACCTGCGAACCAGTTCATTGTTTCTTTGCAGATCAGGATGTTCCAGAAATGCCTGCGCACTACAAGAGACATGCACTATGAATTAGTTGTGGGCGGTGTGTGGTTCATGTCTCTCGCTTTGTTCCTTACACTGATGCGATGACACCAATCCTTGCAGGACGTATATGGTGGTTGCGCTTCTACATGGAATTAATGGGATGTGGCGCATCGAGATTGAGCATAGCAATCCAGCACGTCCAAACACTGTGCTTGTGATCGATTCCCACAGACGGAAGTCTAGCTGTACAACCCCCACCTGCACCGCTAAAAATTTTGTCAGAAATGACGAAAACAAAGTTTTAGTTGCTTGTACCTTCGCAGTATGTTTGAATTTGTTCTGACTCAATGAATTCAAGGTGTACTGATTATCTTATGAAACATCACGAGACTATTTTTTGCTCCCCCAATGACAGACAGGCATTCGATCTCAGCCCCACTTGGCTTGGGGCCTCTCGACTGAGTTGGGCGATTGGGTGATGTACGAGTAAGTCTTCTCCCCTTCCTCACCTCGATCCATGTCATATCGGATGTGTTTGTGGTGATTTTACCGATCAAATCTCTTCTGCTGACATATGCACTCGAACTCACTGACACTGTCTGGTGTAGCAATACTAGATATGTAGACTACGAGGACACCAGACATGCGAAGCTGGAGATGACGTTGTTGCTGTTTGCAATTCACAAGTAAGTAAATGGATGATCAATGAAGCAGGTGAGCTTGGGTTGATCTAGGGCTTTGTAAGTCACATGTAATTGACAGATCTCACACTTGGAAAGCAGCTAGGTCAGTGCGCAATAGCGCACTCTTTGAAAAAGATCCTCAGAGTTCTTTGCCTTGTTCCCCCACCTAAACATATAACTAGGTCTGGTGCCTAAGCTTAAGTATTCCATCTCCATTTCAGACTCGGATTTGTCCACCACTCGATCTAATACTCTCGTCTACTACCATTCAACTTGTCTGAGGCTCTGAGCCCTTTGAACGCATAAGTGCATATTTTTTAATCTGTTTGTTTTGAAGGTGCGCCCCTATTACTTATGTGTAGGCTATAGCCTAAGATTACTCTGGTAGTGGAAATCCCAGTACTGGGCATAATCTTCAATCACTCACCCACCTCCCATTCTCAAACCAGTGTGCATCAGGAAAAACCTCCCTTTAATATTAGAGAGAATTTGATCAAATTTGATCAAAGGTGGAAAACTGCGTACCGTTTTCTCAAATGTGCGATAAAACGATCCAATATTCACCGAATTCAGACAATTGTTAGCAGGGCCCCAGAATTCACTACAGTTGGGGAAAGTTATTTGGTACTGGCAGTACTAGTATAGAGTATAACATATAATTATACTAATTTCCATATACCATGAGCAGCGAGTTGGACCTCCAACAAATGAGCCTTTCTCGCCTCCTTGCACCGTTTGATTTTGGCATCCCAATGATCTGCCATGAGTTTACACATGTAATTCTGAGAGACTGTTAGAGGGGCTGGAGTCTGACGGTATGGCGGGACAGGAGTTTCCGGGACAGGAGTTTCAGCCTGTACTATTTCCGGCCCAGGGGTAGCGCTGATGCCAAATTCCGGTAATGCAAATCTGCAGATCAATGGTTTTCTAGGCCTTGTCACACGGCGTGAGAAACTCAGGCTTCGGACACCATGATTATGACTTACTTTTTGATGGGTGAGATCCCATTTGCTGTCTTATGTTCTCCAAAATCCAGGGAAGGCAAGCATGGGCTAGATCGGATCCAGTCAGATGCGAGAAGAAACTATTTTACAATCATAATCAACCAACCGCTTCCCAGGAATTGAATTCTCTTTCTCGGCAATGGAATCCTGCGAGTTAGTCAGTTCAATTGTTTGTAGTATAGAACGGGAACTTGCACACCATAAATATATCACACAAACCTTCTCAATACACGAATCCAAGTCGTAACACAATAGATGAGAACAGATGATGGTCAAGGTGATTGAATCAAGATGGGGAAAAATTTGCACACCACATCTGAACCGTGAGAAAGCACCTGTCAACGGCTCGACTCAGGACAGAATTAAACACTGTCCTCGCCATTCAAGTTGAAGCAGTGTACAGTAAGCCTTTAATATATGGTTACATATGCATTTCGGTTAGTGAAGCTGTTAACAAAAATGTGCTACACTGATCTAACACATTGCTCGTAGTCCATTCACATGGAGCCACTGCCCCAAATTTGGGTATTAAGTGTACAGAGCGTCGAATATTGCGAATAGGGATAATGCTGGATTGCCTGTCTCCATCATACAGGGCACGCGAAACTTTATACATCCCATGGTTAATGTCTGGTGTGGTGAACGGTGAGAACCATTCAACATATGCGAAGTGATCAGGCACATTGACATTGCAAAATAGAGCACGTTTGACACTGGCCGACAGCGAGAAGACCACGCGAACTTGTGCGACATGATATCCTGTGAGTTGTTTGTCAGTCCAAGTATCCCCGCATACACACATCAAGACAATCACCTTCCACACCCAATTTGCCACCATTGCCCAGATTTATGAGCGCGGTATCAAACCTTGCTGGAACTTTCCTGTTATGGCAGTCACGTCGGGCAGGTCTCGCATGTATTGCATCAACGGTGACATTGTTTAGCATGCCATCATCACCCACAGTACTATACCGGACCTTGTGGTAAACCGCAACCGACTGGAATGGGAGATTGACATGGCAGGCAGCATCTTCAGACTGCCTTGCAGTCAAATCGGGCTGCATAACTTGCACCACAAAGCGAGCCATGGCGGCTTGAAAATGTATTGCACCATACTGATCAGCAAGGGATGCAAATGTCACCTGTTTAACAGACGGGTGCTTCACTAGCTTGGATTGTTGCAGATATACGAGGTCAGAGTGGGGTAGGGGATGATGTAATTGAGGGACATGATCTGGTGCCTCAGTTCCGGTGCCATGGTGTAGACGCCATTGAATAAATTTATTGTGCCACAGCATTTTCTCTCGTTGCTCGAGCCACAGTGTCATTTGCATGTACTCGTCCTTGTGATTTGTCGCACAATATGCGTCCTTCGCTAGATCAATGTGAAGTCGTTCTGTATATTCTGTGTTATAATTGTCGGTGGTTCCGAACATTTGAATCATCATGACGTAGTGTTGGAGAGAATGGAGCTTCAGGAGGTTGAACGATGATCTGATACCCAGGTCCACGAAGATAGATTTGTTATCGTGAAATCGGTCGAGTGTCCCACTCAGAAGCTCTAATGTTACATTCGAATGACATGGGTACCGTGCCAGATATAAGTAGTTGAGGAGGCCTCAAACTGCGCGAATAAGTCTAACGGGGGATGCACCATCAGGCAAATGGATATCGATTATTAGGCCAAGGAGAAATCGGCATATTTGCTGGTGCTCCGTTCCACTAACTCGCGACAGAATCGAGATGCCTTTCATAAATAGGCGGATGTTGTGGTTTGGAGGCAAACATTTGCACCGTGCGTCAATTTCCACCTCGCCGAAAGCTGATTTAATCCAAGCGATAAGGTGTTTGACCAGGCCTTGATACAATTGGTGGAGAACATCGGGGGTGATTGCATTATATATATTACAGTGCGGGAGTTCCTCCAAGAAAGGATGATAAAGTGGTTTTACTCCTGAAATGAACGACGAGTCAGCAACAGGGCCAGCATTAACGGTCCAATGAAACAGAGTGAAAAACCCTTACCTGCATCATGACAAGCCTTTGCGAATTGATTCGGGTCTTCATCGACGAGGGCAAGCACATCTAAGATTCGATCCAAATCACGCAGCTCAAAAGGTAGGTCTTTGCTGCCGAGCTCGCTAGAAGGTATGTCACATTTCGGACACTCTCCGGTCTTCATCCCAGTCACCAATAATTGCTCGGGATAATCTCCAATATAACAGGCCACCAGAGGATGACCGCGACGGAGGACTCCATCACCACTGGCTATCAGCATCCCATCCTTTCCTGGCTCAACCAACAGCTCAACAATATGACGCATGCATGCGTGGAACAGATTAGCAAGACAATGCCGCCTTGCTGTTTTGTTTGTGATATGCTCGAGCTTGGTCGTGGGAAGGTAACCAACAAGTATCTGCGCATTTCGAGAGGGTTGTCATCGTACTTCTTTGGGGAGGTTTCCAATAGTCATATAAATCGGGTATGCTGCTTTGTTTCGAAACATGGTGACTTGAGTTTTGTCTGATGAAAGCAGGATGGGTATTATAGTTGCACCGGGTTTTTCATTCTCAAGTCGTTTCTTTCAATTCAATCAGTGCAAGGCCTCAAGTCATTGTTAATTCTCTCACCTGAGTACGCCACCACCAATTGCCTGTATGCATGTCGTGATATAACCTCTGAGTCTGGTCCTCATCGGAATAGTGTCGTTCGGGGGCAAAAACCAGGTAAGGTGCAAGTTCTGGATCTCCAAACAGTGACTTGACGCATTGCAGGATATCCTGAAAGTATACATTGAAGGCTTCGCCTGCCATCAAAATTTCCTGGCACTTAAAACGAGGCTGCCGGGCAGGAATTTGGTTGTCGATAATCTTGTTTAGCTCGCAGGAATTTCGGTAAGAGAGGCCGAGCTGTTCGCAAACCTGTTGTGCTCATCTAAGTTAGTACCATTGTATTGCCAGAGAAGACTTCAACTCACCCCCTCGATGGCAAGCAGATCTGTGAAAGCAGTGGAGCCTTGCCCCCTCAGCTTTGCCCATCGGGCAACTTCATAATCAATATGTGAGATGAACGGTGCCCAAACACAGCTACCACCTTGACTCATCTTATCACCATATGACTGATATCCGTTTTGGTCAGATTCAAATTCGCCCGCATCCTCAATTATGGCTCCAGCGCTGCGAAGTGGAAAGCTTGCAATATATGGGTCATGGTGATGGTGCAGAGGAAGTTCGGCCTCGTGATGATGAGTGCGTTGGCGAACAACGTCAGCATTGCCTTCATCTTCATCCATGGGAATATTCTGATTGTTCACGTTGATCTCCGGTTCTTCGGCTCTTCGAATAGGAGGTTCCCAATCTGCTTCTTGTTCAGCCACACCACCTTCGCCCTCAACTTCCTCATCTTCATCGTCATCCACCACTGGCATATCAAGATAGTCTTCCTCGTCTACAGGCCATTCAAGGTCTTCGGGTGTGGTATCAAAAAAATCACCTTCAAATAGGTGCGGGCCGTTGTGATTTTCTTCGTTGTTCTGAGTCTTGGTGTCCATGTCAGCATGAATGTGCCACAACCATACTAATATTGACATTACCTGTGGTGAGTGACCGGGACTGCTAGGCATGTAGTTGCGCATGTCCTCGTAGATGCTGACACAGGCAGAATTTCTAGTTTGTGCGAGGTGACGAGAGTAACCACTCTCACTAAACATGCAACCACAGCCATCGCAGACTGGCATGATGCAGTGGCAGTGGTACTTTGAGTGAGTGGCTCTGGCTGAATGTATGTCGGGATATAGCAGAACGTCCAAGGCCAAATTTGTAAGTGTCAAATTTTTCAGTTGCGCATCCGACTGACTCAATTCTGACTCTGATCTCTTGCTCTCACTCTATCAGATTTCTTTGATGTCGACTCCGACCGAAAAGGCTGCTGCAATGCGTGCTGCCAAGCTGAAGAGGCGTGTGGAGGCCGCCGCTACTCCTGAATCTGCTCCTGAATCTGCTCCGAGTCATACATCACGGTTTTATCAGTCTCGCTTTGTTTTTCTGATAGCCTGATCATCTGGCATTAAGGACCTTCCCGACAATCCAAGGCCACAGCACTGAAAAATCAAGGTGCGCCAGCTGTCTGAGTCGAGCCACATCTTCTGACTCACTTGAGCAAAATTACAGTTTGGATGTCAGAAAAGAAGACACGAAAGCGGGCCACATCGAGCACGGCTGAGCCTGATCACGCCAAGCAGGCACGAACTTGTAAGTTTGATTAGACTTTTGTATATTGTTACTAATATGCCATAGCGAACAGACAGAAGAGCAGTGTTACACGGCCAGCGGCGCAACTTTTTGAGTCTGACTCAGACGACTTCAAGGTTGATGGAAGTGATGGTGCCTCATCTGATTTTGGAGCCGAGTCCGACGACAAAGAATCAGATGATGATAGTATTTTGGGACTCATTGGCGACAAGCTGAAGGCCACTCTTGACTATGAGGTATGTGCTATTGTCATCGATGATTTGACATCTGATCCTCTTGATTATTCGCATAGCGTCCTCAATTTACTCTACATAATGACAGTACGCGAACAAACCTCCTCCTCCTAGTACTAAGTGACACTCTCATGTAGACAGCAGTGTTGCTTCGACATTCAGCTCAATGCCAAGTACATCACCGGTTTCTGATGACAACGCCATTGATCAAATGTTCAAATCCATCAAATTCTCGCAGATTCACGCAAGTTGTATCAGATTTCATCCGATTTGAGAACGAGGTTTTCCCTGATGTGTTTTGGTCTAGTCTCATTTGTCTTCGCTGTCCTTCTTTCTCCCTGCACCTCGAAACTGATCTTGACACATTAAGGTCTGGCACCTTTTTCTGCCCCCGGCTTCTTCGTCTTCCAATCTCCCGAACACTGCCGCTAGACGTTATACAATCAATTAGGCTTCTTCGTTTATCCCGGATCCAGGTTGAATCGACTCGGAAGCCTATCCTCTTCATCACTGTTGTCCCACAGGATTTGATGACGAACGGTTGGTTCCCCGAGCCACGGCGGTCAGTGCCACCACTGTGCCGACATCGGCTGATGTTGGTCTGCTGGTGGCGTTGACTGCCATGGTCTGGGAAACCATTACCACGCTAGCATCATCTTAGATGCATTTTTTTTCTTACTTGTAGCAAAATCCAGGTCATGGCCGCTGTTGAGTTGGCTGAACTCAACACCACCCATAGCCAGGATTTTGCTATCATCTGGTGTAGTGGGGGACACCCCGGGTAAGCAGCCATGTAGCACCATAGGTACAGCTTAACATTTAGCAGCTACTTAGTTTTTATGGAGCTTCGTTGTGGCGTAGGCTCTCATCATTCCGAGTTTTTGCCTCACTTGCCATCTGGACATCGTTAGGTTTGAGCCACTAACGGTAATTACCAACGGGATATAGCTCTATAGAGAGATGTCAGCCTCAAAGCTTGCAAGCAAGGCAAGCACATTCGAGCGCGTCGCTGCTAGGAAGCCTACATAGCTGCCAAGCATGATCACAAATTGATGTGGGGCACATCTGATATCATGCAAGTTGCAATAACTAATTGCTCGGTGCTGTACATGCAACTCTTAAATTCTCTTGACGTGTAGTCAACACACACCACCCTAGCAGCTAACACTACCTTAGAAGACTACCGTCCCACTCATACTCCAGAGTCCAGATACAATATCTCGCATCCCACCTCTCCCAAAGCGCCCCAACCCCCAAGAATATGAACCAGCTTCAACCCCAACCCCAAGGATAAACCAGCGCCCCAACCCCAAGAAAAAACGCCCCAACCAAATCACTTGGCTTTCAACGCCTCCCCAAGCTCCCTAACCCTCTTCTCCCACCCATACGACTCTTCAATCCGTACCTCTAGCACACGTATCTCTTCGAGGACGCGCGTGAGGTGTTTGGCTCCTTGGTCTTCTGTGTGCGGTGCCGTTGGTGCGTTTTGCATTGGCGTTGGCGTTGGTGTTGGGTCGCTTTCACTGGCTGCAGTTGATTCACCGTCGCTCTCTCCCCGCCCCACACCCAACCCACTCCCCTTAGCAATCCGGCTAAACGTCCAACTCCCTGTTCCATCCCCCGTAAGCGTCAATATGTGCGTGTGATACCTTGTCAGTGACGGACTGCAGGTATCGACATCAGGATCGGATTCGCGGTCGTCATCGGAATTGCAGCCGTCAGCATACCATCACACCGAGGACAGGAAACACCCACCGAAGAGAAACAGTAATAAGCGTAATCCCCAACGCCTTTGCATGTCCGTACATCTGTCCTTCAACGTCGGAGCTTACGGCTGATGTGCATTCCAAGGCCGTGTCAGGCGAGGGGAATGGAAGGCAGGGAGGAGAAGTCACCGTCTAGAATCGCAAATTTGGGACGATGATAAAAAAGACGAGCCATCGCCAGCTATTCAAAGGATCAGCGCCGTCCCACCTTCCAACACAAGAAAAGAAAAGAAAAGCTGCAAACGAGGAACGAGAACGAGAACTAAGCACGAGAACAACGAAACGACGAAGCTCACCCTCTGCTTCTCCCCCCCACCCGACACATCCCTCCACTCCTTCACCGTATCCCATCCACCCTCCCTCTCCACCAAATATCCCAGATGAGCCGCACAGAGCAGACCCTCTAGTTCTTCCAGCGCCGCAGTGAGCTCGGACCGGATTGTGAGGTGAACTCAGAAACACCCTGCGGATAAATAACCTGCTATTAAAGAGACCCCGCAGGATGATACGAACGCTGCGGGATGACAAACACACCTGGACGACCGTCTACGTCATCTGTAGGACGCGTGAGCCCCGATCCCAAGTCCGAGTCCGAGTCCGAGTCAGACCTAAGCCCCGACCCAGACCCAGGCGCCCAAAGCCCCGCCAAAACCCGTGCAACAGCCGTCTTACCAACGCCATTAGAACCTGTTATCATAAGGTGCATGCCTGGTTTGAGGGTTAGGGTGAGTGCGCGGACGAGGGTAGTGGTGTTTGGGCCTGAGAGGGTTGAGTCTGGGTTTGGGTTTGTGGGTGCGAGGTCTTGGGTGGGTTTGAAGTCTGAGTCAGGGAGGGCTTTTGTGGTGGAGTTGGTAGTGGGATGGGAGGAAGAGTCAACATGAGGCGGTGTAGACGCGATGGGATATTCAGGAACGCATACGTCCACGTCTTTGAGGGCGAATGTATCTCCGTCTCCTGGGAGTGCGGGAGGGAGTGGGGGGAGGTTATGGAGAGTCGAGACGAGCGTGTAGAGTCTGTGGGAAGTTGTAATTTAGACGGTAGGGCGGGTGAGTTCGTTGAGTAGGCGAGTCAATTCGGCGATGAGGTCGAGTTGTAGATTAGACCAAAGGGCCAGTAATTCGTTGCCAGAATGTGATACATGGATACAGAGAATATACAAACTACTCACCGCCCAGTCAAACCAGCAACCTCTTGCAAATCTTTATATGCATACATAAGTCTCCCGCCTGCATCTGTGAGTGAGAGGAGAAGGCGGCGGTTGGAGATATATGCTGGGTTTCATCACCATTCAGTTAAAGGTTCTCTGCATAGCGAGTTCAAAGGAGACAAGGACCGAATCATACAACAGAACTCTCAAACGAACGAAGAATCCGAACCCAGAAAACACAAAGATCAAACACGCACTTTCCGTCCTAGCAGCAACCACACGATCCGAATCGCCCTTCTGCTTTCGTCCATCACCACCCCTACCATCTTCCTTACCCTCTCCATCTCCGTCCCCAACACGAGAACGATGACGCTTCCTCGTTATGAGGAGCGGCACAGCTATCAGCCCGTACCCAGCTGCGGACCAGAGATACTTGATCACGAAATCTTCTGTCCATTTATATGCGATGCAGATCTGGAGAGGGGGTTGGTTTGGGTGTGAAGGAGGATGAGAGGGGGATGAGGGTGTTGGTGATGGAAGTGGGGAAGTGATGTTTGGGTGGATCGAGAATATGATAGGTTGAGATATGGACCGTCGAAGAGGATTTTGATGTAGTTAAATTGAGGACATGGAGGGGCATTGATTACAGGTGGTGGATCAACAAAATAAGGCGCCAATGTAGAACAAAATGCAAAAGAAAAAAACCCACCTTGTATATCGAATTGACATGTTTGATCAGCCTCAAATAGGCTCTCGTGAGGATCGGCGCCGCCGTCGTAGAACCTGTGTTGGCGTCAGTACAAGTTGTTGTAGCAAGAAAGGTGAAGATAGGCACGCAAAGACAAGACTTACGCGATCTCCTCGCTCTCTCTCCCGACGCGTCCAACACCAGCTCTATATTCTCCATCTAGACGGGCTTCGACAGCTGCAGGACGACCAAAAGCAGGTGTAGTACAGCACGGAGGATCTGGGTGGAAGTTAGCGTTGATAGCAGGTTGGGGGTATAGTCAGGACTGACCTTTGCAGAAACATAGTAATTGATGAAAAGTAGTACGGTGCATCTGAAGCCATGTTCTTCGTTCATCTCTCCAAACAGACACAGCGTGTCTCTTCTCGTTCTGACTCTCGACAACGCCGTGTACAAATTCTGTCGTTGAATTCATCGACGTAGACATTCGGAGGCGAAAGGAATGCGTGCGCGTTATCCAATATTAACGAACCTCAAAAAACGAAACGAAACGAAACGAAAAGCGACGTACATCATTCACTGCGGAGACGAGAAACATGTATGACACGACTCTAAACTATCGCCCATTTCTGGTGTGGCAATGAATCCGTCGGTACTATACCGCCAGTAATTTTTTCTGTCGATCTGATACCTGCTTCCATTTTGAATACCAAGGTCCAACAACGCCGTGAAATGCTGTGAACGCATAGCAACACAGCACGCACAACACACAGCATGACGTGTTGGACATCACTGTGCTTCAGCCGGTAATAGATGAATTCGAACGACCGACCGAAGGCGGGAGTCCTTGTACTATTTATGCGGCCAATTGCAAACAGACTTCTTCTGCAAACACCAAATACGCAAAAAAAATACTAGAACCTTGGACAGTCAGATTCACTGGAGGTGATCATCATTGTGCATCATCGTGAACAGACGCAACTCATTTGCTTGCGGCAAGAGATATACTTAATCGTGCAGCTTAGCTTTCTTCTAGTAACGCAGGGAGCTTAGGATGTGACACAGACACACTTACAGAACCTAATCTGCGCGTTCCGCCTCGAGCCAACCTCTGACCCAAGTCGGTTGGGGCTTCTCATTCGCTGGTTCAGACAGGCAGGGGAAAGCCGACGCGTAAACATTCCTGTGGGAGTCGACTGCCTGACAAAGTCACGTGTGTGGGTTTCAATCCTCAGCTGAGTCTCGTGGTGTTCTACTTTTTGCTTACACTCTTAAGCACGGTCTCCCGATGGTTTCTTCTTTGGCATCTGTAACTTATCACCATGGCCAGTGAACTGCATCTGTAGTATTATCCTTAGCTTCTTTGTCTTCTTGCAATCTCATATTTGTTGTCGCTAAGCTAGTCTTCATTTTTGAACATTTAATATTGTCGAAAAGTGGCGAAATTTTCACTCTCCTGCTCTCGGCCAGTCTGTGCCCCAGAAAGATACTGTGACTTATTGACTTATTCTGTGCGATACACTTTCATATGCATTGTGAGTATCGCGGGACGAAAGAGTAGTTCTTGCAATTGGTCATCGGGCCAGGCCGTGGGTACCGGTACACGCTCCCACCGGCCAGTGGATATACAGCTCTTCCTCCATGTACTGACGGGATAGTACTGTCGAAACTCATTTTTCTCTCCTCTCACCACCCCATTCGTATTCGACATGGAGGCTGCATCCGATGCACTAATATCTCGGGATAGTGCATCCTCAATGCCCTCGTCTGCAGTGCGAGCAGCCAAGGATGTCACGTTCGGGAGTGTGCGTTTTCCAAGGCTGGTTTTTATTGCCTCGAGCCGCAAGAATGACGATCAGTTCCTGTGACACAGATCGCAGGCATGGTCTCCAAAGTCTTCGAGCACCCATTCGACTTGACGAAAGTGCGGTTACAATCACAAGTCCTCGATACCACTGCTAGATTCAACGGCCCAATAGACTGTCTCGTCAAGACATGGAAAAATGAAGGAGTTAGGGGTCTTTACCGTGTATGTGATATGTGGAACTTCTTCCCTGCTGGCGTGAACTCATACTGGTCGCAGGGCCTTCCAGCGCCAATAGCGGGCGCCATGCTGGAGAATGCTTCACTTTTTATGTCATACAGCGAACTTCAAAACGTGATACGACGTATCAATGCTCAACCCTTGTCACACGATCTTTCGTTACCTCAATTCGCATTGGCTGGTGCAGGCGCGGGCGCCATCACTAGTTTCTTACTGTAAGTCACTCGCACCTCATGTAAAGATGCCGTTGATTTTTATGTTCGACTAGCACACCCGTGGAGCTTGTAAAATGTAAAATGCAAGTTCAGATGATCGCTCCCAAGATACCTCAACCCACTGCAACAGCAACCCTAGACTCAAGTATCAGACCCATTTCTCGCCCCCTTCTCGGTCCTATCGCCGTTCTAGTATCTGTTATCCGTACAGAAGGCCTCCGCGGCCTTTGGCTCGGCCAAACCGGGACCCTCATCCGTGAATGCGGCGGTGGAGCCGCATGGTTTACCACAAAAGAGTTTGTCGGAACAACGCTCATCAAGCGACGTGGCTCCGAGCTTACACGGAAAGACATCCTTCCATGGGAATCTGCGTTATCTGGTGCATGCGCAGGTGGAATTTTCAACTTTTCCATGTTTCCCGCCGACAGCGTCAAGAGTACGATGCAGACTGAGGAAGACTTACGTCCTCGTGGCAATAACGCCCCCAAGCCGACGTTCCTTGGCACTGCGAGAGCAATGTACAGGGCGCAAGGTGTGAAGGGGCTTTACGCTGGGTGCGGTATCACTGTTGCTAGATCAATACCCAGCAGCGCGATTATATTCCTGATTTACGATGGCTTAAGTAGACGATTTGGATAGTAGAATAAGCACTAGAGCAAATTGTATGTATGTATATGGCTGATGCCCACCAGGTAACTCGCACAATGTATTGACGTCTAAGTCATGTAAGTTGATGTAACATCGCAAACACGGCAGAATCACAATAATGTGGGGCTAACTGATGTACTTTCAGCGTCAGCAATTATAATTATGGGGTATGTAACCGCGTCTAGGTATCCACCATCGATGAGTCTCTCCACAATAACCCTCTGCATTCAACCCAGGAACGCTTCTATGGTATGAATATCAAGATGAACAACAAAAGATTTATCAGACGCCCAAGGAGTTAAGTGTGCTTCGTCAAGAAGTACCAAATAATAGAGAAGGACTGTGAATGAGTGCTCAACAGAAAAGCCTTTTTGGGCGAGTGTACACCCAGCATCCACACCAGAGCTGTGGCATATAGGCAGCTCGCCGTGATGTATGGATTTTCGATGAAAGCCAACATAACAAGCATGTGACAAGCTGTCAACACGAGTTTCGTCTTGAGGACGGATCCGATAAGGATGGGTATGGTAGGGACGCCGGCCTTTAGGTCGTCTTCGAAATCACGAACATCAGTCATGACCTATATGCATAATTCAAGGTCAAACCCTGCCGGTAAACATTCGCTGCCTACGTACTGCATGGCATGTGCGGTTGACGGTCGACCAGACTAGTAGTTGAACGGTACTCCATGGAGATGGCAGGGCGTCAGCCAGACTTCCCGATCCCGACAGCACGGTGAGGACAACTATGTAGGTGCCACATCTAAAAACATTAGTTTAGTTTACGCGTACAGGCCCCATCGGTTCATAGCAAACTTGCAGACGTACCCTCGAATGATACCATTAAAAATAGCTTTCATGCCAGGGATTCGTTTGATAACAAGAGCAGATGCAGATGTAGCAGGATGATGCTCATCTTCACCAGAGATCCCGATTAGGCGGTTCAAAATCAGTCTGAACCTCTTGAAGTTGATCGGAGTAGTCCAGAGCAAAGCAGGAGCTACAAACCCTGTCGTGGCAAGGAGAGTCGAAATTGGGCATAGAAATAGTGCCAGCGCAAGGAACACAGCACTGAAGGCGAGGAAGATTCGTGCATATACAAACCAAGAGGTAAGGGGTCGGTCGTTTGGGTTCTTGCGATGAGATGAGAATTCCTCCTCTTGGTCCTTAAGATGGTCAGCGCCGATGGCAAGGATATCCGATGTCACACAGATGGTTATCTGTGAAAATGCAATTGAGTCAACAATATTCCTTGGTATTGAGTCAATGGGCACACCGGTCTCCAGTCAAACTTTCCATTGGCTGACATGACAAAGGACAAAAGGGATGTCAGGACGAAGCTGTTCATCGCTATCACGATGGGTCGCAGGAAGAGGGCATCTGCAGACTTCGGGATTGTGAGGATCGACATCTTAGTTTGAGCTTGAACAATAGGCAAATACCACTCTGCTGCTTTTTATAGTGGTATGACCAACTCCGACGCTGAAGGACGTGCGGGATGGTAAAACTTCGAAAAACTTCAACCTGTGTTTTTGTCAGCGCTTGCGACTACGTCGGAAAAAATGGAGGTACCATTGGAAACCATGAGAATAAGAGGGGAAGTTGCATAGATGGTGCTGGAATCCGCGGATGGAGTCCTAGAGCGGCTGATTCGACTAGTAGCCGCAGACGTCTGCACCGTGACAACATCCACAGGCTGATCATCGTGCTGTGCGACGTTCATGATCGTTTAACCATTTCTACATTATCAGCTCTAAATATATCTATACCATGTCTAATCGTCATGTCGGATGAAAGATGAGTCCGTCATGTACATAGCGATCTTGTATTCGGCCCCGGTATGTGGACCTATGTGACCTTGAGCAACTCGGATTAACCGCTCTACATCGTGCAAGTCTTTGACAACAATATTATGCTCACCACTACTAGGCAACCAGAACCTATCGGCTTCCGCTGTAAGTCACTGACTGTCAAACTACATTGTTCCAATGTCATCTGATAGTGACGATGATCCATCGGCTTCGGCGGCTTTGAATTAAGATGTACCCGAGATCACCATCGATCTTAGCGAGCTGTAGCATCGGGTCAGAAACGTAGACGAATCAAATACTACCAAAGTGACGGCAGATCGGGAGGTTGAACCCACCGCTCGGCAAGCAATGTCGCAACCCTGAATTACACCTTTGCTCCTCGGAGTCCTCACTGTCCTGGAGGAGAGGCTGCTTTCTTCTGCAGTTTGGCACCAGATTCACGCCGTCGTGCCACTGCCTCTGCAAAAAATCACGCTACCGCCGACGCCATCACCCATCTACTCGCCATCGACATCCTCCACCTCAACTTCCACGCTGTCACCAATTCCCCCTCTCCCTACTGCACGACGAAATAAAAGCATAGTGGTTGTGCCTTCGGGAAAATCGCTGCTTGGCTGTGTGATTGCCCTGCTTCACAGGCTACCTGACGATGAGCATAATGATGGGCATAAGTGGGCATAATGTTGTGTTGAATGATGACGTCGCTTGAAGGAGGAAGACTTGGTAAGTAAGGACATGAAAACATAAATAAGAATCTGAGAATCTGAGGGGGTTTAGGGGGTCTCACCTCAGGGTGATCGTGACATGGTTTCTGTAAGATAGGGAGCCGATCTATTTCGGAAATTCCGGATTCATGTATGTATGTAATACATCATTCGAGGCAGTGATATGCTGATGAATGAATGTCTGGGCTTCTATCGGCCATCCGAGAGAAACTGATTTCATTTTGCCAGTCAGCAACGAGGATACACTGTTGCTGAGCAGCGAAACACAACAAGTTAACAAACAGCTTCATAAACAGCTTCATTGGGGAATACCTTTCTTTCATTCAATCTCACTCGAAGGACAGTCTGCAGGATTGGATGTAGATTGTATTCGTTATAAAAATTTGCCTTTTACCGTAAAGTCCTTACTTACGAAGTTCGTAGTGGGGCGTCAAACTTCCATCCTATTCATCCCCCCACATGAATGTGCCATAAATACCGACACCGAGCGATGCCGATTACTATGTTCGACGACTGAGAGGCGACTTGGCGTGCGTTGGCCCTTGGGGCAGCAAGAAGTTGCAGATGCCTTTGTGAGAGCGGAAAGGAGTGGAGTTCTGTTGGAGGTCGCGAAAAGTTAACGTGTATTAATCCGCGGACCGCCTCGTAGTACTCTCGTGTACTATGTACTTGTGTACAATCGTGGAACAACACCGATATGCCGACGAATGCATGGGAGGAATTGGGAACTGCCAACGACGGCAGCATCGTTGACCTGCGAGGAAGCAGAAGCAGAAGGTGAGGGAGATAGCCTACGGTGACCACGCCTCCGCATCACGATGGAAGAGAAGTGAATCCGAGTGATCCAGTTCCAGTGCATTGACTGGCAGAACTTGCGTTGTGAGTTCGTCTCCTGCCAGTCATAATCAAGCAGCCTCCCCTCCCGTTCACCATTTTAACCAGGCTTGGTTTGGTTGCGGGTCACAGAACAGGGTCGCCGTCTTGGTCCTCCGCGCCGGAAGGATGGAGGAAGACTGGTGAATGGTCCATTCGAAGGTCCAACCACTCAGAAGAGTGTCAATAGCCCGGGAAGAGAAAGAACGACTATCATCCTAGCTAGGGAAGACTACCGGCAAGATACTTATATACCACCGGGTTTGCGTTAGCAGGACGACGGACAGGTCATGTGTATACTGAAGATTTCGTGGACAGCGTCATAGTCAAGGCTTGAACAAATTGAAATTGGAGGTCGTTGGTAATCACGTGATGGGTAAGAACGCGATTGAGCAAAAAAGTTGAGAATGAGATGTAAGTAATTTTGAACTACACTAAGTACCAGCTGGTACTATTAAAAACCATGTCACTACCCAATGCTGTGCGGCTTTCTGCCTCCTGCTCGCGCAGAACCGTGTATCGTAATTTCCCTCAGTTTCTTAGTTCAACACAGAGCAACTTTACGCCCAAGTCACCCATAACATCATACGTCCGGCCTTACGCCTCGAAGTCTAAGGCGAAATCGACTGCAGACTTGATTCCAGGATCAAAAAAAGCTCTTACTTCTGAGGCTACTCGCTTTGAATATGGAAAGTCCGAAACGAAGATGAGTGCCGCTGTCGAGTGGTACCGCAAGGAGGTAGCTGGCCTTGAGACTCGTGCAAGTGGTCGCGTCACCCCGGCCCTTCTCTCGCCAGTACGCATAGAACTTCCGGGCAAAGGAAAGGACCTGGTAAAACTCGAGGAAGTAGCCACTGTTGGCGTTCGAGATGGCTCAATCTTGATTATCACGGTGTTTGAGGAACATGTGAGCACCCCGTCACGGTTAGGCTTGAGCAGATTCACTTCACTTATTGATGCACCAGTAGAATTTGAAAGCAGTAGAACAAGCCCTGTATGCTGCAAAGCTACCGAACATTGTTCCTCAAAGACAGGATTCCAGAACAATCAAGATTCCTATACCAAGGTCACTCGCTTCGTATTGCTGTGACAGGCAAGGTCATTCATCATTTTCTCTTAGGCCAACAGTTGAGGCCCGCAATGCTCTGACTGCAACTGCTCAGCGAATGGCAGAGGACACCCGAGTGCAACTTCGAAAGATACAACAGACCAGTATCAAAAAGGGCGACTACAAAAAGCACTCGGTTGAACTCGAAGAAGTACGTCATCATCGCTTATGACTCCCTTTATCATGTCGTCTTATCTAACCTGTTCTATTAGTTTCAGAAACTCGCAGATAGGAACATTGCCGAAGTAGACAAGATTCTTGCGCAAATGAAGAAGTCAACCGGGTCCCGGTAGGGGTGTCTGGAGCCGTACCCTGGCACCACATATACATTTATTATCGATGCGTATACTAGTTCAAAGTTCATAATGCATGACAACACTCTATATGCGCTGCGATAGGAAGCTCCAAAATTTATGCTACAAGAAATGCATGAACCTAAGCATTATATCGATGCCCGGAAGCGCCAGAAGGTGCTTGAATACATATGTCCTTACAAGTATGCCTATTCCCCATGTCCAAACCACAAGTCCCAGAGCCACATCGACCTCGACTACACCAGATATCTAAAACCAATGGGGACCCGAAGCTCATTAACATCTTTCGCATCCCGTTCGTTCTTTTCGATCTGCTTGTTCACATACTTCAAATACAAATGCAATACGCCAAACATGGACGTTGACACCCCGAGTGCTGCGAAGCAGACGCCGTAGGAATAACGATATGTCGGACCCCAGTTGGACGGCCAGACGAACCTATGAGATACGTGCAATCGTGAATAATCAGCGCGAGCGAGAGATAAATGCCACTGACGATCCAATCATATTTCCTACCTGCGATAGTCCATTAATTAAAGCGATAGCGGCAGCTCGCTTCGCAGGTTCTCTGGCGAACGTGTTGTTGATCCAAGCCCAGAGCACCATACCTCCGCCTATGACTTGAGCCATCAGGAACCTGTACGTCCTTGAGCACAAAATGCAGCAATTTATGAGAGATGATACCACTTACAGCGAAATATAGCGCGCAGCCGTGTTCATCGTGCACATAGATATGACGACTCCAATGACAGCGATTGCATTGGAGGCAAAAATGTATATATAACGCCTTTGCGCCTTGTCAGAGTGCCTGATCGTCCGTGAGTCGCGATGTTCGATGGTATTAGAAATGGTTCACCGACTTTGAAAGAGCCAATGCAATTATCACTGCGAACACCCACGGAGGAGTGCAGAGCAGCAAAGTTTGCTTCAAATTATATCCCAGAGTAAAGACGAGCGTTGGGAAGTAAATGAAGAACGACTGCGCTATGCACTGGATAACGAATGCGACTGAAAACCACCACACCTTCCAGTCAGACACAGCATCCCACAGTCCTTGTACGGTCGTTCGTTTCTCAAGCTCGTTATCTTCCGCGAGACGGGAGACAGCAAGTGCTCTTTCCTCCGGAGTGAGCCACCTGGTGTTGTGCGGGAAATCGGGGAGTATGAACACCGCGCAAATCGCGGCCAAGATGGTGATGCTGCCCGTAATGTAAAATAACCATCTACAAATATTTCAGTTCCAGTGAGTAACAGAGACGAATGTTTCTCGCCTCCAAGCAGCTAGACCAAGTACTCCCTGCATGCTCGTAAGTACTATAGAAGATGCCAACACAGATCCGAAAACAGTGCTGAGCAATGTTCCACATAGAACGATACTTGTCCTCAAGGCGATTTCGTCTCGCTTGTACCATCCAGATATAAGAAACAGAACACCAGGGGTAAAGGGTGCCTCGACAAAGCCAAGAAAGAAGCGGGTGACAAAAGCCGCCGTATAACTTCGGTTGTACTATCAGATACTATAATGACGCAAAACGCGAATATGTACTTCTTTGTGATCCCTGTGCATCATTAGCCTTCGCCTTCGTGAATGACTAGTGTCCACAAACCTGTTAACACTGATATTACACCCCATGCCACCATACAAGAAGGAAGAAAGACAGCAGGCCTCTGCATCCAATGCAGCAACATATTTCTGGAAGAACAAGTCACACTGACCTGTCCTTCAATGATGGACGCAGCCTGGCACTCACGCTGGCAATTGCATGACAATGAAACCCACATATGCAATGGACAAGATCGTCGCGTATTGGTTCCCCTCCAGGTGCAGGTCGGCCTCATAACCTGCCAACCGAGCATTGCTGTGGACGGCATGAGATTCAGGCGAGTAGGATAACAGGTAGCATACCTAACATTCGTTTGGTCGATCTAATGATGGGTGCTCAGTACCAAGTTACATACTGGTAGAGTTCGCCAAATGGCCCACTCACGCTGTTCAGGGCACTCATAACCACTATTATGGACATGGTACGCAAATCGAGCTTCCTCAATAATCTCCTCTCAAGATCATCACGGGTATGGCAGGGTACGCCGGTGGGCGAGTCGGTCGACGGTGGCATCGGCCGTTTTCTCATCGTAGAGAGAAGACATCGTTCAAAACAACAAAAACAAAACGGGAATGTTGGTTCGGCAACAGTGAAGTGAGAAGAATGGTGCGGGTTTTATAGCAGTGCGGAGCCATGGACCGAAAGGGCATGAATAAGATATCAACGAGCACCATTGGCTTCACCTCCAGTTTACCTCCGAGCCTCGTAATTAGCGATGCACGGCCAAGGGTAGTGGTATCGCTGGCTTCACAGAATTGTTGAGCCTGGCGGATGAGGGAGGACGGCAGAACTTCCCGGCGGTAGTGTTGAGAACCCCAGGCTTTTCGGATAAACAATTCAGCATATAAGTATAAACTGTAATCGTAGTATGAACATTGATACCCATGAGATGACCGGTTCTGTAAGATTTTCATCAGCCAAACGAACATCCATGGATCTGCATGATATCTGAATCGAAGAGGCTGGGGTGCCTATAACGTCGTGGATCATAATTGCGAGGATGGTGCATGAATAAAGCATTGTTAATGTCTGTTAAACTTAGAACTACTTAAGAAGGAGGGGGAATATCTCACCGGCAGGGTAATCAGTTATGGTACATGGAACAAAAGCAATCGTTAATGTCTGTTCAAACTAGGAGGGGAAAATTTTCACCTCCAGCCTGTGCACGCACTGGCAGCAGAACTGATTACCCTGCCTGTTCTTCCGGTTCTACCAGAAGAACTGACCCTTGAAGTTCGGTCCATTTTGCGAGTACCTCCCTGTACCTCCTGGTTTGCGCAGTCAGTTGACCTCGTTAGAAGCTGCATATTGAAATATCAGGTAACTGTATGTTCTTTACGGCCCTGTGTATAGCTGCCCATATGCGAAAGGGTCAGTAGTAGTGCCGATCATGCAAGCCTGAGAGGGGATTGTTCGCGGTTCATATACGTGGCCGTTTGAGAGGGGTGGGTCAAATGTGATGGCAGCCTTGCATGTCTAGTGAATCCAGTGGCTATCAAAGGTGTTCAAAGCGGTTGCCGATGGCAGGGTGTTTTGCTAAGAGATCTAGCATATACGCGAGTATTCTGTTGCGAACTCAAGTCTCAGTCAGCTATGGTGTGCAGGGCCCCGGGTTGCTCGGGGCGATATCGATATCAAAATCAGGAGCTGAAAGGTATAGATGATTTAGAGTCGTTTTTCTCTCCGAGACATTAAGAACAAAAAGTGCGGTCCGCGACTAGCTCGTTGGTGAAGACAGCCTATTCGTCGGAAATATGTCACACTTGACTTATCTTAGTTCGATCGAAAGTCAAACGTTACATAAACTCTGATCTCAATCTAATCTAGCCAAGATTGATTTCATGCGCTCAGCCTCAACCCAACGCTTAGCGCTAGCCCAGTCTCGTACTTACTCACGTAGCTATAGATAGACAGCTGGGCTCCGAACAGCACAAGATAAGTAGTACTGATTGCGAATGACTGAACATCTCAATTGAATTCCCTGGACTACGCTACTGATGTAGCTTAATAGATACAATTACGAGGTATGCATTGCGCTTTGAACATTATAAGCTGAAGTAATAGTTATGGATCCGGACTGAGGACTGCATCTAGAGACCAAAGGGTATGATGTAAGGTATCAAAGTCTGCGAGGTATAAGTCTGCAAGTTCGAAGAATTATGATAATGATAAGCGCCAGAACAGCTGCAGTAGCAGGAAAAGAGTGAAGCATACACAATAAGTGGAAATTTCGCGTGGTCCTATGCTTGTCATCAAAGAAGGTTGCCTCGGTGATCGAGACCAAATACTAGTCAAGCGTGAGCGAGCGTGCAGGAAAGAGGAACAAGGTACGTACAACTTGCAAGTTCGCGGACGCTCATTCCTACGATCAGACGTGCTTCATTAGTAACGTGTGTGAGGCTCATGACAAATACTCACTGCCAATCTTCTTTCCAGAGCCTTCACCAAGACTGCCATCCTGCAAGGTTTCGCTGAAGCTATGTTAACAGAGGCATAACTTATGCATCACAATCTCCCTTACCTTGCGTTCCTGGAGAGCAAGTACACGATCCTCGACAGTATTGGCGATGACCAACCTTTGCACGAAGACCTCTTTCTGTTGACCTAGACGGTGAACTCGGTCAAACGCCTGGCTTTCGATCGCTTCGCTCCAACCAAGATCGAGGGAGATGACGCCTGTGTGGAGTGAGAATGCGACAATGTAATAAGAAGCTGGGGAGGCGTACGATTAGCCCTTGTCAAATTCAACCCAACACCTCCGCATTTCAGAGACATAAGCATGACCTGTGCGCTGTTGCTCATCATGAACACTCGGACAGCCTGATCCCTTTGATTGCGACTCATCGACCCTTGATACCTGAATTGAAAGATTGAATTGATTCAGATAAACCAGTACTGGGCCATTAGAAGATTCGCACTTGACATGAGGTATTTTCCTCTCCGCCAGGAAGTCGGAGACAAGTTTGAGACATTCGGTCCACTGGGAGATGATTATGGTCTGCAAATAGCATCAGCATCACGATCGGTATACTCGTTGGACGATGAATCGCACCTTGTCCTCAGGGTCTTCCTTGGCCCATTTTTCTAGATGCTCCATCATGTGCTAAGGAGACGAAATTACAAAACGGTTTTGGAAGAAGACACGAAAACCTACGTTCATCTTTGTGGAAGGGAGGAAACGCGACATCATTTTGACTTGACCCGTGGCAGCAGGCACCTTCCTGGTACTCCTACCTATGACTACTTCTCTCTCATCTGCGTCAAGGTCATCGTCAGACTCAACGACCATCGCGCGGCGTTTTTTCAGACGTTTCTTGATGTCGCGCCTGACATCCTTCTCTTCTTCTTCTTCTTCATCCTCGTCATCCTCGACAATGAAATCGCTCATGTCGTCGTCGGCGTCTTCTGATTCATCGTCCGAGTCATACACAGCACGCTTTTTACGGGTGCGTGTGGCCCTGTCTTTTCCTTTCGTTCCCTGACGCATTATATCAGAGATATTGAGCATCTCGTCGTCAGAGTCCATGTTCATGCTACTGGATGATGTTCCCGACAGCTCGGCATCCGTAGGTTCGAATGCTTCGCGGATGAAAATGGCATTGGCAGAGATAGGAGCGCGGCAGCTAGGACCTGCAAGGCCAAATGAACATGGTGAAGAGAAGTTGCGTACATTACTCACAAGGCTTCTCGTTGCCCCTGTATTTACGGGGGTCCTCCGCATCTTGGACAAAGGGAGAGTTGAGGACATTAGCGACACACTCGCGACAAAATGCGTGACCGCAGGCCGTTACACGTGCTTCGGTAAACGTGTCCATGCAGATGGGGCATTCCTCGCCCTCAGCAGTGGCATCGGGGGACTGTGTTTGTGGTGAACACCATGAAATCCATGTGACGGGAGAAACACACCTCTTTTTCTGCTTGCATGCGGGTCCATCGTGCACTGGAGATACTTCGCCCTCAGCTTTGTCACAAAATCTGTCGACAGAAGCCGAGCTGCGCGGGTCCGTTCAGCTTTGAAGTCATGCCCGCCAATCAGCTGATCTTCTGCAACCAATGCTTCGGAAGTCTCCTGGATAAGAGCGGGGTGGGAACAAACTTGGCGTAGGCGTAACAGCATGACAAGGACTAGATTTCAAACGATTAGCAATGACTGCATTAGCGGAATGGTGCAGTACCTTGATGATAGTTTCTAAAGTTATAGTAATTGAGATCAGGTTCCTCCAAACTGTGGGTGACTTACTTCAAGACAGTACCAGCGCGGAGAAAGCGATTGAACCTAGCTTGGGAGCGAGCTTCGACCTAAAAGATATGGCAATGAGCACGGCAGCCTATATACACTGGCAGAACCAACCATCTGGTATATGTCCCGCTCTTCTTGAGAGAACTCTAGTTTCTCCATCTCTACATGTTTCGTGGGAAGTTCGATGAGTCTCTTGCCGTCTAACATTGAATCCTTCTTGCGACGCAGCATAATCGATGTGAAAATAGCCTGCAATCTCGTGCTTGCCAATTCAGCTGTAGTTGGAGCGTGATTAAGTGAAGCAAAGATGTATAGTGGGCGAACATTGACGTACGATTCCTTTTCTCGATGATGGAGACGTGTCCGTTAAACTCGTGCCAATCATAGAAAGGACGGAGGCGAAGGAAGCGAAATAGAGCGTATGCGTCGACTAGGCCATTGATAATGGGAGTGCTGTCCGAAAATTAGTGAATAATGGTCACGATGGAAGAGATGCTCACCCAGTGAGGCACCAGCGGTAGGTTGTGTCAAGATTGGTGACGCTGCGAGATATTCCTGCAGGCTGTCAGTACGCAGGAGAGTGAAACATTGCAGGTATTACTTGTGCGCCGGTTGCGAATGTTCTGTGCTTCATCAAGAATAACACGGTACCACTCGACCTGGAAGAGAAGCCCCACTACGTAGAGTCAATTTGTGTGACAACACAGCGATATTTGTTGCTCACATTCTCTCTTTTTCTTCTTAGGTTTCCTGTCATCTCCCGAATCACTTTCGATAAAGGAATCATTGCTACTCTTTTTCTTGCCCTTTCTAGCCTTCTCCTTGGCCTTCTGTTCCGCTTCTAGGTCTGGCCATTCCAGTGCAAGAGTCTGGAGATTCAGAGTCTGTCAGTGATCAGTAAAAGGCATTGAACTATGACGCACATGATACGTAGTCAGCACTACATCATATTTCATCAGGTCAGTCTTTCTGCGGGGTTTGTTGGGCCCTTAATGGAAGAAAACGAACGTAAGACTAGAATGAAAACGAAAACCCGCAGGTTCTAAACGTACCATGGTAAACTAGACACTTCAAATTGTTGGTTGTCTTCATCTCGATCTCAAGTTTCCACTGGTCCAGTAAGGCCAGCGGAGCAACAATAAGGTTCGTCTTGCATCTCGGGTCACCGGACGGGTTGGCGACGACCACCGAGATGATTTGCACCGTCTTGCCTAAACCCATTTCATCGCTCAAGCAGCCACCTCTGTCGCCACATTTTTCGCGTTCCAACACCCATGCAACGCCAATAACCTGGTGGGGCAACAAAGTAACGGCCATTCCTGGAAGGAGATGATACAGGCTCTTCAATCCGAGTTTTTCGAGAGCCTTGTCGACACTGGCGTTGCCATCGAATTGCTCCGCGTTGCCAGCAGCGATCAAAAATTTGTCAATACTGTGAGTAGCATAGAAATCAGAATGGATTAATTCTAAAAGATTTTGCGACGTACTCGCCCGGGTTCGCAGTTAATCCGACAAACGTGTCTTTGCCTCTACCGTAGAAGTCACCATCTTCGTCAAAGCGTGGATCAGGAGTGCCAACACCGCCCCAAAGATCATGCAGCTGCTCATCCTCCAAGTCTGTGTCCGACTCCATAGCAACGTCGAGACGAGCGCGTGATCCCGATGCAATAGGCTGGTGGTTAAGGAGAGTCCCATAAGAATATCCGGCATCGTTACCATTGAGACGAGGGGCCTGGAAAGTTGTGGTAGAAAGTCCTTTACCGACGGTCCTGTCTTTCATTTCTATCTTGAATTCAGAGACCTTGGACATGGGGTTTTCACAAGCCGACAGGTCGTTCTGGATTCAGGTCAGCTTTAAAATGGGTTTTGTCAGAGCTGTGGTGCAATGGTACCTGGGCCACAGGAAGCACTGCCTGGTTATTTGCGGGCTGTACGGGAATGTGGCTTCGCGAAGACTTCGTGTTGGACTTAACAAGCGCTCGAGGCGCCTTGGGCGGGTGAAGAGTTGCGCGCTTAGATACGAGGGGAATGGAGACGCCAATTTTGTCTTCCTCGTTCTCCGCCCCCAGGAACATGAGAGACGATGACGTGCGCTTTCGGGGGATGACAGGGTCACTAGGCTCTGGCTTTACGGGAGTCCCAGTAGTGCTACTCCTCGAGGGCAACGACACAAACACTTTCATATTCGGGGCCCGTCGCACCGAGGGACTTGTGTTGGAGAGACTGTTGGCGTTCAGCTTCGCATCAAGCTGGGCCAACAAACCACCTCGCGGCAGCTTCGTATCGATGGTGACGTCTGACGCAAGGACATTCGCCTGCGCAACCATTGTTATGATGGAGCTTGCAGAAAACACGACTTTACTTACCGTTTCATTTTTAATCGCCTTGCCACCACGAAGGGTTTTGACGCGCGCAAGTCTCGCCTGTTTATGCTTCGATGTACTGGCATGGACCTAAGGAGGGAGTGTTCAAACACAAACAGTCTAGCATACCGAATACCATACCATGTATTTGGCCAAACTACCAAAACCATCTGCTTTTCCACCATCTGCTGTGGATCTGGCACTTAATGGAATATTAATAGCAGCGCAAGCCTGCTCCAAACAGGTGACTACGCCATCTACAAATTTAACTCAGCGAAGACTTCATATCCACAATAGGGAGCGCTTACATCCTCTCTTTGGTTGTAACGTGACTCTAAACTGTAAAGGGGTCGTCAAAGAGGGATGTATATCGCGCCAGATGATGGAAGCTTACGTTTGTATCGTATGGTTCTATTTCCAGATGCTGGCGAAGTGCAGCGAGATAGGACTTGGGAACAGACGCGTCCTGAAATATCTTCAGCCTGCCGCACAAACGACGCCGCGTGCATGAGCGTCAATCAATGCGTGCCTACCCACATGTTTCTGAAAGCCAAGCTGCTCCCTGGCAATAGCAAGAATTTCAGGCTGGTATGAAGACGTAGCTGCCGCGTTCATAGTGGTACCAAGGTTGTGGAATAAACCAATGGCAAGAGAAGGGCAATTTGAGAGACGCGACGCGACGCGACTTTAAAGCGCGTTTGTTTGTCATTCTTTGTTTGTCCGCGTTTGGATTGAGTTCACCTTGCGTTCACCGCGTTTTCAATCAAGATTCATGACAGCCTTTCATCTCAAACTTTCATCTCCTCTGACAGCGGAGAGAGAAGGGACGTTCTACATATGGTCTGCGTAAGGGAGCCCATCAGACGCCTCTGAGCGCTTGTCGGTGACGTTGATTCATGGTAATTGCCCTCCATCCTCTGTCCAGCACTCCTATGTTGTTTCATCTAATCAACCACGGATCTGGGAAGGCGTGGCGTATAAGCTCCCACCACTGCTCGTGGTCACCTACAAATCGCAGGACGCGCCTTCTGGTGTGTGCAACCCAGTGAACGTTGTTTTCATCAATCGGGTGAAGGACCAGAACCCGGACGTCAATATACTTGCCAATTCAATGCCCGACGTTTAAAATCTATCTTGCGGACTTCACTCGCCTGATGCTCACTGTTCAATGGTACCATATGACCGTGACTAGTGTACGGGTTCGGCGGCTCTGGCTCCGATCCCCTCTCGAAATGGAGTTTCCGGCGATCTCCCTTAAATCTCCCTAGCCTAATATCTAAACCCTAGATCTTGAGGTGGTGCACAAGGAGTGATGCTGCATCAGGATAACACTATAGTATAGGTGATATGGTAAGATAGGATGCAATGTTAATTTGACGAACGGATCCGACTCTGGGCTATTGCTGTATCTCCCTCGTTGGTTGTGGCAGCATGGTCCTCGCTGAAGTCAACAGAGGCACCATTTGATATCATTGTTTGGCCCTACATTCCGTAAGTTCTTGTCCTAAGTGGGCTGATGCAGGGTCAATCGCGCCAAAGAATACAGTCGTTCACTTAGGACAAGTACGCGAGGATTATGAACGCATCCATTTCCGATGAGGACGGTACCTTAGAATTCATAATCTGACGAGGTTGTATGTATGCTTTCAAGTGAATGTTATCGCAATCCCTCGCTCTCTGGGATCCACAGCTTTCATGTTGCATGCTAAGGCTCTTAACAAATCTCCAAGGGAGACCCTCCAAGGCGATGTCGATGCTTCGAAAAGATTACCAGAGATCGCGCGATCAAAGAGGGACGCGGCATAGTGAACCGCATTCGGGGGCTTCAATTCAATTCGTCCAATCTGCAGGACGCTTCTTCCTCTGTGAGTGGCTCCTGGAATACGTACAGACTACGCTCATTCACCAGGCAGAATAAAGGATATGTTGTGGAGACAGTACGAATTGCATGATATAGTGCACACGATTTTGGCGAGGTAAGGTTCTGGCTGCGGTGCACCACTGCAATTCGAAGGTGGTGCAGGGTACAGTCGCAGCCGGCCCTCATGTGGGCAGGCGATCCTCGTCCAAAGGATGCGACAATTTACTCTTCCTCTCTCGGACCAGAGGTATTCCATGCTGTTAATCCTTGCCTAATCGGAAGGCGGTTTTAACACCTCTTGAATTACCATGGCTATTTGGTAATTTATGCTACGTTTTGGGGCCACACAGCGCTGACATCAAAATTGGTCTTTAGCTTTTGGTTCAAAGTTGCCTTGACGCCAGAAGTGTAAAGGTCAACGGCTATCTTTACCTGCCCATAGCCCCCACGCATTGGTCTATTCTGTGTCCATATTGTGTGATATTACAGTTACGATCTGGATATCGTCACATAAGTACCTTATCTAATAATAATAAATGATCCCCTAATACATATCCCTAGCAATATGATACGGCGAGCAATTATCCTTACATTAAATGTCCTGACGCATCTCCTTTTAGTGGCGTAAACTCATGGCAAGTTCAACAGTTCATGTCGAGTCCGTACAATGATGCCCTTGGAACAGGCATCATGGTCGCAAGCTGCTTCCGAATTTGGCGAACAGGCTCGTCGGTTTGAGGCTCGTCCGGCGCAATGGGTTCTGGCAACTCACGACTTGAATATGAATTCTGACTGTTGTAGGTCCTCTCCTGCAAACAGTAATGGGGTCATATTTGATAGCAATGACTCAACGACTGACTGTGCTATAATCAAGGGATGGGCTCTTTGCTTCATCTCCCGTCAATGCCGACAAGATGTGCATTGCCTGATTGAATGACTTAGAGTCGCATAACCACCATGATCACTTGCACACACCTTATTATTAACTTTTGATGGTCGTCCGAAAGAAGACGCATTGCTGAATGCGCGAGAAAGAGTGAGACGCTCGCGCCTTAAATCTTGATACTCCGATAGCGTTTTATCCAGTTGATTATGCAGCTCCGCCTGCTCCTTGCGAAGCTTCGCAGCCTCCGCTCGGAAAGCATCTCTCTCCCGACGAACTTCAACGAGGTCGCTGAGCAGTCTAGCGTTATCTGCTTGAAGCTGTTGGATAACCTTGCGTTGACGGGCGTGGACACTTTGTAGCTGCTCAATCAGTACTGCCGAGGGCTTGTCCATCGTGAATAGAGAGTGCGCAGAAAGTAGGAACTTCGAAGTAACTGGATGTCGATGGACGGAGACTCATCTTCTCTTTTTATTAGCTGAACCGTATCGTACTATCCATCACCATCAGGACAGCATGATGTTGATTTGAGAACGTGCACACCCACCTGGATCCCCACATAGCTACTAGTAGTGATATGTTGTATACGTTACTCGTCGTCGTTCCAGGGGTTGACCGTGATGGGATGATGTTTCTATTTTCGTTGACTGCCTCTCATACTAGAGTCTGTGCTCTGCTGTGTTGCCAGTGATTCTTTTGATGTCCTTGGTGTAGGGCCTACAGAGTCCGCGCATAGCTTCTAACTACCCCCTAAGCTTGGTATGAACACCGCACATGTAGATGTCGATGATGCATTGATATCATGCAATGCATCATACAAGTTGCGCTTGTTAGTAGCTGTGCATCAACAAGCGCCAATCGTTCGATGAGAGCATCGGCCAAGTTCAATGTTTTACATCGCATTGCAGGTAGTCACTAGTCTATTTCCGCGGAGGCAAAGGATTTGGATGATTTCACTGAGCTGTTCAGCACTGCATTCTTCCTCGACGCCGGCTGAGTTCCAGCGAGGCTCTTTAATAGACCTAAACAATTCTAATCGATATGATAAACATTCAACTCAAGGAACCAGACACGCTTCTTTGCCTGGCGTTTGCCTGGAACTTGGCTAGATCACCACCTACCAAGAATAGTACGGTACTTTGGGAGTGATTTAAAAAATTAGAATCGAGGTTTGAGGCCGTGATCCTCGACCATTCCCCGACGGGCCGCGGCAACATGGGATGCACGATGTGACTCGAAGCACCGTCACGCACTTCTGCCCAATTCTGCCTGTCACGCGCCTCATGCTTGTTCGGATTCCAAAGCCAGACGGGTGCACCGGTATGTAATGTTTCATTCCGCAGGATCTCGAGTTCTCTTTCCGCTCCAACCCACCCCTTCTCCAGCTGGTAGTTCGGCTTCTTGTCCGACCATTATTATTGATTTTCTGACTATATGAATGCCCTCGGGCCTTCTTTCTATCCATATTTCCACGCTTCGTGAATCGTGACCATGAAGCATTGGCTCGCGCTTGAGATCTTTGCTTCCTATATATCTTCTGTGAAGGGCTATAGTCTTGTGCACGAATATTCGGGGCAGAGCTTCTTCGATCGCTGGGACTTCTATGGCAGTTATGACAACTTGACTCAAGGTGAGTATAGTATTCGTCGTCACTTGTCTCCCACTACAGTAGGAAGCATTCTGCAGGTAACGCCATATGGGTCAATGAATCCTATGCATCCAGTCAGGGGCTGGCGTATGTAGACAGTCAAGGCCATGCCATAATTAAAGTGGACAACATAACAGACGTGCCTATGGGCCAGAACCGCAGCTCAGTGCGCAAAATAAATAAGCCAAGCATCTAGCACTTATTACCGACTAACAGGTTCGCATAACCACTCAAGATACTTATGATCTCGGAAGCCTGTGGATAATTGACCTCAATCACCTACCATATGGATGCTCGGTGTGTTGTAACAGGCTTGATTCACTCGTCACTGGCAACTGAACCATTTTCGTGAGGTTTGGCCCGCGTTCTGGAGTTTTGGTGCGCGTGATGTTGTCGGTCCTTCAATTTCACCCACTGACGCCGCGTTGTAGGGCCTGACTGGCCGGAGAATGGGGAGATAGATATCATTGAAGGCATTAACTTAATGTCCGACAACCAGATGGCTATCCACACCACGCCAGGATGCACTCATAATGGATCAGAATATCAACTTGGTGCAAGCGGTTCAACGGCCAACTGTTCTGAACCCTCTGGATGCACAGTGATGGAACCTTCTCCGAATAGTTATGGAAGTGGTTTTGCAGAAGCTGGCGGGGGAGTTTGGGCGACACAATTCGATGTGTCAGGTATCTTGTACGCAGTTGCACATCCCATATCCCCATTATCCTTAGGGCTGACTATCATTTGCAGTATCTGGTTCTGGAATGTGCGATTTCCTCTTGAGTTGGCTGAAAGATTGTAATGTGCGCTGACTATTCTTCAGCGCTCCGATGTGCCCGCTTCCATTAGTCAAGCTAATTCGACTTCGATGGATATCACTCAGTGGGGAATTCCGCATGCCAGTTATTTTTCTAGCACTTGCAACATTCGCCAATATTTTAGTGCGCAGAACCTAGTTTTAGACATCACTCTTTGTGGTGACTGGTGGGTTCCCGTCATACCTCGTAACACAGAACCTTCGTAATATTCATATGTTACATACAGGGCAGGAGTTGGAGACACTTATAATGCGACATGTGGCGACTCAGGTCCAACAGGCTTATGTGTGAGTCCTAACAGCGGTAAATAACATTTAACTCATTTCCGGTACAGTACCAGGACTGCGTGGTCGGACCTGGAAGCCCACAATATGACAACGCATATTTCAACGTATCCTATATTCGTGCATATACCTCTGCTCTACCGTCTGCCACTCCAACGACATCCAGCACTTCTACCACGGCAACCACGAGTTCCACCACAACGACAGCTCTGCACACACCTTCGCTAGGCTACGGTGGTTCCATCGGGCAATTCGCTGAGAGCTCCGATAACAATGGGTGGGGTGCAATAGTGATGCTCCTCATTGCAGCCCCAATTGCCATGATTGGTTCATGGCCACTCATGTTCAGGAAGCGGCGTCAGGCCATGCAGTCACAGCCGCCTGCGTAGTTTCACCTCACTCACACGACTTTTTACGACTACATTCCATATCTATATTGGACAAGGAATAACTGACAGATTGATATACTATTAAGTAACGACAGAGTCGCTTGCTTTTCATGTGACATCAGTATCATGATCATGTGTGCGGACCTAGTCCACGTGTTAATGTCGGGTCATGCTGCATCGTGATTTAGACCTTCGGGTCCTAATGTCGACCTTCAGTGTATGTATGTATCTGTCCAACCTACTATGATGCTCATGCCTTTCCCCCAGTGCTGGCAGCCTAAAGGTTTTGCCACTGGGATTTACCTCACCTCACTTCGGGAACGAATTTGGTTCCAAATTCGCTGTTGTTTTATCGTTCGATTTGCCAGTTCAGACACGGCTTCTATTCCCGGCTTGACAGGCACGACTGCAGGCGCCGGATGCCTGCATAAAAACCGAACAAAGATCGGGACGGGGCCCCATATACTCCACACAGAACCATGACTGGCACAGTCGATGAAAAAGCAGCTCAAGCGATGCACTCAGAAGTTGATGCAACTAGTGGTTTTGAGAAGGGGTCACCCTATGGCAACCTCACGGTGCTAGCGCAGGCTGCTGCAACTGATCATGCCATCACCCCAGTACAGGCTATGCGGACGCATTGGCGCGCCTTTGCATGGTGCTTATTCATTAACATGGGTGCACTGTTGTGGGGCTATGACTCTCAGGTGGGTGATTCCACCATGAATGGGTGCGACGGCGTCAAGATAGTCTTCTCCTAGGTTGGCGGTGGTTTATTGAGCGTTCCTTCGTTTCGTAGGGATTTTGGGAGCTTTGTTAATATTGAGGAACAATACGTCCTTGCTGCATCATGGCAAAGTGCCTTTAACAGTATCAGCTCCGTTGGTGGAATGGCTGGAGCCTTCTCTTTAGGTCACATCTCGGAGCTCTTCGGGTACGTGTATAGTGTGAGGGTCCGCAGTCTTGGATTTTCTTGCTCACATGAGACAGACGACGTGGCGCTGTCGCTGTCGCTTGTCTGGTCTCCATCGTTGGTATCTTGGTACAATTCCTCACGCCTGCCCATAAGAACGGGATGCTATTAGCTGGCAAATTGATCAACGGGTTCTCGCTTGGTTTGACAAATGCTCATTTTACCTTTTGTTGTTTCAACTGACTTGTGTAGGAATGTTCGTCTCAAGTGCAGGATCTTACTGCGCAGAGGTTTCCCCTCTCGCGTTACGTGGTATCACTACCGCATCTGTTAATCTGTGGATTGATTGTGCGTCTCCTTCTCTATGTACATATAACCTAATTCTATGACTTGAGTTCTAACATTACACACTACATCCAGTGGGTCAATTGTATGTTCATTACTTATCTCCATTGGCACATTACTAAACGAGCATAGCATGTCGAACGCAGTAATTCGCGGAACAGGCAACCGAACAGATGTTTATGCCTACCGTTTGCCTTTGTAAGTCGCTCAATTTTTTGTCCTACGTTCGACTTTATCCCTCCATCCAGTGCACTCCAATGGATCTTTCCAATTATCCTTCTTGTAGGCCTTCCTTTCGCTCCGGAATCTCCTTGGTGGCTCGTCCGCAAAGGGAGGAAAGATGAAGCTCGGAATGTCATCACGCGGCTCGGTGGTCCAACGATCGATGCAGACATGCAACTTCAACAAATCCAGGACACGATTGAGCTCGAGGATTCGTATGCGGCGAGTGCGAGATACATTGATTGCTTCAAGGGTTTGTTTCCGCGCCGGCCATAATCTTTGATTGCATTCTGATTAGAATACAACAGGGGTCAACCTCAGACGCACTGTTGTGGCAATGATGGTCTTCGTGCTTCAGCAAAGCGCCGGTATGTTTCTATTCAATGAGCGTCAATACCAGTATGCTGAATATTTGAAAGGGGTTGTATTCGTTCTGGGCTTCAGCACATACTTCTTTGAGCTTGCTGGTTTCGCTACTACCAATGCCTTCAACTTGGGTGTCGGGGTGACAGCCATCGGCGTAATCATTTAGCTGTTAACTGCTCTTCGTCAACATCGAACGATCTTTGTCTAGATTGTTGGCAACCTGCTAACATTTTATACAGTCAATCGATTCGGTCGTAGATTCATATTCTTCTGGGGAATGCTTTCCTGCACTACAGTGCTATTGTTGATCGGCTTTATATCCATATCACATTCTCAAAGTGCAAGATGGACGGTGGCTGCCTTTGTGCGTTGCGTCCCTGTTGAGGATGGCTCGCATCTGGTACTGATTTTCCTGCCCTAGACAATCATATACAATTTCGTTTATCAAACTGGGATGTAGGTCACTCTGCGCTGTGAGGCTGTCCTTCACTGACGGGCTGGGTCGCAGTGGTCCCCTAGGCTATGTCATTTTTGCTGAAGTTTCGTCGGCTAAGCTGCGGTCGAAGACGGTCGCATTAGGAATCTGGGTCAATTCTTTGTGTGGCATGGTTGTGAATATCGTTGTCCCGTATCTGCAAGTTTTTCCTTTTTTTTCTTCTCGTAGTGCATCTACTTAAGGGTTCTTTTCCAGCGTCAATCCAGATCAGGCAAATCTTGGTGGATACGTTGGCTTTATTTTTGGCGGCCTGGCTTTTGCTGGAACAATTTGGACCTGGTACTTCATTCCGGAAACTAAGAATCGCACAGTAGACGAGTCAGTTCACTTCAATCACTGCTCACCGATCTTTTCTGAAGTGATCTTAATCCAGGCTCGATGTTCTTTTCGAACAACACGTTCCCGCGCGTCACTTTTCGACACACGACATTCTCAACTCCAATTCCCCTTCCATTTAAAGCAGTGGACTCACGAATAACGGGCCCTTCATATATGCCTAATACGCTGTGTTCGCGGTCAAACGACCATGGTCGATCTATTACATGTTACGGCCTATATTTTGCGTAACACTCCAGGCTTCTGTTGGGATCTACCTTGTAGTTAATAGGTTGTGTCTGTGCTCTTCCTTGCAACAGCGTCTAGCGAACGTCTTGAAAGCTTCTAACCGTCGGTGCCTCTGAACCACTTTTAGTATCAGGATATCTCAAGATGTGCATCGTAGATCACAATAGAAGCTCGGACACGGATTCAATGACCATTCGAGCTCGTATCTTCAAGGTTTCGACTTCTTGGAACTTTCGAAGAGTCCCTAACAGAGGCTTGACAAGATATGTCAGTATAGTTCAAACTTTCCTGAGCTCTTGCTAGTCTGACAATTGATCCAGGGGAATGACTTCTAGGGCAATGACACAAACTTCACGCCTCGTCGCACAGCTCCACTCGCGGACCCATCATATTCCCTTCACCTGCGGCATTTGTTAAGGCACCGTTCTTACTTCGGCGTTCAACGTTCAACCCTCAAATATGCCTCCTCAACCAACGCCACTCAAGTCCCGGCGTTGGAATTTCAGCTTATCTCCCATCAGAACCGTGACCTCCATACATCCCGTCGACGTTGCTCCTACTCGCGATGACGACGGAAGCTCCTCATGACATCACCGAATTTGTCCGTCAGCGGAAGTGGCCGCAGCTATGCAAGGCACGAGCGGCAAGACCGCTACTGGAGAAACATCATAAGGGATAGGATGCTGTGGAGTTTATCTTGTTCGTCGTCGATCCACATCGAGTCGCACTAGCGATTGGGTGCTCCAACTTGAAAGAAGAATGCGTCTTTAGGTGCTCAATTGCATCGCATCATACTTGTCCTGGTCACAAGCATTGAGAAACGATGTGATTTTGGTGCAAGCTGTACGAGTGCGGCTGAGTGCCACTCGACGGTTACCTCCATCAATAGCTCGAACGTTTTGCCACATCAGCACGCAAGATTTCTCTGAATTCCCATGAAGGGTACGCTAAACAAACCAGTCACAAGACTCACAACTGCAACACCTATTTATTAATAGTTGTGTCACCTCCGACTACACGAATATTACCTTGGGTTACCAACCGCAACACTAGATGCAGTTCTCGCTCAACGTTGGACGTTGCCAACAAGTACTAACGACGAACAGAAAGCGACTGGATTGAGGATGAATCCCTCTCATCAAATCAATTTGATTGTGCAACTGGTTCTTGTTCCTACAGAATCCCATGAGAGGCCCTGAAACAATCGGGGAAGTCGTTAAGTTTACACATAACATACGTCCTGTCCGACTCGCAAATACACGATCAACCCAAATTTCCGACCTTCTTACGCGGGTACACTAGTCTTCTTTGTATGTCATTGCATCGCGGTCGAGGCTGGAGACGCGTGCATACTCCAGGAATAACCTTGAATCGATCGATGAGAACCCTTGTCTTCTGAAGAACGAAAAAATCCTACCGGAACGTGTATGCTGTTAGATCTTCTCGCCTCCAATACTTCTTGCTCCACTCGCGCCCTGCGGTGGCTATTTTTTGTGCCAAGTCTTCATGCGCGCCTTCTCCTTGAGGTCCACCGCGGAAGAATGTGAGCGTATCATACAGATCAGACAGATCGACTTGTACAGGCACGTAATGCAGCCAGGGCGCAATGCGGTCCATAAACCTACAAACACAGTTAATATGTTGCGCACGGATCGAACGAGAGGAAGACTCACCACTCGGGATATATTGTACTCTTAAATACAAGGGAATTTGATGTGATGAGGCGCTTAAACCGCCCAGACCAACCATGCCCATCGATCTGAAAGTGGTGAATAATTGAACGTCGTGATTGAATGTAATAGACCGACTAACATCGAAGACATATTTATAACGGCCGGCCTCTTGGTGTGTCTGCATTTTCCTCCAGTCATATAAATTATCTAGCTCACCGCAGAGATTTGGTGCACAGGAGCCTGCCTTTCCGGCAAATTGGATGTCGATCATTGGATTGAGGTGTGCTTTGCGCAACGATATGGGTTCTCCAACAGGTTCGGAATCGTTCACAGGCGAACGAAGCACATCCACTGTTCCTGCCATATCATTGACGTATCGTATCATACGGTCTCTGTGCCCTTGCCGCCACCTGGTATGAACGCCATGAAAAATGCCAGTATTGGTACCGCGCCAGAGCAATCTTTCGTCTATCTTTTCTTCCCATGGCGGGTTGTCTGAGGCATGAAGGTCCTCCACCCAGCCGTAATCAACAGCTGGTCGAATGTCGTGGTGAACCACCGTGGCACATAAGGAGAAACGTGGAACGAGTGTGCTCTGTGGATTCGGCCCTTTGTCGTGCGACAGGAACTGGCCGTGGCTGTGGAGAAGAAAGGGGTTCAGGCATGGGTCCATCGACAGGCGGTGATCGGAAATGAACGTTTTGTAAGATGGGCGCTCAGGAGGATTATCGAGATCGAGGGGATATTCCCAGGCTGGAGAATATGGAGAGCAGGCCGAGAGCCATCCAGACCGCTGCGCAGTCGGTAATTCGTCCCGTTTTAGAACTTGACATCATGTTTAGCATACCTCGTTGCAGCTGACCGCGACGGTAATCAAGAACTTACTGGATCGGGTAGCAGCCGCGGCAATTGCCATGGATCTGACGCCATAATCTGAAAGCATACTTGGATTGTCGTGAGGAGAGAAAACAGCACGAAAGGGAGGCAGAAACTGTTCTACGTCCTGGAGTAGTCGCAATATATTGTCGATGCGCTTAAGGAGGGGTTCTTCACTACCTGGCGGTAGGTGGTAGCCGACAACCTCGATGTGGGGGCTTTCATCTGATTTTGCGATAACCACAGTGTGTTCTTGCGCCTCTAGTTCTTCTCGGGTTTTCTGGATAGCCAGAGGATCGATGCCCCAGAAAGGTTCCAAATCACGGTAGATCTCGTCGTATTCGTCTGGAAGCTGGACGTTATGTGCTACTACATAGTCCCACCTGCAAGCCCAACGGACATTCACTATGAAGGTCGTTTAATATCAACTTCTATATATTGAACACGTACCATTTCTCGAAATGAAGAGGAGGAGGCCTGCGGTATCTTCGTTTATATTCCGTAACAGCCTCGCCTAGAGTTTTGCTTGCGCGCTCAAGTTTGTTTGCCCAAGCTTCCTCCGCCCGCTCTATAAGCTCAAAAATTGGATGGGGTCCGTTGGGGTTGACAACTAGCAACCCATCATCACCGTAGTGATGATTACGGAGTGGAGCTGACTGGAGCTCCTCGTGGCTGGTGTCCTCGACCTCGTCGAAAAGACCATCATCCTCAGGAAAATAATTATGGATGGGAGGTCGTGGTGACGTGGGAGAATCTAAATCCAGCGATGAGATGATCTCGAAGCGGTGTCCAGGTGGTGCAAATACAACATTGCGCAAGGTGGCTGCCAGAACGCAGACAACTAGAACGCATGCGATGGACCTGTATGAGACTGATATCCTGCCCATGCTACTGCCAGGGAGTGGGAGAGAGTTGTTCGCTTCCCAGCGGACATATTTAATAATCCACGTAGTAGTGGCATGCAGGTACTAGTTATTCCCATCAGCGAATCTCCCTTTTGGCACCTTCTTTGATAATGGCCGGCGCTTGGCCGGCACCTTGTGTTCGGATGTATGGATCCAAATCTGTTTATCAGCGTACTGAAAAGCGGGAGAATAGTTGGAGAATCATTACTACTTAGTACTTGTAAAGCTAAACTTGCAGCGAGCTCCTGGCTCCGAGGATCCTTAGTCGTTGTTTGTTTACTCAGAATATGGCAAGTGAGGATTCCACAAGTAATTCAACTTTGTCCGTGTATAAAAAAGTGATCAGATGAATTAACTGCAGTAGTATATTATGTCCAGCCGTTCGCTAGAGCAGCACGCGAAAGATAACTTGCATACCATCGTAAAGAAACCCAGTCCCCTCATAAACAAAGTACTCCTCCATTCATTCCATTCAGATATCACGTGTCATCCCGAAAATGGCCTGATAGGCTTGACCTACTCCCAGACCTCCGATTTGAATCTTCTAAATTGTCGGTACCTCTGCCCACATTAGCAAATGATGCATCCACAGCAACATCCCCTTCCCACGGCATCATCGGCACTTTCTTGTGGAATCTCTGTGTCGCCGTTTAACGTTCCCCTCCTGGCAAATGCATTGCTAAGGCGTTTCTTTTTCATAGTGTCATCAACCGTTGAGATGTTAGAGGGACGGATGGAAAGATGAACAATCGTGGGCAAGGAAGACGAGGATGATGGTAGAGAAGTTGGAAATGAAAGACCTTAGAATCATGTGCCGTCCATCGGCAAACAATAAGACACACGGAACATTGCGCAAGACAAATACTCACGAGTAAGAGTGTCCTCGTCTTGCAAAATCTTGCCTAGGTGAAGAATTCGCAAATGTGATGGGGCTTGTGGGGTTTCCTCTTGCCAATCTGCATATAATAACAGTTGTAGCATTAGATCCAGTTTGATGATTCAGAAATTCTAACCTGTAGGCCACGCATTCCACACCAGCTCTTTAACCCTTCCAATTGTATTTGCAGGATCAAAAGACATAGTCCGTCTTCGGCCAGAGACGAGGAGAAATGTCAGGGACACTTGAGGGGTTTGAGGTACTTGTGCGGTAGTTCCGTCTGCGCCGGACGTTACATTGCGGTTGACCACCGCAGCGTCTGGCGTAGCTTGGCCTGAGGGCGAAATAGAAATCGGAAGCGGAGGGTATGCCCCAACGGTCGGAACGCCGTCGACATCGACATGAGTGAACGACGTGCGCGCGCTCGCGGAGAGGTACGGGCCTACGGCTAAAGAAGCACGTGGGACCGCACTTGAGGTACCTTGAAGGGCAGAAAATGAAGCTGGTGGATAGTAAGTTGCACGACCTAATGAGGCGGTAACGCTTTCGTATACTGTCAACGGACGGTCGCTAGAGTCTGGTTGTGGCTGGGACGAAGCTGAATCATCCGATGAAGGTTGAGTTTCCATAGCTTGGTCATGTGAAGTAGATTCCTTCATCGCGTCTATGTTTCGGGCTTGGACGCAAGGGTCGGATAAAAGGGAAACGACAATGGAAAGAGGCGTTCCTGAATAGACACAGTTCGTTCAACTTAGAAAGCAACTTCGCAGCAAGCCTGCTGGTTTCAGGCTGCTGGTTTCACTGATAAGATGAAGCACAGGATGGAAGTGAAGGTGAGAAGTCGAGCACAGTCGACAGGTGGCCCTGGAAGCAAGAAAAAGATCCGCGAAACAGCGCTTGTTCCGATGTGACGCGAAGAACCTGGCCGCTTGACAAAAGAATATGATATCCGAGCACACGAGGCGACTGATCAAGCGACTATTGTGAACTCGCAGGGATAGTTCAGGCTTTGTGCGAGTGGTTCGGGACGAAACGGTAGCCACCAGTGAGATGGTATGTTCAGGATGGGAGCAACGGCTAAATATGACGGTGGTAGTGTGAGCCCCACTTACGATTGATGAGGGCTGATGGAGCTATATATATCGAAAACTAAGCTTTGCTAGCCATGAAGGAGACGTGGGGTACCCACGTACCTAGCGGCACAAGATGATGAATAGCAGTGCTAAGTTGTCCCGATTTCACTTTGTGTGGAGACAAGTGAAAGATGATAGGGCTGGTAAAGGCAGTGTGAGGAAATGGTGTAATGGCTTATAAGACCATTATACTCTACTCACTCCAAAGGACCAATATTAAACCCTAGAAAGGCCTAGCACGGTGAGCGTGGAGAGAAAGCTATAAACGTCTGTTGCGTTCGACAAGCGGTAGCAAGCGGCGCGCAAGGCAAATAATGCTTCCGCTTCCGGTACAAGTTCAGACCCAGCAAAACCGATTAGTATCCGGACGAGAATAGGCAAAATGGAAATAGTCCAAAGCTTGTTCCTCACTGCTGCTATGATTGTTGAAGAGGATAAGATAGAGGGGTATCCTTCAATAAATGTTGGATACAACTGGTAACGACTCCAACTTTATTTGTTTTCTGATGTTTGTGTACATGGGCATATCAAATCAAATGCTCCAAACTTACATCATGAGCCGAATTCGGATCGGATCAGTTCAGAGCTGTGATGATAGTTGTCTACTCACTGCATTGGCCCCTTGACAAGTCATGACAACGATAACGCGCTGAATGAGTTCTTATAGCTATTGCCTATCTGTGTTCACGGACCTTTGATCTGAGGTCCATCTATATATCCCCAAACTGACCTGTCCAGTGTCACGCACTTGGAGATCGACTAAGTACATTATCATTATTTCGTCAAGCTAGGGAAGGTCGTCTTCTGGAACATGTCGGATGTGTGAGAAGACTTCCCTCGTTACTCCGCATTTCACCTCCGCCGCTTACAGGCCCATCTGGGCTTCTCATCATTGACACCATCAAGATCTGTCCCCGTCTTCAAGTGACTGAACTTTGTCTCCTGCGAACAATGTAAGACAATGTAATCGCTCTTTCAGCGCAGTCACTCAAGACTTGACATTTAAAGCCAATGACAACTCCGCGCTGTCACCGATGCGAAGTACTGATATCAGAGGATATCAGTCAGGTGATGCCTCTCCCGTGACCGAACACTTGGGCCATGCATCATGCAGAAGATGATCAACTTAAAAATCCTAAGTTCATATCAGTTTCTGGCTGCAGAGTTTCTCCCATGGAGCTTTAGGATCGACATTCTTCCTGAACTGGAACTGACGCTTCGGAAGTTCGAGGACACGTATGAGGCCGCGTGGTGGCAACCCGATCGGAATCGTCATAGTCGAGCACCGTTTCGATAGCGTCGCTTCAGGTGGATTCAGGTTCGCATTCATGTCCGTATATTCGATCATCCAACAGAATAACAATCAACACAGTATAGTCGGCTTTGGAAGCAGTTCTTGCATCGATTGGAAGAATGATCCATTTGCGTGTCGGCCGTCTGCAGTAACTTGCTTTTGCGCGTACAAGGACGTTGTGCTAACCCTCGGTGTGCAGGAAAGGGCCGAGACCGGGTAACGACTTGCCACAGGTTATGTAAGACGATCTTACAGCGTGTGCAGTTGTAAACTAGGAACGAATCGATATTATGACGTTCTGCCCATCGTAATGACGCTCGGTGTTGCGAAATCTTAATAACAATGCCATATGAACATAATTGAACTACGTACTATAAGTAGATGCGGGGACATGTATGCCCCTATACTGAGTACTAACTTTAAATGTGAAAAATGTGCGAAGTAGTAGTGCGGCTCCGAGTACAGGAAATAACTAGGACAATTAACAGGCAAAAAATACAGTAAAATACCCCCATAAATGACATGAAACCGGGTTCAAAATTCCCGGGGAACGAACTTGCGATCGCACCCCTCGAGAGCATCTTCAATGATCTTCATACCCTGCAAGACCTTCTCTTCCTCAAACCGCCTTCCGATGATTTGCACGCCAACAGGCAGCCCGTGCATTCGCATCTGCATCGTACACAGAGTACGCTCCCTTGGAAACCAACCCCATATTTTTGTATTCGGCACTCTTCATGAAATCCTTCGGTAGCGCATCCGACTCACGGTCGACAAAAGATACCGGGAGAACACCAGCAGCATAGTCCAGCTATTCGCCATTGAGCCCATGAATATAATACAAAAGCGAAAATAAAACTCACAATGTTGAAAATCATCATATAGGCAGCAGAAACTAGAGTCACCTTCTCTGCGGATCCAGCAGGGATGGCGGGCAACGAGTGCGGAACTGTGAGCACAAAGTCAAGCCCTTCGACTTCCCATGCATGGTGCCACTTTGCTCGGTACTCATCTCGGGAGACGACGAGCTCGCGTTCCTCGGCTGGCGATTTGGCGTGAACCGTCTCGAGCATCGATGCCTGGATTTCATCACCAGTCAACCTCCGCGTTATCATCGCCAGGATCTTCTTGATCCAAAGGGGCATCCCCAGTAAACTCTTGATACCGAGCATGACAGGGTCAAGTTTCTCGTCCTTACGAACAGTACCAAAGATACCAGCGCCTAAGAGGAGTTCACGTCTGTGACTCACAGCTCGATAAAGGGGCACTCGCCTCCATCTGCAAAGCATAACTGGAATCCGATGTTCAGACCTTCTGCTATGCTAGGGGGTGAACTGGCGATACTGGTCAAAAAAAGAACTGAAAATTTGATAGGGCAATTCAAACGCACAAATCAATTACTTCGTGACCTTGCTTCACCAACGCATCACAAACCCATTGCAAAGCGCGACGGCAAGCAGGAGAAGGAGAAATAATGCCTAAATTTCTGAGCAACGAAGACAACAAAATTCATGAAAGGGACTGACCATCCTCCCAGACAACTCCAAACTTCAGCTTTGTCCCTTGAAGATTTATGGGTCGCCAGGGCAATGGAATGCACTACAATCAATAGCATTCAGTTCTGGTAGAGACTGCAACAGAGAACATGGCGAACTGTGTGGTCGTAATCCCACGGCTGCATCTCCATGACGCGCTTCCAAAATTCTTCAAGGTCATCCAGTCTTCGAGACATAGGAGAACACGAAACAGCCACCGATTCCAGTCCAGGCATAGGGGGTAGCGTACCCCAACCTGGAAATCGTCCTACTGAAGACTTCACGCTGTAGATCCCGCAAAAATGCGCGGGCATCCTCACGCTGCCGCCAATGTCGGTACCGATTTCGATAACACTCCCTCTGCATGCAAGAAGCGCGCCCCCACCACCAGTCGAAGCACCGCTGACGTACTTCTCGTTATATGGATTGCTCGTTCGCCCAAAAAGGTCGGACGATGTCTCGAGTCCGATGAGACCGGGAGGTGTGGTAGTTTTTACGTGGGTGATCGCACCTGCATCATGGAGAAGTCGGACTATTGCCGCAGACGACGAAGCAGGACGGTTGACTTTAGACGAGTAGCCAACGGTGGTGTCGTAGCCTTCGATATCAATACAATCTTTGATGCTGACGGGGACACCGGAAAGGGGTTGTTCGGGAGCAGTGAGTGTGTGGTCTGTACCAGTTGGAGAATCTGGAACTTTCAGGGTCAGAGCTTCTTGGAACATAATCCCAGCCAGGCAGTTTGTGGCCTTTTGCGCTGAGACCACTTTCTTTCCATAAGCTTGCAAAATGCTCGCCGTCGATAGCGAACCCGCGTTGTGGCATTGGACTAGTTCACTGAGTGACAGGTCGAGGACCTTATTATCGGTCTCCGTGCAGGCTTCGAAGAACGAGGGTGGTAATTCATCCAATTTCCTCTGTCGTTCTTCTTGCTTGGAGGCACTGTCAAATTCTTGTGTGAGTTTGTAAACACAGGGAATAACTGGATACACACCAGTCTTGCCGATGATATGACGGGGAGAACATGATTCGGAGTACTCAGTGAATGGAGGCCTGGAACGGATTGTGCACAACACAAGAGAACGCCTCTTTAAAAGCTTCGGACGGGCCGGCAGTATTATTGCAGGTCCTAATTAACGAGTCGGAGTTCTGGGCTTGCCGGAAGGTACAACAGGAAGAGCTGTCAGCCTAGGTCAGACTAGCGGGAGCAAAATTGCATATTGCTACGGAGATATCTCGTCATCAAATAACACGCCAAGATTGAAATGTATTGGAAATTTTATCAGACCTGTTTTTAACAAGGTTGTTTGGACGACCTCTGACAGTGCCAACCCCAAGAAGACGTTGGATCATATCAGAGCTTCGAGAACAAGGCAAATTCCAGAATTGGAATACCGAACCTTCACACTAGCGGTCAAATGATCCACAACCCAGGGTAAGGGCAAAAACTAAGGGACATAGAATTGGTGCATGCATATGTGGTCAAATTGGGGAGAAAGGGTGAAGTCAAGTACCAGTATGGGACGTCTCGACAGCGCCGTGACCCTTTCGTTGCAATCAGCGAGTTTGACAAAAGATGCTTGGCCCATTAGATAGACCAGGTGATTAAATTCTTGCCCATGTTTAATGGTACGAGCCTCAAAAAGAGTTAAAATCAGCCTGTGGCGCGCCTCGGACGCCGTATAGCTCGTATCATACACCTCATGTCGCTCGGTAGCGCCACACATGGCTCTAAGCCGCAACTCGGAATCGGTGCAGGACCCCGGCTGCTTTATATGGTGCAAGTGTTAAGAAATTTGCTTCCATGCGCACTGTCGGACATCCTTGTCCCACATAAAAGGATTCTACGGCATAATGCAAGGACAGAGCAATTGATCCGCGGAATCAATTCGCGTCGACGTCAGGTGCGCGCTCCACTTTTGCTGCTCTTCCGCGGTAATCGTGCGGACATAAACTTGCCTTTCAAAGGCGCACTGCTAGCCTCAGCAGCATCAAGTGCTAATGTCCCGAGATTGTAAGCAAGCTTGTTGATGTTCATCAGTGGCCCGCTGATTTTTTGAGGTGTCAGAACGAGTTTTCATTTTCCTGAATCTTTGGAACGGTCTTTAAACGAGCATGATGAAAAGCAAGGCAATTGAAGTTACCTGAATAACCTAACATCTTTGGCATAAACGACGAGTATGCTCGCATAGGATCCGATGCTGGCGGAAATATGCGATCGATGTTGCACATCGTGATGCTACTGTAGCAGGAAATAATCGGCGAGTCACCGGGATAATAGCAATCAACACTTACACTGATCTGCGAGACGTGGCATAGCCACGATTAGGTGCTTGGAGTTGCCCAGTCACTGATGCCGCAAAAATCCGTAGCAGAGGGGCAAGTGACATCAATGAATGCGCATTCGTAGTTCTCCAGTGTCCAGTGCGCGAGTTGCCGCTACGTTTCTTATCAATGAGAAGCTGTGGGTCAACACTTCCATAAATTGAATATCGAAGACAAGTGTTATTTCATTTGGGTGCACACCTGGCAAACTGAGACTAAGCTGATCATGTTATACTGTCACATCCACCAGCATGAGTGACCCCTGAACGGCTTCTCGTAGCCGCGTCAACTGTTTAAGATTCGTAGTTGTCGAATGTTTCACTATGCGAGTAGTCCACCACGTCGTTTATGCATGAGCCGCAGCTTATCATTTCTAGTGAACGGAGGATCGAAGGATGTGATAGATTTCATTTGGGCACACCCGGCACACTGATACGAAGTCAACCAACCAGAGTCAATCATTATCCAGCCTGAGATTCCTTACCGTTTCATCTGCCAGCATGATTCAGACATCTCATCATCAGGATTGTGCTCGTCGAGCGACATCCCCGGTCAACATCCCCTGTCAATCAGCGGTCGTAAGTCGTATCAAGTGCCTGTTTCCGTGACATGAATGTCGACCCTAATTGCGATCAGAGGCGATATATATAAGTGAAAAGTCTCTGTGAGCGACCCAGGGTGACGAGTCGTCCACTGAGTACTGAGTGTTCTGTCCGCGCCGGCCCTCTCAAATTCTAAACGCGTCAACAAGCCACAACAAACGCGCCACTGTTAACCGTCACGCTCATCACTCACTACAGCGCACAACGAAATGTTGAGCATGCAAAGCTCTAGTCCAATTTTTCAGACCCCATCTACTCCTGGACGTTCGTCGTATTACTCTGCGAGAAGTCATCAACCGCTTGCTTCGTCACCCCTGGCTTCTCCGAAATCATCACCGGTAGTGTCTGCCCAAGCACGACGACAAGCTCAATACAAAGCTCGCGTAACAAGTTCGTCCAGAGCCGCTTGCCACCCAGCTCCCATGTGTGCAAGCCGGTAGCAGGACGCCCGAAAACCCACAGAAAACATTTTTACGCGATCGTTTCAAAGCGCGATGTCTTGAGCGTGCCCAGAAACAACGACAGGATAAAGTCCAAAAGCAAAGAACAGCTAGCAGCAGTGACGTGTTTTTTGACGCCGAGATGGACTGTGACGATGAAGATGAAGACGATGAATCCATTATGCAAGATGAGGTGTGTGGTTTACCTGATAGGGGAATTTCTGCTGACGCCAGGTATTGGACGGTTGTCTCGTAGCTCTTTCGGAGAATAATAGCAAATACTGCACATAAGAAAAACCATGCATATCGTCTTTCGTACTCTTGTGACGTTGGATCCTCCATTGACCCGGACATGGAGGACGTGAGCCGGTGGGAAAGTGAATTGCAAGGTCAGTTACTCTTGTTCTGAGCAACATCAATGGACTCAAGTGTGCTTTAGAAATGCCCCCTGACAGCTATAGCGTGACACCCGAAGACCTCGAGCAAGAGGAAATTGAGGCTTACGCCACAGAATATGCAAACTTTCAAGAATTGTCGGATCTGGGTGTTACTATTGACGACTTTTCTGCGTGGAGTGACATTGAAGAAACAGAAACTCCAGTGCCGTCATCGCAAATGACAGACAAGGCAGGGCGGTCGTCGGAGGATCATGATATGGATCTATCCTAACTCAAATTGCATGCTGTAATTGTGCGTTCTGCTGTGGGTAGATATTATCCTCTTGTGATTTGTTGTATCATTATCTAGTGTTACTGTAAATTATGGACCCCGTGCAGACTTCGGATCAATACTCTCCCGTCCGCAAGACATACACAGTTACTAATTACTCAAAAACGCGGATCCAGTCTCTTTCCAGAGTCTTTCCCACCGCCGGTGGAGAGGTTGAGGTGGTCTGCTGTGGCAAAGTTAGATGTTCCTTTATACAGAAATTCACTCCCAGCACAACCTTATTCCTGGACCTCTCCTTACTTATTCCTCGACTCTGCTTCTGGAACTGAATGTCACACGAGCAACCAAGAACTCGCTCGCAGACCGCCTTGACCTCTCCAGCAGTGAGCCTGGCCCCTGCCACCCGTTCAGACCGATCACTGTTCTGTCAGGTCCTCAGGGCTGTACTGAGTAACTGGTAACTTCAACTACAATAAGCGCGTTACGCATCATTCTTCAAGTACTTATTTGAAATAGGTTCAAGGAACGAGGTACTATACTTATAAGGTGGGTTTCTAACAACCAAATGCGTACCAGAAGGCCCGCTGGGGCCGCCTCCTGAGCTCAGGCACCCGTAAGCGGTGCAAGGACTAATTCGAGTTCTCGCTGAGCGTTTTTCCACAGGATGAACCGGACCATCGCACAGAAGTCGTAGATAGCCTCTATCTAACTACTTAAGTGCCTATGAAACTTCTCACTTCCCGACGAACCCTCCCAATCAAGGAAGGCCCGCCCGCACCTACTTACACTAGTAAGTCCACTCTGATTTACATAATGGTTTCGGAGGCCGCGGATAGAGCAGAAGGTCATGGCTCCATTAACGAGTTGTATGAACAAGTATACAGGTGCTGATAGTAATAATGTCCACTGTCCTTGTTGCTGTCTTGATCCTGTAGGTGAAGTTTCCCGAATCAGTGCATCGCCGCGCGCCCTGATTCCAGGTTAGGTTGCCAGCACCACATCAAAATTATGTATAAACATTGAGCGCGGCGCCTCCGCCATCTAAAAAACATACACTGTATCCGGATATTGAAAAACGCTCAGCTATTTTTGCCTGCTTCCATATCAGCCACAACAACTCTTATGGGGCAGATAAGAGACAAGCTAGAAGAGAATGGGAAATACTGGTGTGTCATGCGAACTTCCTAGGCGCGGAAAGTTTGATTTTTCGACTTGAAACGACAGTCGGCTCGATCATTGCATCAATCAATTGACAAAACGTGACAGTACATCTACGTCGGCAAATTGCGAGATGATTGGGGAATGAAGAGATAAGATATGTGATAAACGATACTGACCAAGGGAGCATCTGCGACATTCACGGCGAACACAAGTCAGATTCTAGTCAAACCTTGAGTAGTTGGTCACTAACGCCGCGGTGGTCAACTGAAGTGACTGCAGGTACTGATTTTGAGTGAGCTTCCAATGGACCGATGCCCTTCCATGTAATAAGTAACGTCAACCCGAGATATTAGGAGAGCTGACTGGCGGTCGACGATGCCTAAATTAATTAATAATGAGACAGACGGCATTGGATGAAAATGACAATATTTGTGTCAAGGTTGAACTTGAACGTATGTAAAGGATAAACATTCATGAATCACGTACGCAGGCCCCTGTAGAAACAAGTCGGAGATCATACATACGTGAGAGGATGTCGATTTTGAAACGCGCAAAGTGGGTGTTAGGGGGTCGTTACATCCCACGACGCTGGACCTCCCAAAGACAGGGGCAATGGTTTTGGATGATCTGCTCCCTGACACGGTGCAGACCAACTGGAGGAAAACACGCAGAGGCTGCACCAATGACAGTGGCCGCAATAGATGTAAGATGGCATCATTTACACAGGGCTGGGTTGCCTCGCTATTTCGGATCGGTGGTGTCAAGGCAAGCGAAAGTGAAGCGAGAGATTCGAGAGATGCACTGGTAGAATCTTCTGTGAGGATTGAGAAGCTGAGTTATCTTGTTCGCTCCCGTAACGATGTGTCTCGAAAAAACTTACGAATCTATCAAGGAGTGATGGGTGGACAGCTATGCCCGTCTGATACACGGATGAGTCATATATTGGTTGAGCACAAGCCCAGTCACATGGACGGGACGGCCGCTTCCAAATCGCTCAACTTCGAAGGACACGATCATCTAAGGAACGTTCAATCTCATACCACATCATTCCCTCTGTACGAACTCAGCGTCGGCCTTTGCCCGACATCATGCTGGCGGAGTACTCGTTTTCCATTGATATCACGCCAGTACCCACACATATATACCTTAGCACAAGCGGGAGTAAGCCCCCCGCGAACAGGGCTATGTCCTACATAGGGTCTTTGACCCCGAAGGACAATAAAATTGATCTAAAAAAAAAAGGAACGTTCAGCTTTGGACAGGATTTGTGTATGTAGGGGGGAGGGTGGTCGACAGTGACTACCAATGAAATTGCGAAAATTAGTAGTGCTTCTTGGACGTACTAGAGAGTCGGGCCGAACAGCCCGTCAGCGTCAAACCTTGATACGAAGGAACGATAACTTCGATTTAGGGGTGACTAGCGCCAGATAGACTCGCTTTAGTTGTAGGCTTGAACACAAGCGTTAAACTTATCATTGAGATGTAGTGAGAGTCAAGGATGATCGTATATATCATTAAAAAAACTCGAGCGAAACGTGAATTGTCAAGTAGCCTATGTAGATAGACATACCAAACGAGCCTGAGACTCGGAGCACCAAGTTCCTACGTAGCTTTGGTGCATACATGATTTGAGACGAGACCTCAATTTTGTGTTACATTTGTGTATGCTAGTTCAAGACTGTGGCGGACCCGGTGACCACCTTCAAGGACTGGTGACTCGAATGAGCTCCCACCACCAGATCTTGAAGTCGTGAGTTCATGAAATGCCAAGGAGACTCGAGTTCGAATGCGCGAGGTAAGAATTAACTGATTATTGTTCGCATGAATGTTGGAAGAAGCTGAAGCACAGCCACTCTGCCAACTCCTCGTCACCGCCACCAAAAGATTTACGATTTTTGCTTTCCTGCGATTATGGTAACAATATTTCTCAGGCCAACGACTACATAGCAAGCTCAGACTGTGCTGCTGGCGCAATCATTTTCGTTATCTGACAAGTTTCGGATTCGCAAGACCTGGTTCTGTCAGCGTTGTTTGGTGAGTGGGAGCCTCGTATAAGGCCAGTCGCTACCACTGCCACCCTAGCATGCGTTTGGTTTGGTCTTTTTTGGAACTCGATGGTGCTCTTATAGTCGTCTGTTTCCAAGCGCCAGTGGAACGCAAGCTTTCTTGTTGTCGGAAGTACTACTACTAGTCTGGTTCTTTTTCATCGTTGTTATGGATCCTTCGTTAGGCTTCACTCGAAAACTTCTTGGGGTCAATGAGTTCCGGATCGTCAGTCTGGTTGGCTCGATGATTTTCGCCGGTCTTCGCCAAATGCTTCCTAATTCTCTGTCAATATCGCGCTGTAACAGAGGACCCAAGAAGTTGCGAACGAGATCGTCTTTGGAGAATAGAATGCCCTCGACGTCAGGTTTGTGCGCATCTCCTATTTGCGCCGCTCAAAACGAACTTGAGTAGTTGCCATATCTGGGCAGCGACCGACCTAAAATGACATTAGATGGAGGCTTCTTTCATCGCAGTTTATTGGGTTTTCAGTATTCCAACCTCAAAGGAAGGCAACTCCCGTGCGTCATATGTTCAAAACTGAATATAAACCTCGCTCTTTTAATTTTTCTTTGTTTCTTTGTTTCTTCCCCCCCATCATCACACCGCTATAAGTCTTGACAATTTTGACCCACCCGTCTATAGTTGTCCTCGCCTCCATCCTATTCGTATTGCAATCTTTACAGTTCATCAGCGTTCACCTTACCTAAAAGCTTGCCTTCTGCTTGCTTCTTTTCTCTCCCGCGAATTCGCTTGCCCTGATCCTCCAGTATGAGCCTTTCTTGTTCTTTGCCACCGCAATCTGCCGTTCTGGCTTTTCCAGCTTCTCCTACGTTTGATAGCAAACAATCCCAGCATCTTGAACATAGCACCTCAGTCGGCACTGGCTGCGACACCGTACCAAACACTCCAATCTCTTCTCGCCAAGCGCCACCCACACCGCCAGATTCAGATTCCTCGTCGCGCGGTAATACCCTCAGTAGTACTTCATTTTCTTCATCTCAGCCCAGCCTCTCTTCATCTTCGTCTCAAAAAGTTAACGTCAATTCCAGTCCTAAGTCCCATAATTCGTCGCATTCTAGTCCTATCTCCATGTCTACAAACCACGCTGTCACCAGACCAAATAATCCGTCCCTCAAGCTACAGGAAAATGGTACGGCATCGTCCTATAGTCTTACTACTGCAATTTCATCCAACTCTCGTGAGCTTTTATTTTATTAAGCTTGCGATCACCCTGACTCACTCACATTCGGTGTCGGATTGCAGCCTCGTATAGCACCTCTTGTCCTACCGGTTTGCAATTTTCGTATGACCACATGTTTCCTGACTCAAGTGACTCACAATCGTCGCTGAGTCCCGAAACCTTTTCTCAGGGTCTTCCCAGCGTATCTCACCGTACCCCAAATGTGTACATTAATGGCCTCCCCCCTCATTTTCCGGAGCAGGAGCTCTTTGCTCTCACTCGCCCATTTGGCGAGGTGAAGAGTGTGAGGTCGTTCACTAGGCATGTGAGCGAGAAACCAACGTATGTCAGGTTTTGCCACGCCACGAAATTCCAAAGCTCACGTTTTGGTCAACAGAGGATATGGCTTCGTACTGTAGGTTGATATATATATTCTGTGCGATCGTCCAGCTTACATTCCTGGAAAGCTTCAACGACGTCGATTCAGCGGAAAAATGTATCGACGGCCTCCGGAAATATCGCAATCTACATCCCTCGTTCTCAAAGGTCATTTTATTGTTCTCATTCTATGCGCCACAATCTCAAGTCTCTCGATGCAGCAACTCCATCGGATACCTGGCACGGTGTACGCCCAGCAAAGCCCCTCGCATATAGATCACGATGAAGACTCTTTCAAGGCGCGTATGGAAAAACTGAAGGATGGGTTGTCCTCCAATTTATACATCGAGGGGTAAGGGTCGCCTCGGCATGACCTCGGTTTGGTACTGAACGTCTCTTTTCAGCCTTCCGCTTTCGATTGATGAAGAGGTACGTGAGGCTGATGTCCACATAACAAACAATATTTAAATGTGGATACAGAGTCTTGCTGCTTTGGTGCACCCTTACGCAATTAAGAGCAGCCGCTTCTTTAAAACGAAGCTGAGCGAACCCCCACGGATAATAGCTTTCGTTCGGTCAGTTTGCTCTTGGAATTAAAAAAACCCGCAATTGATCCGCGTGTTATAGGCTCGAGACTCGCACAGCTGCTGAAGATACCATCGAACGCCTGCACGGTCGGATGGTTCGTGGATGGAATGATCCTGGATGCAGGATTTCCGTCCGTTTTGCTGACAGTGCCGAGCAACGGGAGCTGAGGGTTGGTCCTTTGATTGAGCTGTGTTTTGCTTTGAAACTGATTCACCCGTATTTTGTTAGCGATCAGAGAGATTCTCTAAAAATGGGGATCAGTCTCCGGCCCGTTTGTCGATCGCTCAAGCAGCCCTTCTCAACCTTCGTGGCAAAGAGCTCCAAGCTCACCCTCGCAGGACCCAAGTAAATCATGTCCGTGACATCCCTATCATTGGCCAACCTCGTGACGAGATTTCCTTACCGAACGTCCATCACTCCTACCCCAACCTGAATCTCGCCTCCGTGCCTGCGGGGAGCATTCCTGTATCTAACTCGCTGCCTGCGCATCTTGGTTATCCGTACGGCAGTTCTCCGTCGACTAGGTATCAGGACCTTCCACCGAACCCTTACAGCGACGATCTTCTGCACTCACTGCAACAAAACCTCAATTTGACAGACGCGTACACGGGGTCGACACTTGATCAAGAGCATGATGTTCAGCGCGCCCATCTTCAAGCCCTCGCAAATGCTACGCTGTACACCGCCAGTGCGCAGCCGTCTGTACAGCAGCCTCGCAGTCAGATACAGGCTAGGAACGGTTTCACACCCGCCGAGGAGCTCATCCTACAGGCTCACACAAGGCTACGTGAACAACAGTACCAACAGGTGCAGACCCGACAGCAACTTGTGCCACGCGAGTCCACTCTTCCTCGGCGCGCCCCCTCTTCTGGACGTATAGAACCCGGAAGCAAACTCAATGCGAACGCGCAGGTATTCCACGCCCCTGAGCAGATCGCCGCTCATCCGCTCACTGGTCGAGCCCTGGGTGGGGCGAGCCGGTCGAAGTTCTTGGACAACGCTCTACCGCCAATCTGCGAAGATGACTTCCATACTCTCGGCCAACATCACCTAGAGTCCATGTCGCATTACGAGCATCTTCGCACCCGTTATCAGGAGGATCTGCATTTCCGTGGCGACGCTGGCAACGTCAGGATCACGAAACCACCCAGTCGTGCCATCGAAATTGTTCCACCACCTCAACATCTTGATTCCCAGAGTTCTTCTTTACAGTCGCACCATCGCTCTCAGTTCTCTTCGCGTTCGCACCTTTCTGCGCGCCAGCCAGCGCCATCCGCTACTCTCCCCCGATCCCCTCTTGCGTCGAATTCATCTCAGCACAATTATCAGCACACAGACACTCGTTCTAATAGCCTAAATGGCGCCATCACTACGTCCAGTACCAGCGATAAACTCGACAACAATCCTCATACCTATCTTCATTCGCCAGCAGTATCCCGGCCTCGGTCTGATGATCAAGAAGATCATCGCAATAATTCTAGTTCTGTATCCTCAAAAGCATACGTTTCTGCGCAGAAGTCGCCGTCGTTGGCCCAACAACTATCATTCGAAAATGACATGAGGTCTCCCACTCTCGTCTCTCCAGCACTAACTTACTCGTCTCGTACCCCATCTACACTCAGTCCAGCTACCCCTTTCTTCGGATCATTTAATGGCAGCCCAGAGACCTTCGAGTACGCGCCGGACGATGGGGAGATGGTCGAGAAGGTGAAGGTGGGGTCAGGTACGCACTAGCTCACCGTTCGCATCCAGTGATGCGTTTCTGGTCCATGTTGTTTTATCATGGGGTGATCACAGTATTCCTTAGCATGATGTGATGTGCAGTTTGTTCTCTTTCGTTCGATGTTCCCGGATAAGTATATTTTGATAGCCATAGTGCATACGCACGAGTGCGAATAGCGTTGTACCCACGCAGTTTTAGTACTTCTTGAGATACAGCAGCTGTTTAATAGTAGAGCATATATGCGTCTACGTTCTTCCGACTAGAATATGAGTGTCGTCTATGGTTTTGCGATGCGCATACGCGATAGGAGACACTCGTTCAGTTTAACCTCCAAGTATGGCATAACACCGCATTGGAAGATAGTAGCTGTTTGCCGCCGTGTAACTATACTTTGGGCCTATAACATAGAGTAATACTCGAGTATGTCTCTCAACAGGATAAAAATTAGGTTCATCAAAAACCCATACTTACGTTTAACGTTTAGGGCTCGGAGGCTTTGATCCTGAGTCGCTCGCTGGCCAGTTCCAACTTCCCAGTGTGTGTTTGCCCTTGCAGGCTCGCGCCAATCCATAGCATCCGATTAATGATTGCGGGAAGGAACGTTCGAGTTGATCAACCGCAACACTGGTATAGTACTGACCTGTGCAGAACATTCTTAACACCTGTGTATTGCAGGCTCATCATTGTAATGGATACAGATTCTAGTAGGACTCCGATGCTCGGATTTTCTGACCAGTTCCCAGCGTGTGTTTGCCCTTTCAGGCTCGCGCATCATGGTAGCACCTGATCAATGATTGCGGGAAGGAACTTTTCGAACGTTGATCAACCGCAACACTGATATGCTGGTACTATATAATACTGGTCTGCGCCGGATGTCCTCGATACCCTTCCTCTGATATTGCCTCATTATCATGAATGGATAATAGTGAAAAACAGCAGTTGTGAGTGATACAGATTTACTACGCATCCTGATCGCGGCAATTACTGCACCAGGTTGATGCACTCGTACTCGGTTCTCGTGGCAAACAGTAATGAGGCTTTTTTTCTTTTGTCTCGGGATGATAACGCGATGTTCCAGGTATCCTGATATACGACCATATAGTGACTCTCCCAGAAGAAATCACTTTTATTTGGTGTCGTCCGAAAGCACGTTCTGCAGTGTTATTTTTCATCAATCGCTATGTCGCTCTGCTCGGCAATATCTGCGGCTTAGTTATGGATTTCCTGCCTGTTTCAGATAAGGTCAGATGACTTCGTTGTGGGTGTACTCAACCGACGGGCTCACAACTTATTTCTGTAGAGGTTCCATTCCGGTTCTTGGCTATCCGTCGTTTGCTCAATGAAGACATAGCTGTTCGCACTACGTGTTAGCCAGACAACTGCTTATTTATTTTCAACAATTCATCGTTTGTCGTGAGTAGAAGTTCATTGGCAGAAATGCAGATGCTGAGCTTCTCAGTTATATTGACCCTTCGCGTTTACGCTCTCTACGGAGGCAACAAGCGTTTGGTTAAATGGATAGTAACAATCGGCCTTGGACTGGCGGGAGCAGCGTCTGTATGAATTCGCATACAATTTTGGACTCAGGAGTCTGATGATCTTTTTAGGCGGGAACTTTTGGCCACTTTTCAAGTAATGAGACCATCTTGCTAGGAATTGGCTGCTATGAAACATATACAGCAAAGACGTGCGTATCCTCATCGTCGCTCTTGCGCGCCTGCTCAAAAATGGTACAGAGCCGCCCGTCAGTGAATTCCAAGTCATATTTGCATGCAACTTGATGTCAGTGACTTTACCCACTCGCAGGTCTTGGGCTGGCATGGTTGGCACTTTTTGTCTTCGAATTACTGATTTTTGCCCTCACAGTGTACAGGATTTTCAGAATTAGAGGTTTGTTGCGGTTGTCTCTGGTTACCAGGAGAAATATTGTTGATATCATATTTCACGACGGTAAAGCTTCTATTGCATCGGTATTGTAAACGCTCAACCAACCGAACGCAGGTGCGATGTATTTCGGGTGAGATTTCCGGGTGAGAGCTTGATTCGAGTGAATCTAATCCACATTACTTCAGGGCGATGGTACTGTGCAATATACCGAACATCCTGACATACTACGTGAGTCGACGAATGGATATTGACTGAAGTCGCAAAGTGCTCACGGCTTTAATCAGTCTGGTTCAGTAAGCGTATAAACCTGCATCTTATATTCAGGTGGACTATTTCCTGACCACTGGCAAGGTTGCCACCAGAGGCAGTCTGGCCACATTTACTAGCTGGTGAGTGGCTGGTGCGATAGCCACGGTACGATTTTAAATATGGCCTCCAGCATGTCTGTTACTCTTATATCTCGGCTGATGCTCAACCTGCACAAATCCATCAACGCTGGCATCTTCTCCACCCCCGCCCAGGACGGCGACCACGGCCTCATTGTTCTTACCACCAGGGTCGACGTACAGTCCGCTATTTCCTCTCACCATTGGTAGACTTGTATTGGATTCTGTTCCCGGATCCCGCGTCGCGGAGATTCTTGGAGAAAGGCTGGATGATGCAGTTACTGGTGGGTTTACATGCTCGGACGGGCTTATACTATCGATGACCCGGTAGTGCAAATAAACCCTGCCCATAATGCAAAATTTCAAAAGCAGATCCAACCCCTTATACTACCTGCAAAAATCGAGTGTATCAGTAGTCGGGACGAGAGAATGTCGTTTCTGATGGGCGTACGGTTGTTTGTACCAAACATGTTGCAAACAAAATAATTTATTTACATAATCAACTACTTACACAAAATAAACGCCAAATTCTTCCTCCAACAAACTCTACAGTGTCTACGGATTTACGCGGCTTGCAAGTGCAAATGTCTGACTCTTGATCATATCACAATATTGATGGTGTCCAGCCATCTAAAAACTAGGGCTTTTTATTTGGAATGAAGGCAACGATGTCTTCATTCAACAAGGCAAGTAGTGGATCTTATGCACTTTCAAGATTCGGACACGAGGCTTTGTGATTGGGGTATTGACCACGGCATACTACTTAATGATACCAAAACTCGACTTATCAAATATCGACTATTTCACCTGCTCCCCGCTGAAGCCTACCCGCCATACAGAGCCCATAGCTACCCCTCATGGCGGTGGGAACAACCTTGCAGCTCAGTATAGACGAAACGCAAGCACTGAAGTCCCTGCCGGCTGCGACGCAGGTTGTGTCCCTTAACATACAAAATCGATACCATCACTAACCCGCAGTCAAGATCACAGCAAAAAAGGCTCTACAGGGATCTCTTGGAGATCTGGCAAGGCTGATTCCCTTGATTTCGATCAGAGATGCATCCCGTTTTTCTTCCTTGGTGCCCATCTTTCACGCGATACTTGATTCAGTTCGAGTACCAAACTACATCTACTCCAAGACTACTCCTATCATCCTGCGCGCCAAGTAGGCTCTCATGGGCCTGATGAGGATTTCAACCTCTAATGGCGACCGTATTACTAAGGGCGACGCTGTTACAAACAATATCTTGAGGAGGTGGGAACAAATATATCCATGGATGCGGTTCTTCGCTCGAAATTGCCTCCCTCCTCCTTACGATGTCTCACTTACTCCCCCGCGCCCCGATCTCTGCAACGTGTTTGAAGCTATAAACATGTGCCTACACCCGATCACATTCATCTGCCAGAATTCGGAGGAGGGGCGTCACATGCTCCGGTCTTCCGTTTCTGTCCAGAACTTTGTTGCACAGTTATGGACATTGATTGGAAACCTCAAGGACGATGCACTCGATGGCGACCCTAGAACTACAGGGGACCGCCTTCAAGTTTCGATCCTCCGGGCGACCTTTCCGCTAACAAACTATGTTTGTATATCTGAATCTGAAGATCCAGATAGAATCACTCTTCCGTTATCGAATTATATACATGCTGCCGGAGGGGTGAAGCCCGTTGTCTTCACCCTTCTCAGATACATCCGTCGGATTACCAAGGACGCTGCTGCTGTAAAAGAACCTCGATCGTGGACACCAAGCGATCAGAACGTACGATACCTCCACGTCTTCACCACCGGTCTCCGTTATTCCTTCCAATTCCTCCAGATCATCAGTTACCAAGACGCTTCATGTCGCGCACACCTTATCCGTCAAGGTTCGATTCGTACAGTGGTGGACCCAATAACTCAGATTTTGCCCAGGATCTTAGTGCAAGCAAGTGAGGAAATGGACTTGCACGCAGAGATGGGACTAGCGGCCAGACAGCACATCCTGTGGACGGGATACTCGTATATTGCATCTGCTATCCGCGATGGAGACGACGGGGTAACAAGTGTATGTCAGGCAATCGATGCTGGCCTCCTTGAAACCATGCCGAAGGGGGTTGTTTGCCCGCCTCATTCCAACCGTCCTCGTCGCAATCACCCGCCCCGAGGCCACATGGGTGACGTAGAGTTACTCTTCATTCTGGCCACGTTTTTCGTATACCACAAAGTCGTTGATTCTATTTTCCGACACTGGTTTCGCATGCAAAATTCTACTATGATCGAACCACAGGACAGACGCGACGAAGGTTTGGGGCTTGCTCTCCAACTTGTCATGACAGCTACTTGCGATGCTATGGATCATGCCACTGTAGAGCCTATGAACTTCCATGAATACAGGTGCAGTGGTCCAGGAGTACGCTGATCATCTTTAGTGGTTTTATCGGGCCCGCTGATACAGGTGCTAGTGTCGCATGCGCGCATCCGGGTTTGTCAGCAAAAAGCGTCGGTGCTCAGGATGTTTGACATCACTTTATTGTTCGGAGAAATGCCAAAGGGCTGCTTGGCGCAGTGGACACAAGAAGTGGTGTCAAGTTCTAAGGTGCACTGTCGGTGAGTCTCTCCGTCTTCATCTCATGCTTCGCGATGGAAATCTCAACCTTCGTGATGGTTATCAGGGCCGTAGGGCTCACGCGATATCCGCAAGAGCCTCCAAGTCATCGGAGGCTTTGAAACCAGTGTGATCTCGGGATCGGCCGAAGACGTGGAAACGAGGATTCGTGAAGCACGGCAGCAGTTTCCTGCATTCAGTAACAAACTCGTACTCATGCTCGATATGACTGTGTTCCCGACAGCGATCCATGTACTTCCCCTGCAGAAGCTTGAACAATTCCCTGGTGAGGACCCTATTTGGCCAGAGATCGCTGACGAGATTCGCGAACGAAGCGACTCGCCACCGAAAGGATACATGTTTTCAGTGGTGAAGGTACATCTGGGGAAATCAAAGTTTACGCTGTTCAGCCCAAGCACGGCATTGGATATGGCATTCGAGTGCCAGTATCTTTCGGATGATGAACCGCATGTTTCTGTGGACAAAGATGATGATGATGAAACCGCTGGGTGACCAGGACTTGGATTATGGTTCAAAGTTGTTTTATGACGCCTGTGGTTCCGAAGATAAGTGCTACAAAATTTGACGTCCCTATGCCATATATCTGCTAGCCTTCGTTGACTGCACCCAGCCTTACTGTGTACGTACATATGCAATAGATCTCTTGGATTGATTGAGCTGAAATTGTCTGCGCTCTGGTATCCGAAGAGGGCTGCAGAGATCGTCGCTCTCTTGATTCCAGACATTGTGTCTAAACGACTTGTCAGGTAGCGTCCATTCCCATGATATCGTCTAGTAGTTTCCGTAAGACGAAACAAGCGTAAAAGCGAACCTCGTGGCTCTTGCAGTTAACTAAGATAATCTCGAAGCTGCACGGACATAAGAACGGTATATATATACATACTCAGGCCTCAGGTGCGAGGGCTGGTATCGCCGCGCATTGCCATGACACCAGACTCGGACTCATGAAGCAAATCCGTCTTTTTCGAGTTCACTTACGACGTGAGGAGCTCCTTCACGAAATGCAGATTACAATAGACTCTTGTTTTCGTTAAGCAGATACAGTAGATGTGTTACACCTTTGTGCGGAGTCACGCGAAGTCACGTGAAGTCACAATCTGGCACAAAATGTGACATATGTTACATGTCATAATGCATAAAGATTTTGTGGTCCCGACGCTAAGCATTATATGAGATAGCCTACTGTATTAGCAATGGTTCCTGTGCTTCCGGAAGACGGTCATGTATTAGTTTGACAGCGCACGTTGAATCATCCGTGCGATAGGAACACTGATGGACCAATCATTGACTTCAAGTTGGAAGATCTATCATCCATGCACAGCACCATATAACGTCTATAGACGCTTTCGACTCGCTAGTCTCCGTGGTTGCCCTTGCTGGCCTGTGTACATAATACCTGATTCATTACGGGAAGGATATAATACTACGCCGGACAATTCTCAACACCCTCCCTCTTATGATATTGCCTTTGCAATGAATACTGCAGAATCGGAGGCGCGGCAGATGTGAGTGATACACGCACACTATCCTGATCGCGACTTAACATTACAATTTGCCAGGTTGGTGCACTCGTACGCCATTCTTGCGGCAAACAGTACTGGGGCTTTCTATTGTTGCCCTCGGACCCTAACATGATATTCTAGGTATCCTGATGTACGACCACCTGGCGACCCTCCCAGAAGAAATCGCTTTTATTTGGTATCGTCCGAAAGCACTATCTGCAATGTTGTTTCTCGTTAATCGCTATGTCGCTCTGCTGGGCAATGTCTTTGGCATGTTTAGTAATTTCCTGCCGGCTTCAAATAAGGTTCTATTATTTCTTTATGCCCGTTTTCAATCAGCAAGCTCACAACTTTTCTTCGCAGAGGTTTCAACTTTCAAGTTCTTGATTGTCTGATGTTTTGCTCAACGAAGGCTTAGCTGTTCAAAATATGTGCTAACCAGAGAGGTCTTGCTCTTTTTTCAACAATTCATTGTTTGCTGTGAGTTAGAAGTTTATCGCGAGAAATGCACATACTGATGAATTTTTCAGCCATATTGTGTCTTCGCACTTATGCTCTTTACGACCGTAGTAAGCGCCTGCTTGGTTGGATGATAATCATCGGCCTTGTTCTTGGGGGAGGAGCGTTTGTACGTGTTCACTCGAAATTTTGGACTCTGGACTCTGCTGATCTTTTTAGGCCGGATCCTTTATAAATGATTCAGGCAGTGCGACCAATATGGTAGGAGATTGCCATGAAACGTACACAGTAGAGACGTGTGTCATTCTCTTCATCGCTCTGCGCACATACATACTCAAAAAGTCATGACAGAGCCGCCCGTCAGTGAATTGCATGCAAATTGACGATTTCGCGATCTTATGCCATTGCAGGTCATGGGGTGGCATGGCTAGCATTATTCGTCTACGAATTAGTCATGTTTATCCTCACAGTGTTCAGGACTTGCAAAACTAGGGAATCGTTACGGTTTTCTCTGCTAACATCCAGGAGAAACATCCTTGGTGTCATGTTTCAAGATGGTGAATCTTTTCGTTGCATCCCTATTGTAAATACTGAACCAAGCGAACGCAGGTACGCTGTATTTTGGGTGAGAGTTGCTAGCGACACTGCGATTCGAGTGATCTGATCCGCCTTCCTTCAGAGTGATGACGGTGATTAATCTACCCAACATCCTGACTTACTACGTAAGTCGACGAATGAAATATCAATCGAGTCGCACGCTCACACCATGGTTCAGTGTGGTTCAGTGAGCACACACCCATATCTCATATTTAGGTCGACTATTTCCTGATAATTGGCAAGGATATCATCAGAGGCAATCTGGCTACATTTACTAGCTGGTGAGTGGTCGATGCGATGAACACGGATCGATCTTACATCATGATCTTCAGCATCTCCGTCACTCTCATCTCTCGGCTCATGCTTAACCTACACAAATCTGTCGACACCGGCATTTTCTCCGCCGGGGATGATGACCGCAGCCTCGCTATTATTACCACTAGAGTCGACGTACAGTCTGCGGTTTACTCTGACTATGAGTAGGCTGGTATTAGATTCGACTTTCTATGCCCATTTAAAAGGCACGAAGATTCCTGTTGAACTCGGAAGTACAAAAATATTCTTAATCATTCTTAGCCCTTTTTTCTTTTTATGTATTACAACTCATTTATTGTATGTTGGGCGTACCCTATGCAGACAGTAGGGATAATATGTACGTGTTCGTCCGTGCGGTGGTACTTGTGCATTGTACGTGCAAACTCTAGACAGCAGCCTACTAGTACGCCTTAACACCTCCAGGTACCGTCGGCTCTAAGGATCAGGCTATGGCCTTCATCCGCACGACAGGCCGCTCATATGTTCGGGTCATACGAGCGGTAGTCAAGTTACCAAGTTACGATTCTTCTAAAATGCCGATGTGCATTTTCCTACATCCCTACATAGTCAAACCGATGGTGATAACACGGCCAGAACACGTCATGATTTGGCTCGCCACATCTTCAAGCTTCAGGCCAAGGGAATCGCTAGGTCATGAACACAGCTGCGCAATTACACCACATAACGCGATCCAAGTAGTAACAAAACAACAGTGCGTTAAACCACAACGTCCAAAATCGTCACACTGCACATTAAAAAAGGCGTTAAACACTGACATTCAACACACGGACGAAAGGCATCCACATCAAAGTCCTGAAGGAAAAAAGACAATAGAAAGGGATATCTGTATTGGAGATTGAAATCAGGCAACAACCAAGCCCAGAGCAAGAGCAGCGGCCATGCTCATGCCCACAGGAATATATTGGGCGAGGGTACCACCAGTCTTGGTAGAAGTTGAAGTAGTGCTGCTAGAGGAGCCGGTAGCAGTTCCGGTAGCAGTGCCGCCAACACCAGAGGTAGTGGTGGGATAAGACGAACCGAGAGCCTTGATCTCGAATGGCTCGCTCTGAGCGTAGATCTGAGAGGAAAAAAGAATGTTAACCACGATGTGTCAATGAGCCTGAGAAACGTTCACGCACGTCGGTTTCGTTCAGAGTGTTTGCGAACTGAAGAATGTAGCCGGTACCAGCGGGTTGCGCTGATTGCTGCTGGGTGATGGTTTTGGAACAGTCATAGTTTTCTTGAACGGCAATGATAGCAAGGGGTGAAGCGAGAATTGCGGTGTTTGGGTTGGCGACACTACATAAAAGATTGGATTAGTTAAACGGGCTCTCACGCGCACGAAGTGAGACCGTACGAACAGAATGGTAAAGTTCATATATGGAGAAGTCGAACACGTCCACGAGAGTGTGTTCTGCGACGACGCGACTACGAGCAGAAGATTGCAGAAGAACGAAGAAGTACACGAATCAAATCATCAGCATTGCGACGTTTAAAGGTCTGGAACTTTAGGTACTCACCCCACCAGTCACTAGCTCCAGGAGATATGATGGTCAACTGTGCAGACACAACACTGAGCAAGGCGGCGGAAGCAAGGGCAATACGGCGGAACATGGTCGAGTTTTTTTGCGTGGAAGGAACGGGTAAAGACAGAGGACACTGTGAAAACGAGCGACGGAAGTGCTTTGAGGAAACGAGCAACGCTTAAAATACCCACAATAATTTAGTAAGTTGGACAATTCATAGATTTATTCTCCGACTTATTCCGGCGCTTGCCGCAGATGCCGCCTCAGACTAGCCCACACGCCAAGTTTCAAAGAGATTGTGTTATTCTACCCTGCAATCATAATATAGTCATAAGTAAGGACATCTAGTCATACAGTGTGTCCCATTTGTTGGAGTGGAAATTGTGAGGAAACACTTCTGATACAACAAATTTTGGTTCCGAGAAATATAAGGAAAGATCGGGTGATTATGACCTGAGGCCACCCTCAGGACATTGAAATGAAATACGAAGGCGGAAATGAAGCCCATGCTATGGTCTTTGAGGGAATGAGAGTCGTGCAGGGGGGGAAGTGCGTGCGTGCCGAGTTTAAGGAAATGAGATAGTCGTGCAGGGAGGAAAGTGGGTGCGTGTCGAGTGTTCATGATCTCAAGACACCGATGATAGCCCCAGCGATGATGCCAATGACAATAAGGAAGATCAGGAGTGCCCAAGCGGATCTTTTGGCCCACTTGATCTCAGTCTCTCTCATGATCTGGACCAACTCCTGGCGCTCAACCTCAGACTTTGTTGGTTCAAAGTCAGCAGGAGCCTTGAGTGGCGAGAGCAGGATGATTGCTCCAAGTACCCAGAATAGTGGGAACACTGAGAGAGATTCGATCAGAAAAAGTCGGATGAGTAAAGAGCAGAGGTATGCTCACAAAACCCGAACTTGAACAGATACATAGCAAGCGTTACAGGCTCAGCAGGAGTGGAGCTGTATGCAGGAAGCTCAGTGGCATCCGCATATGGAGGAGGCGCTTCTCCTTCGATGGTCCACGGAAACGCGACTAGGAGCGTATGAGTCATGACGACTCTCATGGGTCGCACGAGTGCGAGTGACCCCGAAAAAGTCATCCATGGGGTCTGTAGTGTTGTCATTCTGCTCAGGTGTGCGCGTAGGAGCAGCAGCGAAATGAGCTGCCTGGGTGGCAGCGGGAAGAGCGAAGGAGGCGCGTGTGCCAGGTAACGGTTTGTGCCTCAAGATCAACGTCAGCTGAGGACGCCGACGCCTTGCGCCAGGTGCCGAATACGTTGGAGAATCGGGAGGAGGTAGACATTGTGATTGAGAGTCAAGTACTAGAGATAGGCTTCGTTGGGCTGTCGGAAGGCGCGGCGGGACTGGTTTGTTGGGATGATAGGACTATCATGGCCCTAGATATATACCCGACAGCCCAGGGCGAAGAGTGAAAGCAATCAAGCGAGTAATTGCACGTGGACCTACAAAAGAAGCTGGAAAAAATGCGCCATCGCAATTGGCGCTGTGAAATCAACTTTTTCGGTAATTGTTACAACATGTGGACCCACAAGGATACATCGCTAGCGGCGCACCACAAACACGTCGGGACGACAGTTTTCACCATCGGCGACAGACTTTTCGTGCTTCTCGTCTGCATCATTTTATCTGATAGCACGTATGTTGAGCAGTTCAGAGGAATCCACGGAGTGTTACCTAGTGTTACTTGCCACGATCGCGTACACCACAAAGCAAGAAATTACCTGAAACGGTAAATAACGCGGAAATCAACGTGCACCCCCCCAATCACCCATCGAGCCGCCTTAGGTGCAATTTCCTTTTATGACAATTTTTGTTTCTTGATTGTCGATTTTGCCGCCTCTGGTGGAGATAAAAATGACTTTCGGCAGCAGAGGTCAACGACGCCCATCGTGAGATGCTCAAATCTGCGTTGCAAGCTAGGTTATGAACGCATGCAAGCCAGACTTAGCTTTACCTCGACTTTGGTAGACCGCGAGATGTTCCGGTAGCGCGCTAATCATGACGTCCGACATGAGTTTACTACTTGGTCTCCCAAGACAGACCATATATAAAGGTTAAGATAGGTCGTTCTTTCAGTTTACACGCCCTGTATGCATGGGGATAATCGGCTTGTGAAAGACGGCAAACCAAAAAGTCCTCTCCACCAGAAGAGGGAGACGACTATCTTCCTGATTCCTGTCCGTTCAGTGGATGTACATGACCCCGGAACGTAGGAGAGTAAGAAGCTCAGCAACCCAACGACGGGCTTAACCAGTAATAGTGGAGAGGCCTGTGATTATATATATCTTGCTATACTACTACTACTAGAAGAATACATACGCCAATAATTAGCATAATGAATGTCTACATAATTGGTGGCACGGGCGCACCTGTCGTACGCTGTGCTGCTTTGAAGAAAAGACTAAGAACAGCCGACATGAATCTCTGCAACTCCGCATCCAGAAATAGAATCCAATACCTAGCCTATCATCGGTGAGAGGAAATCGCGAACTGTAAGTCGATCCTAGTGGTAAAGACAGGCGAGGTTGTGGTCGTCGTCCCGGGCGGGGGTGGATAAAATGCCAACGTCAATGAATTTGTGCAGGTTAAGCATCAGCCGAGATATAAGAGTAACAGATATGCTGGAGTACACGCTCAAACATCAATCTGTGGTTATCACAACAAACACTCACCAGATACTAAATGTGGCCAGCATGCCTGCGGTGGCAACCTTGCAATCGTCAGGAAGTAATCAACCTAAATATAAGATGCGGGTGTATATGCTCACTGAATCAACCTGATTCAAGCTGTGAGCACTGTGCGACTCCATCAATATCCATTCGTTGACTCACGTAGAATGTCAGGATGTTCGGGATCTGGCATAATACCATCGCTCTGAAGGAATACGAGTCAGATTTACTCGAGTCACGATCTCACCCACGATCTCACCCGAAATACATCGCACCTGCGTCCGGTTGATTCAGTGTTTACAGTACTGATTCAGTGAAAAACTCACCATCACAAAAGATGATATCAATAATATTTCTCCTGGTGACTAGAGATAACCGCGGCAAACCTTTAGTTTTGCAAATCCTGTACACTATGAGGACAAAGATGAATATATCAAAGACAAGTCCAGCCAACCATGCCAGCCCAAGGCCTGCAATTAGATAGGGTCAAGTTTCATGCAAATGTGACGTAGAATTCACTGACGGGCGGCTCTGCAACGATTTTTGAGCAGGCGCGCAGAGCGACGATAAGGATGACGTACGTCTTTGTCGTATATGTTTTATAGCAGCCAACTCCTGGCAAGCTGGTAGCATCGCTTGAAAAATGTCCAAAGGATCCCGCCTAGTAGAAACGATAATTAGACTCCAAAATCCGAAATTCTATGCGAACACGTACAGAAGCTCCTGTCGCAAGAGCAACCATAATGATTACCATACAAACAAGCAAACGCTTGCTACAACCGTAGAGAGCATAAGTGCGAATGGTGAGTATGACTGAAGTTCTCAGCACTTAAATTTCTTGCAATAAAATTATACTCACTGCTAACCAGGATTACTTCGAAAAAAATCAGCAGTTGTCTGACCAGCGTATATTTCGAGCAGCTAAGTCTTTGTTGAGCAAAACAACATGAATTCAAGAACCAGAGTGAAACAAACCTCTACAGAAATAAGTTGTGAGCCTGCCAGTTGATCATTAGTACATGTATCGCGAAATCATCGAACCTCATCTGAAAGAGGCAGGAAATCCACAACTAAGGAAGATATATTGCCAAGCACGGCGACATAGCGATTGACGAGAAACAAGACTGCAGACATTGCTTTCGGACGACGCCAAATAAACGCGATTTCCTCTGGCAAGGTTACTATGTGGTCGTATATGAGGATACCTAGAATACTGCGTTATTGTCCCGAGACCAAGGATAAAAAGGGTAGTACTATTTCCCGCCAGAATGGCGTAAATGCACAACAACCTGGAATATTCATTCGCCATCAGGATATATGGTCAATCTATGCGTGTATCACTCACATCTGCTGCGCTTCTGAGTGACTAGGAGTGTCCATTACAATGAAGTGATATACAACAGAAGAAGGGCGTTTGGAAGGGGCAGCAATTGACCAAGTATATACCAGCCGTGAAGTTAACGGTCCTTCCCGCAATCATTTTCGCGGAAACTGGAAAGTCGACGACTCCAAAGCATTCTAGACGTAATATAGTCCTGTGCGTAGATGTTCCAAGTTAGTCGCATCACTGTTGCACCCGTTGCAAGGTTGTCAAGGTATTGTGCCATTCCTTGTTGGAACGTCCAAGGCGGGGATCATTGCCCCATGGGCCATGGCGATAAAGGCGGATCCGAGCCAAGACTTGAAAGTTAATGGCAATTTGATGATATATAAATAGAACATCGATTGCGAACATTTCATCCCATCCTGATCAGATGACAGATCTAATCCCCGTCATTGGGATACGGCTTGGTTCAAGCTTGGTTTCCTCAAAATATACTTATCTATAATGCCAAAACGTACAAGATATTCATGACAGTATCTTCTTCCTCTGGACCTCTCTGCGTTAGTCTCATGTCTTAAAGCGTACCGCTGGCAGCGATCTTGATCTCAACCTTGGGCTTGCCAGAATCAGTCCCATTCTTCTCGATAGTCTTCACGAGATCCATGCCCTCGACAACCTCACCTGAGACACAAGTTAGTTCTGATCGACAACTCCTTGATGATGATCCTCACCGAATACTACGTGAGCACCGTCAAGCCAGCTAGTGACGATGGTGGTGATGAAGAACTGCGAGCCGTTAGTATTCTTGCCGGAGTTTGCCATGGACAGAAGTCCAGGTTTAGTGTGCTTAAGTTTGAAGTTTTCATCTAAAATATTACGATCAGATGCCGTAGTCTGAACGCGGCTCCGCGGAAGGACTCTCACCAGCAAACTTTTCGCCATAAATGGACTTTCCACCAGTGCCGTTTCCCCTGGTGAAATCACCACCCTGGAGCATGAAGGAGGGAATGATACGATGGAAGGCAGAGCCAGCATATCCAAAACCGTTTTGACCGGTGCACAACTCGCGGAAGTTCTTGGCCGTCTTCGGTACGACGTCATCATAGAGCTTGAAGGTGATGCGCCCAGCTGGCTTGCCGCCGATGGTGATGTCGAACTATAAAAATCAGATATGTCAGATACGAATCCCCCTTGTCGCTAATATCATCGATATACTCACGTAACAGTTAGACATGATGGATGGGAGAGGAACGGTCTACGAAGGCTGCTCTGATAAAAGGATAGTTCGGACGATGCCGATCATCATTGCTGATTATCTACTCACAGCCACAGTCTAGAACAGGGACGCCGGGATGGCGACAGGGGGCGCTCCGATACATTACCTCGAAGGTCTACCACGGCCTGTTCAACTAGTTACATGATCCGTTGATTTTTCTCTCGGCTGTGGTTGGGCTGTGGTGACCTTGAAGCAAGACCCAAGTAGGTGCGTTTGCAGAAATGAACATATATAGTAATGCCTGGCCCATACATACGCAGCGTTCATGTAAGTGATCTAACTGCTGAATATTCGACTGAAGAAACCACTCTTCGGTAGCTCAACCTCGTCCGTGTATCTGATCGTAACACTGCCATCCCGAGACACAACTTTGAGCTCGTCCCCATTCCAATCGTCACCAAATGTCTGATGCGAAAAGTCACCGACGAAATATCGCTGCATATGCTCGAGGGTGCTTAATGTCATGCTCCGCTGCACGAGTTCGTCGGAAAGCTTTGCACTTTCCCTGGTGATCAGGAGAAGCGGGCCGTGAAATGACCGAGGTAGAAGGACGGTCACTCGTCCGTCGCGTGCATAAATGTCCAACAGGAATGGAGCAACGACCTTGACCGTATTCTAGAGCGAATTAGACGGTGCACTGTTCGTAATCATCAATACTCACAATCTTAGCCGTAATATGTCCATCGTTGGAGCTTAGCGAGAGGGTAGTGCGTCTTTTGTTCTTAGGAGCAGCTTCCTCTTGACCGATCAACCAGATATCAGCATTGATATTCCCATCCTTTGTGCGAAGGTACAGATTTTTCCTGTCCTGATCCGTTTCTCCGGCATTCAGTGGAGGAAGTAGACTGAGGGGTATTTGCATTAGAGGGTTGATCACATAGGATCCTCGTATGTGTTTATCCTTGAGTATAAGCGAGAGGAAATTGGTGGGCTTGGAGGGAGGTTGAAGCTCCGTGGAACCCGAGCTTCTAATCTGTGTATGCTGTACATGATCTGAATATGCTGGAGGGAGTGCATCCTGCAGACAGCGGTCAATCCTAACAATGTCTAGGAGATATCTCATCAACGAACATCCACCGCATTTATCACCGCCTCTGATTGATCTTGCTCTGCCTCTGCCGCCTTTGCACGCTCATTCTGGAACTGTTTCTCTGGGATGATCATCGGGGACCAATGGTGATGGAGGGAAACTCGTCAAGGAAATCATCAGGAGAGTTCACGAGCCTATGTACAGGCCGGAATGCTGCGGTGCTGCGGCTGCGAACTGCGGCATCAATGATAAAGGCAAAGAAGGCAGGCGTGAGGCAGCTGTCAATCATCATCACATGGCGTTGATTGTAAGTTGTACATGAGATAGTCATACATGTAACTCCAGGAACGTCCACTACCACCCGAATAATCGAGTCAAAAGCCCTCCTTTGCTGGTATGGTCTGCCTTGGTATCCTCTTCAATGTATTTTACCCTGATCCTTCCATGTTCTGCTTCAACCCGCAGTTCATCTCCAGTCCAATCACTGTCATTAACCATGGACAAGTCTCCAACAAAGTATCTTCGAGTTAAATCCACCTGACTCAAATGCGTGCAATTCTCGGAGAGAGTATCAGCGAGTGAGACGGAGCCGTGCCTGGTCGATAAAAGAAGGAGACCGTGGAAGGAGCGTGGAAGGGTAACATTCGCAGTGCCATTCTTCGCGGAAATGGTCAGCAAGAACGGGGCAGCCCCGTGAATTGTTTGCTAGTATTCAAATCAACGAGGAAATCACGGATGATCAAATGGAGGACATACAACCCGCACAATAACAGCACCATGTTCAGAACTAACGTCGAGTATCGTGCGTTTTGCGGGCCTCTTAGGATCGTAAGGTTGGCCGTCTCGAGCACGGAGAAGCCATACTTCTGCGTTGACAGATCCATTTGTCGAGCGCAAGCACAGATTTTTCCTGTCTGCCTCGCTCTCTTCCGGACGCAGGGGTGGAAGAAGAGAAGCAGGGATGCTCATGCAAGGGTCTATGACGTACTCCCCCTTCATAGAGCTATGCTCACTGAAGAGATTCAGATAATTTGTTGGTTTGGACTTGAACGGGGGCTGAACAAGATGGCTGGAAGAGGATGTACTCGTAGTTGCATCTTGCCCCGAGGGGTTGCTATAATATGATGGAGGGGGCTACAAGAGAGATTAGGAAACGAGAACAGACATAAAACAAATCAAGATAATGCGCACTGCTTCTCCAGGAAGTTGTGTAGGCACATTCTCGGTGTCCAGGTGAGCTTTGAGTTCAGAGGTAGTTGGATCTGCAGGATCCTGTGGAGAGACTATCATCGTGCAAGGAAGGTAGCGTAAAGCTATATCAGCAACTTACTTACGTTTGAGTCCTTTCTAATCCGCCGCATGCATGCGTACGGCAAGCTGCGGCTGCGTTCAGCACAGCATTCCAACTTTCCAAGCTTAGCACTTATCGGCAAACAAAGGCTCAGCGCTCAGCGCTCATTGTCACAAGAAGCTATGAACGACCGGAATATTAATGTAATATGCGTATGCCAAGGTGCCAATGGCAACCGACATTTGACAGTCTGTTGTTTGACAAGTACTACGTTCCACCTGGGTTTAGGACATTTCTGGCTAGCATTTACCATCAACGGAAGTCTAACGCATTCGAGGGGACACGAGAGCGTCACAGCTACTCAGCAGGAGCTCCAAGTGTGTTGCGAACGTATTAATGAATGGGATCATGCCGACCAACTGCTAAATGCTCCGTCGTCAATCAAAGTGGTGGAAGCCCCTAGGGTAACAGAATGTGCCGGCTACAGATCTCGCAAAGGATGGGAATCATGAGCTTGGATGCCATATATGCATATGAATGTCGACCTCCACAGGACGAAGAAAATTTTACATATGAACCCGTACTTAGGTATGCATGCAAATCCATACTCCGTGCTGCCTTCGCATCGTGATATAAAATCAGAACGTGGAAGGACGGTTAGCAACGAAAGTCGCAGCACTCTTTCCAACACGGTGGGGGAGAGGGAACTTGAGGTTGGGGGTAAGGAGCTGCTTGATGTATGGGCGGCGGACATCATCGGCCTTGGCGATCTCAACAACGCGGAGAATCTGAAGAGATACATATATCAAAAGACATCCAAAAGACGGGAACGGGTCAGAGCATACGTGGATCGACCGGAAGCGGGCACGATGCCTGGCAGCCATGTCCTGGTAAAGGCTCTTGACTGCATCAGCACGGGAGAGGTCACGGAACTCCTTGTACATGTTGTGGGTCCCCGATCGCGAGTCGTAGCGGAGCCAGATACCGAAGTTCTTGACCTTCAAAGGCTTTGCCTCGTGAATCTGTGACACAGGTCATATAGACCGTTAGCAATCCCGTTCCGCCTGCCACTTGAACGGCTGCAAGGGATACACACAACGTTGACACCAATGACTTCACCACTGGCTTTCTTGACCTTCTTCAATTGCCTAGGTGGCTGTTACATGCGCCTAAAAAAATCTGGCTGGCTGGCGTACCTGAGGAAATACCAGAATCGCGATTTTGCAACGACTTCATTGGGCGCAAAGATGCGCATGCGGTAGATTTTAGGGTTGGGCTCATTCGTGGTGGGCAAGTGACGTCCAACGACCTGGTATTCTTGAAGGCCCATCTAGTACAGAATATATCAGTACACATCCAGACAGGAAGAGTAACATCCATCAAGAAAGACATGTTTCTAAGCTTATTCTCCTCCGTAGAGCTCTCTAGATGCATGAAATGTCGGAAATAACTTGCTCACTTTGAGATTGACTTGTTCTTGAGGCGTTGACGTTGTCGAGCAGGGCGAGACCACTATCTACACCAAGGTTTGACACTGTTGTTTGACATTGTTTGTGGCTGTGGCGGAGCGTGAATTTGAAGCGCCCCCAATCCCGATGTCAAGTTGGCAAGTCTCTCAATTGAAGTTGTAATTGGTCGCAGGTAGACTCTTCGTAATGATATAAAGGGTGCAGTATGCTTTACAACTGATACAGAAGGAATGTCCAGAAAATGCAGATCTATTCGACAGTCATTGCAGTGTCTATCATCTCCGTGACGCGAGTGGCCCCTGCATGCTGACTTGGTCGGGAAGAGAAAATGATATCTTTCAATACCTGAGATATCAACCCATGCTGAGCCTCTGCGGCAATTTTTGAACTGCGAGGGAAACATTAGCTTGACTGCGGATGAAACTGCATAAAACCCACCTATCCTTCACACCCTTCGCAAGTTGATTGTCTTCTTTCTTCTTTTCTTCCTTCTGCGGCGAAGAGCACTCAGTGAATATTCAGTGCACAGAGAATTTGGCGATGATATACCTTGGGTGCACTTGATGCCTTCTCATCCTGACCCTTCAGTGTTGGCACGGGTGCTCGTGTGCTGGAAACAGAGGTCTGGGCCTTCGAGAGTTTCTGATGCAAATCTACAATCTGTGACACTGCATACGCCCGGTTCTGTGCGCATGTTGTATGTTTAACCCAGTGAAACTATCAAAAGCTACTTACTGAAATCAACGGACTCTGGCTGAGTGTGTTGACCCAGTACTTGTTCCATAACAGACCGAGCAGCTCAGTGTCCAAGCTCGATTTGAACACCTCCACATCTAGTGGGTAGTATTGGTTCGCATGCACACCAAAATCTTCGATTTTGTTCAGGGGAATGGACTGATATTCGGAAGCTGATATGTGAGGAGGCGTATAATTTGGTGGATACGTGCGGAAGGCACCAATATCGACTTTGCCAGCAGAGATTGTGCGATTGGGGTCAATCTGTGGCACTGATGGTCAGACCAGTAGATCGGACCAGGGCATGATGATGGACGCACTACGACAGCCACGAAAGGATCCTGGAACTGCTGGTTATTCATTTGGGTGTCCACATCTATTCCGGAAAGCCAGCACCCATAGCCTGGATGAGAGTGATACCAGCCAATGGCATTCTCCAATCTTTTGGCCTAAACGAAAGTAAGCGCAGGTTACCTACAAGGCTCAAATCCGTACCTTCTCGCTCTCTTGAATATACTTTACCATGTACTCGTTAGCTTCATTCGCAGCGTTAACACGCGTCTCCGTGCCCTGCACAGGAAGTGCGAAGGAGTCCATGATGACCAGTGAGTTGCCCATCACCTTGCCTTGCATGAGTCCCATGATCTCATGCGGCACTCCTGAACGTGCATGGATGACCTGCAGAGGAGCCAGCGTCAGATCGTCCGTTGAAACCTCAGCTATTCAAGCTTTCCATCTTTATCAAAGCAACGGCTGAGATCTTGCATGATTTAAAGTATTGCGGGCTATCAGGGAGGTCATTGAATGGTGCGCTCAAGTGATATGGGGTTATGCCGACATACTCCTTGTCCCATGGTGCCTCCCGGTTTATCCGCTTGTTAGCCTCGACATCAAAGTCATATATCTCATCTTGAGGTGAAACTTCAAATATCTCGTTCGCTAGCGAGAAGGTCTTGAAGGCGGTGCTGGAAGTCATGGTAGCAGATGCACAAGGGGCCTCAAGTGGCGGAGGCAGATTTGGTGTGTATCGAACAGTGCAGTTTGAAATGTGATTATCGTACACCTAGTGTTCGAATCAGACATACACAGAACGTATAGTACTCGTAATATGTAGTATATCGCGAAACGGAATTTGTGCAGGCCATGATCTCAACGTTTCGGGAATAGTATCCATCTAATGCCTTCATACAACATCTGGATGTTTATAGGAGACATCTCTGTATCATCTAAGAGCAATTCTCCTCTTGCTCTTTCTATCGGAAGCCGAACGTTAGTAAGCACTAGCTATCCCCAGCTGGTGGCCACAAACTAACTCTCGGCTTCAACCGCAGCTTTCCGCTTCCTCTTCTCCTTCAACTGACGCTCCATTTCCTCAAATGCACTGAGGATGACCTCGTTCCTCTTTGCTGTAGTCGGTATATTGGTTCTAACGCGTACTGGCCACTCGGATTCTGGTATCGAGAGTGCAGAAAGCGACGAGCGCAACGTAGCAATCGATTCCTTGTAAGCTTCTAGAGATTCCTCGTAAAGGTCATAGACGCAAATTGCACATCCAGACATGCAACATTCTTGCATATATGTTAGACGCTGGGAACTGGGCTTAAGTGCAAGAATTTACCTTCATCTGATGGTGGTATAGGTTCTTCGGGAATCATAAAGCCCGCGATGGTATCTGGAGATGTTTGCGCATCGTGGCGCGGGGGGGATGTCAACGGGGGCGGCCTGGCCTTGGATGCATCCTCGACCCCCTGGGAGAGTTCGGATATCTGCTTCATACTAGCATTTTCTCCCCGAAGTATGTTTTCTAGCCTGCGATAGCGTTCAGTGAGATTTTGACCACCTCTGCCTCGATTCTTCCGATGGCTTCGAGTGATGGATGGTATCGACGAGATAGTGTTAGACGAGCTCGTTGCAAACGAGCGCAAGCATGGCATGTGAGTGCATGCTGATACCGCTATCCTCCGCCGGCTAAGAGACAGCATGCATACTCCCCTCGCCTAGTGAGCCTCCCTGCTCAAACCACAGCTTGAATGATAGCGGACTTGCCACTGCTACCAGGATGACAAGAAGCAAGTTAACGGTTGAGTTTGGTTTGGGTTGAGTTACATAACGTTTTTGTGTGCTGAGTCAGCTCCCACCGACATCCCTACTGTAATCAAGCGGCGTCACAAATCGCACATGTACCATACAGGTCAGAATTTCTGGTTTCTGTGGTCTGCCCGGAGAATCGACGGAGATGAAGCCTCGATGAAGTGAGACCCTGTCGCATGGAGGACAAATCCGCTGAACTGTTACAATCTCTGGCATACTCCTTCCGGCTCCGCACGTGGGCGGGCATGCACAAGCAGCCCGGTTCCTACCTGAAGTGCAGCTCCTCTGGGTCCTGTCGTGAATCTTAGCTATATTGCTTATTCCGCTTTGACAGTGAGGTAAATTGGTCTGCGATGTCGCTTGGTAGTGCCTCCTTGGGGGATTTTTTGCTGCTCAACCGCTCGATGGCACCATTCGCAACTGCGGGCATCCAGAGATTATGAATACCAGAATCTCCGGATCACTCGCTGTTGTCGGCGTTGGTTCAGAAGGTTTGTGTGGTACTGAGACACTGACGCCTTCCAGTTTACTGGTGCATACATTACTCCTCCTTAATGCATGACCTTCAAATTCCACTGACGGTGACAATCTTCCTAGGACAGTTTATGTTTATGTGAGCTTGAACCGGTACCTTGAGTTGCTTGCGCTCATGTTGACATATAGGGTGGTACATTTGATTATGGTGCCAGGTGTATGGCTTTGTCGTTGCAGACATTCTATGACTTCTCATCAACTTTTCATCAACAAAGATTCTGTGTAGCACAGCCCCCGGAATTATCGGTACTCTGGGATATCTGCTGGTTATCGTTCAAACGCTCGGCTCTGCTGCATGTGCATATTGTGATGAAAACGTTGGACTTCTTGACCAGCGAGCAGGCTTTGAATGTATCGACCTATAGCGAAGTTTGGCGGAGATTCAATGACATCACCATTATCGGCAAAAATGCGGGAGGTGCGAGCAAGGTCATTGGAGTCGTCTCCATTCTTGCGATGTTTACCGAATTCTGAGCAGGTTTATCCTGCACTTTTCAACCGTGCAGTCGCACACTAATGGATTTGGCAGCCCGATCGCCAGTATGACTGCCTCACAAGCAAAACATTTCGGTTAGTCATCAGGGATTGGCATATTAACATTACGATCGATGACGCGTGACGGTTCTCCATGACGTTGAGAAACCAGATTTCGTGCGTGTAATGTCAATAACATCCGTATGATGCTGTATGATGATCTCATCACTGGGAAGGATGTCGTCCTCGTTGCAAACTGGATGATAGCAATATTGACTCGGGTGGTATACCTTGGGCACATTCCACGAAAATTCCACTCAATTAATCAACAAGGTCATCGGTCCCATCAACTGAGCTCAAGTCCCGTTCTGCATCGGTATACGGAGTAGGCCTTCTAATTTCTGAATCCGCTCTCGTTGTGAGTATTTTTTTCACCTGAACGTGCTTGTTTACGTGAAGAACAAGCAGGCTAATATGTCACTCGCGGAAGAGATTTAGCGGGAATTGTCCGTCTCTCCACGCATCAGTCTTCTGATGTTGGCGGAGACCGAGGGCCAGGCAGCCATTCGCTATCAGTTAAGTTTCCCACTGCGTCAGAGACTACTTTGCGCGGACGTATTCATCAAACGGGACAGTGGGTAATCTGTGCAACATGCTGCAATGTACATACTGAATTACAACTGATCAGATCGTTCACCGAGATTTATCCTTTGTTTTTCGACCTCGCAGTTGCTAGATATTCACCGTCCCCCTTTTCCCTGCCCACACACACCAGCTCATGCTCATGCTACGTGCCGTTACGGTTGGGCCTTATTCCGGTGACGATAGTACGCACATTCCATTTTGAGTCGATTGTTGAATTTTCGGTCCACATTGGGGACGGAGACTATCAGTGCATTTTTGGGACTTGTTCGGGAGCTTTAACCTTCGTGGACTTTCCTCCGTGGGGCTTTAATCATCCAATACGGTAGCACGCTTTACAATTCTCATCGATCAACGAAGAAGTGTGCCAAAATATTCGAATGGTCAGAAACTTATGGTTTAACGGGCGCGTTCCGAGGATCGGAGAAGAGCAAGTGCTGAATTGTCTGCCGATCATCGCTGCAACAATTGTTCCGCACAGGCTGCGGAAGAGCTTACATATGTCCGGAGACTAAACATTCTGGGACACTCAATAGGCATGAAAAGCAGCACCTTGAGGCTACACTTTCAGGCCCGGCACGGTGATCAAACGAATTCGCGTTCTCCATTTGGCTGGTCTTCCTCACTTTCTCTTCAGATCATGTGTATCATTATGGTGTGTGCCAGAGCCCACGCTTCGAAGGATGTGATTCTTTACTCTAACAAGCACTTAGGGTAAGAACACGAGCCACGCTGATAGCCTATGGCTAGATAGATCTTTATCTTTGTCCTCGATATAGCTATGGAGGATACGACGGAGATGACTAGGGAAGAGGTAGTTTAGGTTTGTTGAACCTATTAATGAGGCGGAAACTTACATCAAACTGGAATATTGGACCACCGGAGCTGGTGTTTTAAATCCATGAACGCTGTAGCTGTAAGTACCCTTAAGTACCGTGCTGAATCTGCTGATGCCCGTCCAATAAGCTCTTCACCTTCCTAATCAATCGAAGCTCCACACTCTAGGTTGGCAGATTGGCGCCAGTGATAAGATTTTAATTTGTTGGTGTCATGGCGTCTAGGAGGCTCTAGGGGGCCTTCTAATTCAGCGTGCCTCAAACATATGTATCACCATCAGCTTTCTCTATTCTATTCTACATGCGGCGCACTCAATACTCGCATATCTAAGCTAAACATCTAAGCATGCTACAACTATGCGACTGCGTGGTCACTGTCATCAGAGTACGATCGATACAGAAGAAAGAAATGAATGAAGAGCAGTGTAAAAGTAATCTACTGGTGCAAGGGTGATGGGTTTTTTTAACAGATCGTGAAGATCGCGACATCCAATTACGGCCACGATAATTATGATTGGCAGCGTAGCTGCTAATGGGCGATCAGACACCCACAATAGTCACAATTGCTTTAATGGGCTTAAGTTGGTCATTGGTTACATTGGCGGGGACACCCGAGGACCGATTTATTGGAACGCCCAATGTCTACAGAAACGTAGCAATTAATGAATATGCTACTTGCAAAACGCGAATGCTTACAAGGATGTCGCCATTCTGCAAAAGAGTTTGTTGCACTATTCGGATACCATTCACATATGTTCCGTGGGTGGTGTTTTGGTCTCGTATGAGCACCTGGAATGCATCTTTCAGTGTTTATCCATCATGTTTGGATGCTTGCTCTCAAACCTGTTTGTTTTGAAGCCAGATCTCAACATGTGGTGATGCAAGGGATATTGAGCCACCTGGGGTGAACGCCGCCGGCCCCAGAGGAATTCTGAGATTAGACGTGAACGATAACCTGATAGCCTCGAAGGGGCAACTGCTGGCCGTTGGGGACAGAGTGAGGCAAGGAGCAATGCTGAAGTTCATTTGGAAGAGAGTTGTCAAAGTCGAAGGTGGTGCTTAAGATCCACTCATACTCAACCACTGGAATATATATGTTTGCGAACCACACTCGAAAGAAGGGTGCAAGCTAGGCTGAGGTACAGTGGGCCACCACCAAGTTAGTGTGGTTCTGGAAGGATGGCCCAACATAGGGATAGGACCCCAAATGCGGCCTTCATATCGAGAGGCCCACGTTCCAGAACCTTGATGTGAGCGGCGTGTCGGTTCGCCTAGAAGGATCGAGGGGCTACAAAATGAAGATAAATCCTAACGGTTAAGCTGACGGGTTATTTGTGAGGTGGGGGATCGATTACGCGAGGAACTGCAGGCTGTGACAGTGATGGGTGACTTGATGGGAAGTGATGGGTGTCTCTTCTACGACCTCGTGTCGTCTAGCGCTTCGCCGCTCTGACGGCGCATGCGTGACTATTGGCCATGCTAGTCATCGCTTTCAGGAACGTCTTAAGAGATCAGGCTCATCCTGAAATGTAGCGGGATCTGCGACAGTTTCACATCCAGGGGGTACCTCCAACTGAGGGGACGGCTATCACTTCCCGTCCCGCTGGCGGGTCCAATCACCAATATTCCAGCATCGGTGGTCGCTCCTCTCAACAACTCGTCGAGGAAGACGATGGAGACGGCATCAAGCAGTCTGATCGCAAGCGAGGGTCAGATACATCATCTGCAGCGATTTTTGCCGGAACTCGCTATCCCGACTAGGATCATAGAGATTCCGATTGACAATTCCCGGCCCCGAAGATCGTATCTTTCCTAAAAGGGCTCTGTAGGTGGTAGGTTGGATTAATGAAATCGTGTACATTCGCAGAAGATGTCGTTCTTGGCGAGCGACATGTATTGTAATGCAAGCCAATATTAATTACCTGCGGATGACCCGAGACGCCGAGGATGTGCAACGATTCTGACCAGATGATTATTAGTAGGCCCAATGGTCGGCTTGACCTAACCAGGGTGACGCCTCAGACCTGAGGCGCAGAGAGCAGTAATCAAATGGTAAAATACCGTCATTAGCGTGAGTCTTCCAAAATGATCCATGAGTTCAGATCCGAAGGCGGGCTGATCATGATGAAACCACCGCGTGACTTTACAAGTGGATAACGTGACCGAGTTTTTCGCGCCGCGAATTGGGTTTTGATTGGGTCACTTTGAAACTTTGTCTGACACACCAACTTAGTGACAGGCAACTATTGGGCAGCTAGGCTCAATTCAACAGAACAATCTTCAATCTGCAACTTGTCCCGAGTGTTTTGCAGGTCGCTTAGTCCCCTGAAAGGAGCTCCACGGCCTGCTCAAACATCATTAGTTCCTGAGGATAGCACACAGTCTGTCCCTCACCTAAATAACGTCTTCCCCTTCCTTCATTTTCTACCCGAGCTTGCACAACGTGTTCTCATTCATGGAAGCCACAAGGCGGCTGTACACGGTCATAATGGAAGGTTCAGTTTTGTAGGTAGGACAATTTGGCGATATGTATCAACTACTTAATGTTTTATTTTTACCGATCAGGGCATCCAGTGCTTGAGTCTTATTATCTGCTCTTCCTGCATTCGATCGCGCGGAGCTCATATTAGTACGACTATGATCTTCTCTAAGACTTCTCGCGCTTTGAATACCTACTTTTTTTGGCGAACACGTCGCCCCTCACTGGTCTTTGGTCATATTCTGTGATGGACCCCAGTCTCCCAAGATGTTCTACGGACCCACAAAGATATCAAAGATTCACCTACGAAACAGCCGACGGATGCTGGATTAGAAAACCCGTTAACGGCGAACCCTGGCGTCACAAAAAGTGTGGGTCTTTACAAAATCATGGGGGACGCGGTACAAGCTATAATAAGCGGCGTGTATCATCAATTTGTACGTTATCAGCCTCATGCTGTCTCGCACAACGAGACTGAAATGTATTGTTTGTGATCATCCATGCTGACTCGTTAGTTGTGTTAGGGTAGTTCTGTGGCTCATCAGTCTCTACAGCCTCAAGTTCCGAAGGAATACGATTCAGCACAGGTTCTTGAACCAACAGATTATCAACCACGCCACTCATGCGTTTACAAAGCGCCAGTGCCTTCTGATGGAATTCTGCGGGTACTCCCTCAGCCTTCCCTGACAGCAGGATATACGGGAGAATGCGAGTGTGAAACAAGCAGCCAAAGAAAGCCGCGTGAGTATGCGTTCTAGGCGGACCCTGTTTTCTGACTAATTTTTCTCCGTAGGGCTGCTGGTTTCTGAGTGCTGATGTTTCTCGTCATGACTCATGCTATTTGATCGCATTAATCGCAATGACATTCTATAAGGCTTATCATGCCAGGTGCTAAGCAGGATCAACTATGAGCAACCTGAGTCATTTGCGGCTCCAACGGAAGTTTGTCGGAGGGAAGTATAAGCTTTTGATCGGCGACCAGCTGCAATGGTCAAGCTCCGTTAAGGTTTTCCCAATGCCGCCGGCTATACAGTGCCTGTGATAGTGGCAACATGCTCTTAACCAAGTCCTCGTTGCAACCGCGTTGGCATTGTGGCTGTAAGGCTTCATGATTTTCAACGATTTATGTAAGCTCTTTGTGTACTCCACACGCCAAATTAATCATCTGACGAGCTGCTGAGGATCCTCAACCAATGAACCATACTGCTTTTGTTCTAAGCCCAGGCTGACGGCGATGTTCAAATAGGTAATCATGTGCGATTGGCACCTGGTTATCACACGGTTCCGCCCGCCGGTGTAGCTTCTTCATACCAGTCGATCATCATTATCCGTCACCGACGGTTGAATCGAATTTAATTTCCTCATAGTGGACTGCATTACGCAGGTTCGCTGTCAAATGGGGAGTGCACGAGGCCGCGGTTATGCTGAGACCATTCATACTCACACTTCAATCGAAACGATGCAGGATCGTCTCAATAATATAAGTACATAGTTTCATCGCCCCTCGGCCGATCGTTGTCTTCTGCCAGCATCAAAGTACTTTGACGCGAAGGCAAACCAGCTCAGCATTACCACGCAAAATGAAACGCGTAATGTGTGGCTACTTTCAGACTTCTTCGCTCCACGAATCACCTGAGACTCGAGGGTCGTGCACGTTTGTTCTACAGGTAAATATCCTCATTGATATTGTATTGGTGGCTCTCGATGGCAGGTGAGTCGTAATATGTGATATGTGAACTTTGCTTACGACCCTGTTTTCTGTCTGTAAGTGTATTTCCTTCGAGGCCCTGTGGGCGAATTGTCTCACAACAGTTATCATTGGCCCAAGCGAAGGGTAACACAACAGAGGGCCAGCCTAACACTAAATTTATCGTCTCCCCTACTTTGCAGCACAGCTCTTCTTGTCATAAGCGACCTCGCCTTCTCCTCTGATGCCTCCTCGCGGGAGAAGACAAATCTCGGATGCGGATGCCGATTATCAATGTATCATTACACGAAAGCGTCTAGATTTGAATGCATACTCCACCCCTCGTTAGGCGTGTCATTTTACATGTTCAACTTGTGGTCCCCTTCCCGCATCCACCGATCCACACTGGTACACTTGGTTTCCCACTGATGTCTCCAGCGACTTTATTCAGCTTGTCCAGAACCTCGAATCCTGTTTTCAACTCCCCAAATGCTACGTACTTGCCGTTCAACTTTGCGAGTTGCGTCTCGTCATCCGTAAGCACAACGAAGAACTGGGAAGAATTCGTATTTTTGCCGGAATTGGCCATCGCCAGGGTTCCTCTTCTCGTCTTGATCTTCAGCCCGTCTTTTTCATCATTGAATTTACCGCCATAGATCGACTGTGGGGAAATCAGAAAAATAACCAGTCATACCGTCATATTACGAGCACGGACCTCGCCTCCACTGCCATCCCCCCTTGTGATATCGCCGCCCTGTGCCACGAAGTCTCTCACGATGCGATGTATCGGGCATCCCAAGTAATGTAACTCTTTGTTACGTGCATTTTTACACTTCCCTTTCTCCCCCGTACACAGCGCAGTGAAATTTGCCGTCGTTTTCTTCAGTGAGGTCTTGGGGTTCAACTCAAAGACAAGGCGGCCGACACAAAGTGACTCTGGGGGTACGAAGCGTAGTACATGCGATTTCTAACGATTAGAACATGATTATATTTGAACATAACGTCGGGAGAGCATCGGCAGAAATGCAAATACATCGATTTCTCTGAGCATTTCCTGTTGCTCTGATGATAGCTGCTGTGGATCGGATGGTAAGCCGTAGATAGCTGCATTGTTGACGAGCAAATTTCGGGTGGTAAGATATGCAGCTTCATCGAATTTGTGCTGCTCTTTGTCTCCCATAAAAACATCGAGATAAACGGTGGAAGACATTTGCGTAGAATCCAGTCTTTGATTAGTTCTGCTCCAAGTCGTGGCCACCTCTGTGGCAATCTTGCGTAACGTCACGTGTCACAGCGGCATTACTCACCAACCATTGCAGTCATGGCAGTAAGCGGCTCTTTCTGCCGCCACATCTTCCTCTACTATTGCTCTGAAGCCGAGGACTGCTGCACATTAGCATGGCGTCAGCATACTATGAGTTTTACCGGGGGTCATCGTATGTTCCAGCGGTTTGCCTGATTGGTCGGGTGCTCACGGCTGCAGGATCGGAATGGCCCTGACAGACTCGCTGGACGAGCTTATCACGAGCGGCGCTATCACACCACAATTGGCCATGAAAGTTCTTCAACAGGTATTTTCTGAATAACGACCCTTTGTGAACAAAGGATTGACCACGAGTTTGAAATAGTTTGACAAGTCGCTTGCGGATACGATGGTCAAGCAGGTGAAAACCAAGACCACCCTCAAGGCTCGTCCGCTTCCGGTTTTTTGAAATGAATGATTTCTTATAACATTGTTCATTATTCTAGGGCAACCTGCGGACATACCGCTTGTGCGATGATGTATGGACATTTATCGTCAAAAACCCGTCCTTCAAGATGGAGTCGAACGAAATGGTATCTGCGCCTCGCATAAAAATAATTGCGTGCAAAAATGGAGACGCCATTGAAGCAGGCAAGAAGTAGTACTAGTAGCACATAGGCCCTGCTTTATCTGACTTCTCTTATGGCAATTGCCTTGTATCATACAATGTTGTACTTTCCATGCTGTTATTTCTCACCAACTCGGATACCATGGATAGATAAGCATTAGCTTCGATTCCGATGCAAGTGTTCTCTTGATCAATGAGCGTAATCGACGTCGAGTACCTGAACGCTGGCACGAAGCTGGCAAAAACGTACGATAACAGGGCGAAGTGAGGGGTCCTGTCACTCCGCCATCCCCAAGGGTCATATAGAGGCTTCAAAACCCACGTGGCTATATATGGGACTTACCATCAGTTTCAGCTCATGCAAGTTGTTGTTCCTGTCCAGCCTTTTCTCACCGTGACACATTTCACACTATCTCTCGCCATGACGCCTTCCTCATATTTAGCAAATTATCCCGAGCCACCAACAGACGCAGCTGTCGCTGATGCTCGTAGAGAGCTCCAAGTCCAGCAAGAGCAGCTCTTAGCGCTCTCAGAGAAGATTACCTCCGCGGAGGACGCCCTGGCTCAAATTGTCGTTGAAAGAAAGCGCGCAATACGTGATCTACGACGCGAAAAGTTGGCGTTGGAGGAGAAAGTGACTTACACCAAAGCATATATCTCTCCTATACGCCGGTTGCCACATGAGCTACTCCGTCATATCTTTCTTTTCAACTTCGACGATCACCCTTGCTGTGCTTGGGTACTTGCAGCGGTCTGCACGCTATGGAGAAGACTCACGCTTTCGATGCCGAGACTGTGGTCCAAGGTGAGTTGACACGATTCTTCACCTGCCAGCTTTGTTATTGCGTCATCGAAGTGGGTTGTCGATCACGTATGTGCGGCAGGAGCAGTCGTTGTCCCTGTTCCTCGTCCTTCGTCCTCGATCCATCTTTTCTCATATGATGTTAATTGCTTCGTGTTAGATACGACTTGTAACAAATCAAAGCGCAACCGCCGATACCATTCGACTTTGGCTGGAACGTTCTGGCGACAAGGTTCCGCTTGATATCGAAATTTACTTGCGAGTAAACGGGGTGTCCAATGAGGGCTCATCGACCCGTACCCGACCCGCCTCACCTACGCCATGGCTGCACCCCCCCAGTCCACCACCTCATTATGTGATCCCTCACCCGCCTGGAACAGCAATACTCCTACCTCCCGCCCAAACTCCCATCATCGTCCCTCAGTCACCCTCGCATCACGACTCATGGGGTTCACCCCCTCCGCCATCTTCAAGGAATACCCCGCAAGCGCAGCGGAATGCCCACTGGGGTCATATCGCAATATTCTACCTTATCGAGCAAATGCATCGATGGCAACGGTTTGTCTTCAGGTTTGACAGGCAGTTTCCATCTATGTCTGCGCTAAAATCAATAGCTGGTACGTACCATACCCAAAGCGATTCAAAAGTGTTATTCAATGAGGGATTAATAGGTGATGCTCCCATACTTAGAGAATTTGAAATCTCTTGCGCCGAAACTATTTATGCAAGTGAATGGCCGTGGATACCGAGCTCAAGTCCGGCGACTAGTATGGCTCTCGGGAAACTAGAGTCACTGATGTTACATCACGTCCCATTCAAATGGTCATCGCCGATATTCAAGACCAATCTGCGGTCCCTCAACCTCCGCTCACTCCCTTCAAATCATCTACCTTTAGATCGTATCATGCACATCATCGCCAGTAATCCAGATCTTGAATCACTCACCTTGCATTTCGCTGTTGCTCTGCCAGCTATCCTTCCTCTTGTCCAGACCTCATTATCTCGACTTCGTGAACTGACATTTGGTGGTCACTATCATATGTCACAACTAGCCGACTCCCTCGTGCTTCCCTCTCTTGAGGTACTCAACCTCGACGTAGAGGCTCGTGACCCGATAGAAGACACCATTACCAATCTCCTGCAACGCTCGAATAATCCGCCGATTACTCGCCTCTCGGTGTCGTATGGCAGCACCTCGAGTTCGACGCTGTATTACGGTCCCGGGGGAGTTGTCATCTCATGGGGTTTCTTAACGGATCTTAACCATCTGGAATCGTTGAGCATAGGCGGGACGCCGCTCGAACCATTTTTGTCGGCCCTCGGAATGCCCGACGAAGAACAAACCCACTGGGCGTGCCCGAATTTGACGACGGTGGCCATGAAAAGTTGTCATGCCCATTCTGATGGGATCGCGAAGCTGGTGCAGCTCGTGGAAGCTCGCAATCCGGAGTCGGGATCTGCGACGATGGTGAATGGGGTGATCCCGACGAGACTGCAACATCTGGAGTTGTACGATTGTGCTACACTAGGACAAGATGTGATAGAGTGGCTAAAGAAGAGGGTAGATGAGGTTATTTGTACCGAGCCTTCGTATGTAAGGTCTCCTTGAGGTTGTACTGTCGAGCTGGCGTTGATGCTATTTATCATGCAGGACTCGCGGCTCTAGTTATTGTGGTTTAGTGGGATGTTATTGATTTGTTGTACATACCGTGTTGTAATCCACTTACAGTGTATACTTATTTTTGTTTTCAGCATATCTTTGTCTTTTCGTAAATAACGCAATGTGCCCCGCAGTGCACTGCTCTTGGCAACGCCACGAAGATAAGTAGGTCCGTGCCTCAGTAATCTCGTGGATGCCACTGGAACGGCGACAATAAACTTCCTTCTGCCGATTTATGACCGCACATGGATGCCGTTTAAACAAAGAATATTTTGGAGCTCTGACTCGTGAGATAGATGAGGAACAAGATGATAAGTTGGGTTGGTGATCAAGGAGATATGATTGGCTATGCATACCAACGTCGAGCGGCGTTGTGCCCGAGCTGAAACTTCGAAGGCTTGATAAGAGCCATTCATGATGATCGATTAGGCTACTCATATTGGCGAACTACTAGTAGTTGGGCGGCCTTGGCCCTTGGGCTTGAATCACCGTGGTTTTGATCGGCTTCCGGTGAGTCTGTACTAGTTAGTTCTTGGCTTGCTGCTTACTCGCAACCTCGGGTATTAAATCAGCAAGGACCTCTACTTCAACTAAGGAATCTAGACTCTAGAGGGCCTCTGCATGATGGGCCGTGAATTCAAATTGACATTGATATCACTGTCACATGCAACTCACTATACGCTTCACGATCACATGCTGAATTGGCGCAAAGGGGACTGAATCTGGCGCGACGGCGCCAAAGTTTTATATAGCGGAGCTAAATATAAAAGATGATAAGTGCTGCTGCGTATAGGTTACGTCCGTTCCGTAAAAGTCAAAGACATGCGGTGCCAAGGTGGAGTTTCTCTCGTGAAACCCAGAGACCTATATGATATAAAGCCCCATCGTGGCAGTTAGAGCAAGTTCACCGCCCCCCCAATTGAACCATACCTCTTGCAGTAGTCGACGCCAAAACTTGAACCAAGTGGATCATGCCCGTACCTATTCCCGAGACACGCGGAAACAAGGCTAAATATGTAGCATTACCGAAAGAGATTACGAATACATCAAGCAGGTACGTAGAGACCTGATGCACGTATCTGCTCCTTGTTTCTAACTATCACTATCCAAGGTTCGCTCTCGACGCTCTCGATTCCCCTTGGAACTTGCGCTTTGCGCACTCGGATAAATCAAGCAGATCCTTTGTCCACATTGAGCGTTCATCCAGACCGGAGGTGACGATGCAGCGCAACGGCCACGTCGGCCATGTCGATGCTGTTGCGCCGGAGAAGTCCTTACTACCCGGTACTGTCCCATTACCACAGGCATCGGCCTCGACCACTGTCATTGAATGGGATTGGGACGTCGAACACCATGACCGAAAGCTCGAAGCTAAAGCAGACGCAGCCCTACATGGTGCACAGCCCTTTCAAGTCGACCGAAGAGTCCTCAAGGATGTCGTACGAGAAATGACGGGTTGTGAAGTCGGGACAATAAATTTCCTCAGTTCTGGTACGTTTAACGTTATCTTCGACTTCTATGACTGCCAAGACACTAACTTGCACCCTAGGGACTTTTCATAAGGCGAGTGCACAGCTTGTGGAGCTATCCTGTATCACGTTCTGATGAACTTTGCCGCATGCAGGCGTATCTTGTTACTCTTGCTGACACACGAGAGCTGGTTGCTCGCGTCGCTCGTCGGTTCATGCCTCGCCTTAAGACTGAGTCTGAGGTGGCTACTATGCACTACCTTCGCGAACGGACATCCATTCCTGTTCCAGATGTCTATCATTATGATGCGAATCCCTACAATCGCCTAGGGGGCGAGTATATCCTCATGTCCAAGGTACCTCTTATCTTCATCTGTTGTCATCATCTTATAGTCACGTGCCGTATTAGGCAAAGGGCGTTCCTCTGTCACGCGTATACCACACCCTCTCTAATGAGGAGCTCAAATCTCTGTTTGCAAATGTCGCATCTATAATAGTGCCGTTGTTTGCACAGCGTTTCTCGCATATCGGATCACTATATCTTGAGGGTGCAGGCGCGGGTGCAACTCCTCTCTCGGTTGGGTCATCGAACTCTCCCACACCAACCGCGACGCGTCCTATCATTAATGGCTTTAAATTCATGCCACTGTTGTCCATGAGCTCTTCCTCCTCTAATATTCCTACCGCAGTACCCCTGAGCAGAGCAGTCTCACGGTCAGCTTCGGCTCGAGAGTCTCATATTGGTCCCATCGTGTCCTGGCCCTTCTTCGGATCGAATCGGGGAGACCTCTCTCATCCAGACGAGATCGACCGTGGACCGTGGACTAGTACTCATTCGTATCTTGCCTCATGCGTCGACCGCGAGGTCCGGGGCGTGGTTCTCGAGAACGAGGGTAAGTCGGCACCGCACCGACTGCATCTAGACCCGGACGAGATTCAGTCCTCTCGCCATCACCACTTGAATGCAGTCCCTGGCGATCAGAGTGATGAGAGTGATGAATGGGACGCGCAGGAGAGTGAGGAGGAATGGGATGGCCCTGGTGACGTCATGTACAGGGATTACAGGCGCATGCAGAGAAGCACGTTCCTAGTTGCGCATATCATGCGACGGGAGGAATCTGTACGAAAAGAGATGGGTCGCTGGATGCGCATGATGGAGAGACTTGGGGCGAATCATTCTGGGGAGACGGAAGAGTTCGGCCTGGACTGCCACGACATAAGCCTTGAGAACGTGTTTGTCGACGAAAACAACCACACAGAAATAGTAAGCTTTTTTGCTCGTATATGTTTTCCGTTCTGATGAGTGATCCTAATCAGACATGTGTTATTGACTGGGAGTCTACGACAACCCGGCCGCTCTGGGCATGCGCGCATCTCCCAACCTTCCTGCAATCCAGTCCGTTCACGACTCGTATGTTCCGAGAGGCGGTCGAGAACTTGGCTCTCGATCGAGCCTTTCAGCCAGTGCAGCCGGGGAAGAACAATATTAAACCTGTGAACGTAGTGGCAGCTGCGAAAGAGTGGTTGCATTATGAAGCCATCGGTGCACGGCTGCGCATGGCTCACAGGTGCGCCGAATGGGACGGGTGGGAAGAGGGCCTCGTCGACAGTATCCTTGGGCCCGAAGACACTGAGGACGAATGGTTCAAGGACGCCGAGTGTACTGCAGATGCGCTGTCCGCTTCAGGCGTGCCTGTGTACGCGGAAAGCGAGGCTAGCAGCTCCGGGGCTAATTCCGGTGCCTTGAAGGCTGCATCCTTCAAGCTGAGAAAGAAGGCTGGGCACATACCCTTGAAGAAGGAGCGGGAGAAGGAGCAGATGCTGAATATCACTGGGGATATTTGCGGTGGGCGGGGCGGGGAGCTCGGGCGCAGGCTTGAGGCCTGGCTGAGTGTCAATGGGGACAAAAGTCGGAGGGGTCGGGATGAGGAGTATGATGCGGAGGCGGAGTGAATACTTTGTGTTTTGGACTGTTTCTTTGATATGTAGACGAGATCTCGGTGAGTGAGTTACGCTATGCTACGCTGCCTGGACATAATACTGTACGATATACACACCTTTATGCACCGTCGCATGCACTTGCATTTGTCACGGACATTTTGTTTTACCTTCAACAGGGGGCTTTCTTATGCTCTTTGTCGATTGTGCACGTGCAACATTTGATGGAATTTATTATGTGTCTATGCCAAGCTTTCCGTACGTAAGTTTTCTTTCTCTCGACTTTTTGAGGATCACCTCAGAGTCTGAGACCATCAGTGAATCGGTGAGTTCTATGAGAGAGGGGAGATATTTGCTCCTATAACTCAATCGTACAAAATACGCACCTTCCAATTGCCTTGCGACAGCGGGACAGTCAAAACTTGAACTGAAGTTTTGACCATCACGCTGTCGCAAGGAGTTCATTCAAGCCAATTCAAGCAACTTCAGTGGCGCGACGTTCAATTTTCGTTCGAGCTACCAAACCCTATCTACCTGGAGCAGAAACTGAATCGAACTGATCTCTACTATGCTTCCCACTATCGTATATCCTTCGGATGACATCTTCAGCAATGTCGCCCGTCTTGACGACTTTGCATTTGGTGTTTGTAACCTATCATGGCCTAAGGCTTACGCTGATGAAATTTAACCTTCAAGCTCACTGAATGCAGGGACGTTCTGGAATTTCTGATGGAGAAGAATCCCGAGAAAGAGTATGCGGTATGTTATTTACGAATTGATGGGCAGAGCGCGGGTACTCATTCGAGCATCATAATAGGAATTTTCTGATATTGAATATGGGGTGTATGCACTGGTATTCGACATTGTCGCCGACAATATTGTTTATGCATTGCCAGGGATACCAAGGCAAGATGAATTGATCCCTTGAGGTCATGACTGATACAAAATTCTAACAGATTGACTCACAACCATGACGATGGCATTTTCCTTGTCAAACGCGCAGCCCCATACACGTCGCACGAAGCCCCATTCGATCACCTTGGTTCAGGATTTCGTTACTTTTTGCTTGACTTCAAACACGATGACAATCCTGTGTATATCACGGTATCCATGAACTACGGGCTGAGGTCCGCAACTGTGTCTGCAGTTCCAGACATGATCATCCATGTTCAAAAAGGCGTGATTATCGGAGGCAAATCCCTATGCATCGGCGAATGCGCCTTCTCCCAGGATACAGATCCGGTTCTTTTGAAACTGAAATATGAAGTTGCCGCCCATCCAGAAGTCGTGATGGTCATAATGGTTGTTATTGATGAGCATCATCCTTATCACTCACCTGAACGTGGGTCTGAAGCATGACATATGCTACGCCATGAGACATCACATCGTTCTTACTCTTCCTTCTCGCTTGGAAACGCTGCAGCGCTATCTCTCGGTCGACCTGTAGTAACCGTGGGCCATACGTGGTGTCACATCGCCTCCGTTCGATTTCACGTTTGGGTCCGGGGGGATGAACCGATTAACGTTGATGGCAATGAACTGCTGACACATAGTGTAAGTATTTGCAGCACTAGTCAGGGTCGTCTCACTGATGCTGTTTGCAGGCATTATTTCCAAATCAAGACATGGATGCGGTCGACGCCACGATCAAGAAGGTCGCTGATGGGGCAGAAGCTGAGTTGACCATCCCTTTTGTCATTTGAATATTCATGTGCAATGCTAAGCCCATGTCACCTTTTGCTCACCATTAACGTTGACATACTACTGCCATTTGAGCCTCGTTCCTCGTTTCTATGCTGCTAACTGATAAATTAACTCCACCGGCCTTGACGGACATAACTCGAGCCCCGTACTCGAGCCTGCAATCTAAGTCCTTAGTTCATTCCATGGGCACTGCCCTTACGAAACAAGACTGCGAACAGAAGAAGACGAGAGGGTGCAACTGCAGCATGGTGATTCGATTATCTCACATTCGGTTGAATCAATCAACGAGATTTGTATTGCATGTATGCTGTACAGAGTACAAAAGGAATGCAGTCAACGAAGCGGAGGCTAACATATATATGGCGCAAGGACTGTTACTTCGTAGCAATCATCCCGGGACCATCCGCCGCATCATCCAAGTGGTTTCAAATCATAACAATTATCTTCATCCACAAAATCTTACAGCTCATCACCTGGCAAATACTGGCACTAGAATGCCATACTCAACACCGTGCTTGGGCTGAACAGCGTAAACTTCGAGTTCCCCAGATGGACCTTGACCACCGAAAACATATATCCTTTCAGTGGTGAGTCGCTTCGTTCGCGAATCTCGTCAGCGATCTCTGGCCATATGGGGTCCTTGCCAGGGAACTGCTCAAGTCTGTGCAGGGGAAGTACGTGGATCTCCGTCGGAAACACAGTCATGTCGAGCATGAGTACAAGTTTGTTACTGAATGCAGGGAACTGTTGCCGTGCTTTGCGAACGCGTGCTTCCACGTCTTTGCCCCTTTCTGAAATTGTACTGGTTTCAAAGCCTCCAGTGATTTGGAGGCTCTTGCGGATATCGCGTGAGCCCCACGGCCCTGATGATGATTAGATCGTGAAGCATGAGATGAAGACGGAGAGACTCACCGACGGTGCACCTCAGAACTTGACACCACTTCTTGTGTCCACTGCGCCAAGCAGCCCTTTGGCATTTCTCCGAACAATAAAGGGATATTAAGCAGCCTGAGCACCGACGCATTTTGCCGACAAACTCAGATGCGTGCATCTGACACTGGCACCCGTATCAGCATGCGCATGATGAAACCACTAGAGATGACGAGCGTACTCCTGGACCACTGCACCTGCATTCGTGGAAATTCATAGGCTTGACAGCGCGATGTTCCATGGCATGGGTCGTAGCCGTCAGGACAATTTGGAGGACACCCCCCAACCCTTTGTCGCGTACCTCTCGTTTGTCTACTGGCATAGGAGAATTTTTTATGCGATACCAGTGTTGGGAAATAGAATCGACGACTCTGTGATATATGAAAAATGTGGGAAGAAGGAGGAGTAACTCCATGTCACCCATGCGGCCACGGGGCAGGCGATTGCGATGGTTAGAGTGAGAGGCACAAGTAGCCCCTTTCCTCATAGTTTCAAGGATGCCAGCATCTATTGCCTGGCATATGCCTGTTACCCCGTCGTCTGCATCACGAATAGCAGATGCAATGTACAAGTACCCCATCCATATGACTTCCTGTCTGGTCCCTAGTCCCATCTCTGGATCAAGATCCATTTCATTGTTTGCTTGCACCAAGATCTTCGGCAAGATCTGAGTGATCGCGTCCAACACTACGCGAATGGAACCTTGACGGATAAGTTGTGAGCGGCATGAAGGGTCTTGGCGACTGATGGTCTGGAGGAAGTCGAAGGTATAACTGAGACCGATAGTGAAGAGATAGAGTTGTTGTACGTTCTGGTCCTGTGGTGTCCACGATCGAGGTTCTTCTACCTTAGCGGCATCTCTGGTAATCCGACGGATATATCTGAGAATGGTGAAGACAACGGGCTTCACCCCACCGGCAGCATGTATAAAATTCGATAACGGAAGTGTGAGTTTGTCTGAATCTTCAGATTCAGATACGCAAACATAGTTTGTTAGCGCAAAAGACGCCCGATACATAGAAACAAGGTTGTCCTTTGTAATTCTAGGATCGCCTTCGAGCACATCTCCCTTGAGGTTTCCAACCAATATCCACAGCTGTGCGACAAAGTGTTGGACAGATGCGGAAGACCGGAGCATGTGACGCACCTCCTCCGAGTTGTGGCAGATGAATGTGAGCGGGTGAATGCACAATTTTGCAGCATCAAACATGTCGCAAAGATCAGGACGCGGAGGAGCGAGCGAGACATCATAAGGAGGAGGGAGACAGTTTCGAGCGAAGAACCGCATCCATGGGAATATTTGATCCCACCTCCTCACAATATACTTTGTCTCAAGGTCGTCCATACCATTAGAAATTAAGGGGGCGATCGTGCAAAACTCCACCAGGCCCATAAGGGCCCATTTCGCACGCATGATGGCAGGAGTAGTGTTGGAGTTGATGTAGTTTGGTACTTGAACTGATTCAAGCGTCGCGTGAAAGATGGGCACCAAGCAAACAGCACGAGAAGCAGTTTTGACCGAGATCACATCGAGCAGCCTTTCTAGATCTTTAACGGATCCCTGCAGGGCCCTTTTTGCTATGATCTGGAACGCGAGTTAGTGATGGTGTCAATTCTTTATGATAAGGAACCGAACCTGCACCGCAGCCGGCAGGGACCTCAGTGCTTGTGATTCGTCTGGACTGAGCCGCAAGCTTGATCCCACCGCAGGGACTGGCATGAGGGGTACTTATAGGCTCTGTGTATAGTGTGGTGGGCTTCAGCGGGGGATAGGTGGAAAATGGTTGATGATTACATAGTATTTTAATCATTAAGTATGCCGTGGTCAACACCCCAATCACAAAGCCTCGTGTCTGATTCCTGAATTTCAATTGAGTCTTTTATACCTTTTTGTTTTGAGTAACTCAAGGATCCTGCAGCGTGTAGATGGCTTGATATAATGGCGAATTGCGATCGAGAGTGATGTGAATTGGGTGTGATGTAGTAATTCGAGAAGCGCCGACCGCTTGCAAGGTGATGCCATCGCATGTATTACTTTCTAAAATCTTTGCTTGCGCCTCCCATTGCATGATTGCATCTCTCACTTTGAAACCTCTTCAGGCGTCTCCCAATGATCACACACATACCCATGGAAGCACAACCGAAAGTCCCATCACAAATAGAAATGAAACCACGGGTCTCCCAATGCCAACTGCTTCGCGAGGCGGGAAGGAAAATGAGATATAAAGTGGCGATGAAATGAGGGTGCGATGGGTTGGAAGAGACAAGGTAAGGTGACTATTTACTCTTATTCACCAGCTACAAGCCCAAGTCCATCATCTCACGCAGCTCATTGACAGTCCTACATCACCGTCCCCATACCTGCATCCTCACAGCCCCGATCTCTCGTACAATGGCCTCCCCCAAAAATTCAGTCACAATCCACCCGCACACGTTCAACCAATGAGCACTCCTCGAATCACCCGTGGCTACCACACATACCCTGGATTTTGAGGTGCAGGAATGTCTCCTTTGCTTTTCTCTGGTATCAGTATGACCACGAGCCCAGGAAGCAGCTGCAGCGTGGAACTGCGAGCGGGGGAAAAGTCCAATATACTCTTGATACATCTTCGGCAGGATCATCACCATCGCGTAGAAGGTGACGGCGGCGCGGTTCGGATTCTTCGTCAGTTCAGGAGAATATCTTTAGCATCAGTGAATCAGAAGAAAACCACTGAGAGAACTCGCAGCAGAATAGTATATTTACCAACGTCATTTATGTCCAGTCGAGGGAATCTTCATTCGGATGGACACAGAGTACTAAGTATGTTGAGCACGACTCGTTAGATATAGATCAGACGCTTCTAAAAGCGGAGGCAGTTATGGGATAAGGACAGAACTTCAAGCTTCAAAGTACCATGACTTGCGACTTTCCGAGACTCTCCGCATACGGTGGTCAACGTTCCACAATTGTCTGCATGGCACAGACGTTCGCAAGCATGGAAACCACAGTTAGGATACAGATTCGGTTCTTTGGAAACTGAAACATGAAGTTACCACTCGTCTAGAAGTACTGATGGCCATCATGGTTATTATTGATGAACATCATCCTCATCGCTCGCCTGAACGTGAGTCCGAAGCATGGCAGATGCTATGCCATGAGACATCAGTTCGTTCATACTCTTCTTTCTTTTCGCTTGAAGACGATCATGATGCAGAGCCATCTCTCGATCGACCTATAGTGATCGCGGGTCATACGTGGTACCACATCGCCTCTGTTCGATTTCACGTTTGGGTCCGGGGGGATGAACCGATTAATGTTGATGTCGATGACAATGAGCTGCTAGCACGTGATGTAAGTAAACATCGTTTTCAGTCCCCATTGGGACCATCTGTTGATCAAACTGATAGGTGCGGCTTGGGAGATCTCCCATCACCGGTACCAATTATGGTATCAGTTGTCCCCGAGAGGCACCCATACCCTCGATAATAAGAATAAGTGACTTTACGGTCACACTGACGCTACAGCTCGAGATCAACTATTGTCAAATATTCGTTATTGGCACTCCCATGCACAGCGCGGAGGCAAGTCTTCACAGTATAGTGCCTCACGTGTCAATCAGGACAGTGGCCGATCACGTAGAGGCAAGATGACCTACTACCTACAGACGCAGTGACACCAATATTTCATAGACATGTGCATAGTAGGCTTATTATTTCTGTATAGAGGCAACCATCCCACACGGCGGATGTCAATATTGCGCAGGTAATAGTAGAACAATAGTGAAACATTTGCACGAAAAATTGCTGTTGTATTGAAAGCGCTGCATGCCTGGAGATCATGCAGATTGAAGTGTCCAGCCATACTTTGTAACGGATTTTGTGATTGGAACTTTTCGTGAATTTCCCCTCTTTGAAGCATTTGCCACGAGGCTTCATCACGTCTCCCTCACTCGCCAAGTTTACACATAGCCTGGAAGCAGATCTCCAATTCATGTGTTGGTCTTCATAGCAAGAGTTTGAGGGCGATGATTTTCCAAGTCCTCCTTCTCTTGATCAACTACTAAATTTATATTATTGTCTAGGATAGGGCATCGCCCCAACGGACAATACACAAAATTACCACCTCCCGCCACCGCCAGTATGCACTAAGCTGATTCAGCCACACCGACCCTACACATCATTCTCCCAATCATCAGGTACTGCCTCCGGCTCTGGCTCTACGCCTTTGTCCTGACCAGCAGCCTCCCTCGCACGCTGCACTGCAGACGACACCCACGCTCCACCACTCGGCTTCAAGCTCAAAATAACAGCACCAACTTGAGTTTCTCCCGAGCTCGAGGACGCACCAGGTGCAGGCGAAGAACTCCCAGACCCAGGGCGAGTAACGACTGCCGTCCACCTCCGATGGCGGGTGACATCCTTTCTCGCAGATGTGTATTCCGTGTGCAAAAGGTCTGTGAGAGGTAACGTCAGCATACAGAGGCGTCACAATAGGATGATTTTCGGTTGCGGGTGTATCATGCAACGGATGAAGGATATGCGCACATGACCTTCCTTGGCTGCATGAGATAGAGTACAAAGAAGGGGGAAAGTTCTGGATATGTGCGCCGCGTCATGCACAACCGTCCCTCCAATGGAACGCAATAGTATTGAGATGAATAAATACTTGCTTACCACACACACCACCGCACGACGCTTCCAGCCTACCTCTCCCTCGACGGTGCATACCATCGCTCAATTTTTCCTATCCGCGCACGATACTTCCATCTCCCCTTTCCTACAATAACAAGAGACGACCTCAGCCACGCCACAGAGCTTGCGATCACCCAGATGGAAAACCTGAGCGTGTGTATGCCGGGGATTCCCACACGACAAGGGTTTCCTGCAAGTGAGGCCACAGGAGACGCCAGAGGTTGAATTCGGAGATGCCAAAGAACAAAGGATGTTTGAGACTTGACATCCACACCAGCAGCCCTTGTGGACGGTTACGGCGCATGGTAGACAGGGACCAGGTGGCATGGAAGAGGACAACCGTGACCACAAGCGGAAGCACGTTCGCGAGAGCAGGGATACGCACAACTGTGGGCGGTGACGAGGCGATAGGTGTTGGATTTGTGATGCGATGACAGAAGCACCTGATGATGAGAATGTAAGTACATGATGCACAGACAGATCAACAGCACTTGCAAATAGCTGGATGGTACGCGTTCACGTTTGGCCTGACAACCAGGGCATCTCCATTCTCCGGTACGTTCATCTCCACGAGTGCGTCTTCGACATCCTTGACGCTTTTGCCTGCCCAAGCTCGAATGCACTTGAGGTGAAATGTAGTCCAGCAACACTGGAGATTTTTAAGGGATCAGAGGAAGAGCATAACCTAGTAGGCTGTTCTGGATGGGCAGTCAGGATAAGAATAGGTGCTGAGGGCATAAGCGAGAGTCAAAGTGAGGTCATCGGGAGGTGCTTTGGGTCCTGGAGGCTTGGTGTAACGTTTGTGACTCGTTACAGGAAGTAGAGTTGACTTTGTTAACGTAACTTAGGATTCGAACAGATAGAACTGGCCGAACTAAACGTGTTATTTTGTGGGGATGGGACAGGATCAACAACTTCTCCAGTACGTAGGGTGCCAGATTTAAATACGTACGGGAGATTTCGGAAAAGGAAGGAATACGAACTAAGGAGAAAGAGAAAAGTACTGAGTGCCTGGAGCCAATATTGGTAGTAAGTGCACATATTAGCTCCATCTAGCTTTTACGATCGTTACACTTGGCAGTGAGGAAGCTTGCGGTGGGATGACTGGCTAAGTGACACGTTATTATAAATTTGGAACGCCGGTACTACATACTACGCCTACATTGAGGCGGAGCAGTTTCGGCGACGTTGGGTTGATCTGTAGCGGTCATTCGCTGGGGGTGTCTTGAAAGACGACTTTTCCTCGTTGAAGGAGGTCCGACCTCCTTCAGCGAGGAGAAGGAGTCCATCACGGTTTACCCGAGATACCCGTTCCATCTTGAGCTTCCCTGCTCGTGATCACCAGATGTATGTACATACTGACAAGATTCTAGCAGTGTTCAACATGCATGTAGCGAGGAGTAGTGCAACTGATATGTATAGGCGAATACCGTCGAACACTAACAAGAAGGATCGAATCACCTTCAAATGTCCCCAAAGTATACAAAATCGAGTTTGCGGTTGTACAGGGAGTACTTAGTCACGTAACACTATGTTACATTCAAGCAGATCGTCTGAGTCTTCTTCCGCTCATGATCTTCTTTGTGAGGCCGAAATGAGTTCTAGGGGAATCGAGAGACTCGATCGAGGAGGGAAGTTGTTTGAGAGAGTAGACAGTAGCGAGAAGACTAGAGATCAGACTGGTGATGCAAACAGAGACTTTGGCTTTGACGGAATGTTCGGACGGCTGACGAGAGTGCGGCATCACTAAGAGGGAATCAATTGACTGACTAATGAAATACATGCGGATTTATATATGGCGAGAGAACGGACAAAGGGCTGTCAAAGCGCGAGTGGCGTCGTCGAAGCGTAAGTACAAAGAATGAAGGGGACTTGTGATGATAGATAAAGACAAAGGCTAATAGCGTGAATATGTGAAATGATGGAAGTATGGACAGAAAGGGAAATAAAAGGAGAAGGCAGTGCGTGATATGTCACGGTCGTTGAAGTGTTGATTGAAGCGAGCTTTCATCGTCAAAGGTGTAGCCTTTCTTACATCTTCTTCGTCGTCCTCACCACTGTCCTCTTCGATCCCGGAGGTGTCGCCGTATCATGCTACACGCAATCAGCACAAAGATAAACTATGCTGTAGCTTGACACACGCACCATTTGACAGAGCACTCACAGGGTTGGTGCTAACGCACTTCCCGGAGCGGAACATCGTCATGGCACCATCGGCGCTGAGTACGTGACTCCGAGGAGGACGAGACCACGCCTGAAAGCGGCGCCGTCGCACCATCAGCGTCGAGTAAGCAACTCAAAATATGAGATTATGCACCATCTGACAGGGTGACATCGCCATGGAACCATCAACATCAGATAAGTTGCTCAAAAGACGAGAGCCTTCACGCACATGGCTATCACATTGAGGAGGGCTCGGGAATAAGCGAGCATCTGGCTCCTCGGGCATAGCAGCGTATGATGAGACACGACGCAGAGTCAGATTATGCTTCTTAACGATGTGCCTTGGGGATGTATGTGTGACGGTATAAGGCAGACCAGGCTTGATCAAAGGAAATGGACTTTTCTTTGGTCTCTGTGTATTTGAATGTGCTGAAGAACCCCCTTGGTGACCCTACATCCATGTGGGATGAGGTGACTGCTGGACGCTGGCGACGATGCATCACGGTTAAAGGCACAAAGTCCTTCATCAAAAATTGATGGTGCGAGGGAGCTCAAGCTGTTCGATAACATAGCACTCGAGGCGGATCCGCAGGAAGAGAAATAATCGGATTGGGACAACGCGGGCTGGATTGGCGGGGTAAGTGGGGACATTGCAGGGCGCCGTCAACGTCAGGGAAGAAACTCGAAAGGCGCTAGCAGCGCAAAAGAGGAGAACACGCACATCCTGAAAGCAGACAGTGGCACCGTCAGTATCGTGTAATCAGCTCACAATACGAGAGCACGCACGGGCTGAGAGCGGGACATGGCCGTGGTACCATCAGCGTTGCTTCAACAACGCATAAGACGAGATCACGTACAAGCTGAGAGCAGAAAATCGCCATTGAACCATCAGCATCAGGTAAGCAGATCATAAGCCGAGGTCACGCACAGACTGAGAGCGCGAAATCGCGGTGGATGGTGGGACCATCAGCATCGAGTCAGGAGCTCATAAAACGAGATTACACACTATCTGTGAGAGCGGAACGTCGCCATGACACGATCAACGTCAGTTAAACAGATCAAAAGACGAGATCACGCACTTCCTGAGAGCGGGACATCGCCGTGACACTATCAGCATGGTAAACAGCTTAAAAGATGTGATCACACACAGGCTGAGAGCGGGACATGGCCGTGGTACTATCAGTGTTGCGTCAACAGCTCATAAGACGAGATTACGCACTGGCTGAGAGCGGGACATTGCCATGGCACCATCAGCGTCGTGTGAGCAGCTCATCAGACAAAATCACGCACAGACTGAGAGCGGAACATCACCGTGGCACATCAGCATCGTGCAAGCAGTCCAGAAGATAAAATCACGCACCGGCTGAGAGAGCAGGACATCGCCGTGGTACCGTCAGCGTCATGCAAGCAGCTCAGAAGATGAAATTACGGACCAACTGGAAGCGGGACATCGCCCGTAGCATTATAAATCTCATATAATCAGGTCAAAAGAGGATATCACAAACTGGCTGAAAGCGGGACATCGCCGTGGCACCATCAGCATCGGTTTACCAGCTCAAAACACGAGATCACGCACGGACTGAGAGCAAGACATGGTCGTGACATCATCAGCGTCGGGTAAGCAGCTCAAATGACGGATCCACCCACTTCCTGAGAGCGGGACATCGCCATATCACCATCAGCGTGGTAAGCAACTCAAAAGACGAGATTACACACAGGCTGGGAGCGGGACGTCGCCGTGGTACATCAGCATCGGGTTACCAGCTCAAAACATGAGATCACGCACATCCTAAGAGCGGGACATCGTCGTGGCACCATCAGCGTCGGGTAAGCAGCTCAAATCACGACATCACGCACATACTGAGAGCCGGATATGTCCGTGGCACTATCAGCATCGGTTAAGCAACTCAAAAGACGAGATCACGCACTATCTGAGAGCGGGACATGGTCGTTGCACGATCAGTGTCGGGTAAGCAGCTCAGAAAACGAGATCACGCACAAACTGAGAGCGTGACATAGCCGTGGCACTGTCAGCGTTGGGCAAGCAGCTAAAGGACGAGATCACGCACAAACTAGGACCCAGATATTACCGTGGACGGTGGCACCGTCAGTGTGGGATAAGCAGCTCAAAAGACGAGGCCACGCACTTTCTTAGAGAGGATCTTTGCCTTGGCACTATTAAGCATCGGATAAGTAGCCCACAAAACAAGGCCACGCACTTCCTGAGAGCGGGACATAGTTGAGTAATCAGCTTAAGATTGCTAGCGAAGTTTCGTGATAACGTACAGTTTGCTGGACGTGAAAGTTGCGAATGAGGTGCATTTCAGCTTCAGTCGTGCTATTTGAGTCGATGTTAGAGGATCCAGTGCTTTCCTCCGAACTCAAATATCGATGAGAGATCTGAAACCGTCGTTTGCACTCTCGGCTTCCAGTTGTTAGACACAGTAAACTCCCATACATAAACGTACCAACCAATCAATCGAGCAACCAACCTGCCTTCCAAGCGAATAGTTGACAGATCCGCTGGGAAGATGATTCCTCGCGCCACAGAAATGACATGTGTAGTAGACTTCAGAGGATGTCTTCTTATGTTCGATGATAACCCTCATGACAATCTTCGTACCCTCTTCAATGCTTGACCATCTATGGTTTGTCAGTTGGGTCACTCGCGTGCCCTCGTCAATGCACAAGTCATATTGCCCGTTTTCAATATACTGTCTCTGCACCCGAGCTTCAATCGAGTCGCGTTTGAACAAAACTTGCAACATCTCATTCAGTTGCTAAAGAGAATTTGGTGAATAACTTTCCCTACGACGGATTTAGGTGGCGAGGCGGACCTGGAATGAGGTGCAAAAGTTCACTGATATCGGATGTTCGTGGCCTGTTGCGTCTATCAGTGTGACAGTTCCAGTTAATTGTGTCGCAGTCGGTCCCACGCGGATCGTCAGTCGCTGTATTTCCATCAGTAGCTTCTGGTTCTCCTCATGGTGCCTCTGATTCTCCTCATGGTGCCTCTGTTGACTTGCCAACACTTCGCGCATGTCATGTTGACTTTGCATTTGAGACGACAACTATCAAAACGGGGTAATGAGTAAACGCAAAAAAAATCTTTAGAGTATGACACAACCGAATACTCCGCCAGATAACGATCGATTTGACTGGAGCATCCAGCGATGGCTTGTGTGACGGATGTGTATGCGAGAACACGTCTGTGTAACTTCGTCAGCTGGGCCGAAGTTTCCTGCAGCATGCTAAATGCGACCCGATGTCAGGTGAATTCGATCACTCATCGACAAGGCAAATACCTAACTAAGGAATCCCTCCGGGATTGTTCAAGAGGATCCTGAACAGGTGGGGCATTGCACAAATGGCTGCTTAGTCGATGGAGTCGCAATTCCAGGCCATCTAGGTCCGCCCTATTCTGACCACGTCTCTGTGATGACCTTTCAAATCAAGAATCGCCCTCGTAATCCATTAAGTTCTCACATCTACAGCTTGAAGGATTTCCAACAATCCACCAATAGCCACTTTCATCGGAGGACCGACAAGTGGAATAACACCTACAGCAGTCTGTACCAAGGGCAAAGCTAGCTGAGCCAAGTCGGAAGCTTCGCGGGCAAGCGATACACCCAGTCCCTGTGAGTATCTGGTGGAAGAAACATTAATGGAGACTTTGAGACCAGATTCTTGCTCGCAGAGACAGGGTACACGAACGATATATTCGAATGGAGAGTTGGTGAAGGAAAGGAACCATGGATGTCTGCAGGGATGGAGCTATCGCCATCATGCTCGATAGCTGTCGAGTGTTTGTTCTTTGTGGAGCGCCTCGAACGAACTGCGAAGACCTTGCCCATGTCCTTGAGCGACAGAACAATGTGCATTTTGCTCAGATGGCAAGGTCAGACGCTAGGTGAGAGGGAGTATAAGTGGGAGAGCAAAGAAGCTTGAAATTAAGCCGGTTGAGTACTTAACTGGTAGTTATGCACAACACAGCCTGCCGAAGCCTCATCTTAGACGAGGCTTCTAGTGTACAGTAAATTTGGTCTCAGGCCAAATTAACACTGCTAATTTGCAGGGGCAAGTTTTACTGCGAACCCATTATGAGGGCTGCTCAATTCGGGCTCACTCTCGTTATCTGAGTTCACTTGTCAAAAATGAACGTTTTAAAAGGTCCGCAGCACTGCCGAGGATTTGCCGACACAGCAGCCACAGCAGCACTAGCATGATGGAGGACCTGAAAGTGAGTTGCGAGTGAATTTGAAGATTGTATGGTCCACTGTGGGTAGTACACTCGCGGAAATTCAGTGAATGGCATCACTGGATTCCCGTAGCGGATGCCTACTTGAATTTAGTGTGTCGTTCACTCAATCTAGTGATTTCTATATCACTGAAAGGACCAACTTGACATTAGGGTACTGCACGGGTACGGGTAACCCGCGTGGGTACCGGGTATGGGTACCCCCCGGGTACAGGTACGGGTACGGGCACGGGCACGATGTTGTGGTACTACCTGTACCCCTACCCGTGCGGCAGTGCCCGTGTGCCGGGTTTTGGTTAAAATAAGGTGCCACGCGATCGACTACGTTTTGTTTGCATTTGTTATATTCTAAAAGATCGCTTAGCACCGCTTCTACATCTGCAAAACCAATGAAATGAATAGTGGGACTCAAAGTACATTTCTAAACTCGCTAAGAAATCGCTAAGACACTGTAGATAGTAGTTCCAATGAAAATCACTGGAAAATGCACTGGTGCTGAATGTTTCAGAGTAACTTCCACTGAAACTGCATGCAGTTAATTTCATTGGAGTGCTGATTCTGAATTTTAGCTTACCACCCTTGATTCAGCACCATCCTTTCAGTAGAAAATTTACTGAATCAGATTCAGCTCTGTATGGGTCGGGGCTTGTGTTCTAACCAGTACCCCATGCCTTCCTATAATGGTAATTTATTTGGTGTTCAGTTGCAAAGCACCATTACAGCCATTTGCAGAATGCTAGGCCAAAAAAATTCACTACATACACAGGGGTATTTCAACTTCTATTCTCCAATCAGATATCAATACGACTTCTGAAGATATCGCAATGACCGCTTACTAATCCCAGTGTAACAATGAATTGTTGGGTCTTTGACATTTAGCAAGCTCATTTGTAGAGCAACTTGTTTTCATTCCTTGGACATGTATCATCCCATCCAAGTTGTAGATCAAGATTGTCTGTCGGAAGGTAAAATTTTGTTGTCCCAACTTATTGCTGAATATATGTAGTGAATATTTTTTGGCCTAGCGTTCTGCAAATGGCTGTAACACTTCTTTGTAGTATGGTATGTATGTGGCTTACAAGACTAATCACTTCTCAGTTGATCTGAAATAAAGTAGTTTATCATTAATGCAATTACAATTATATCAAGCTACTGTACTTGGAATTTATGTGGTAGTAAATAGAACAGTAGCTAGTGTTGTAGTGATAATTGAATGGACTGATTCAATCACTTGGGTGGAATTTTTCGCATTTTTGTCATGTGACATTGTTTTGGTATATATTGCTATTGTGAAGTTATACATATGGTCTTGTGGCTGAGTGGTAATGTGTTAGGTACTGTGCCTGGCTCAAGAGGCAGAGGGGTCAGGGCTTGGCTTCAGCTCTTGCGCTGTGCCCTTAGCTGAGTATGTGCCCCGAATTTGGAGCGGGTCCAACGTTGTCCGACGGTAGGATGAGTGGACCACTTGGGTCCGCTTTGAGGGTCGGGGAGTAAGAGCTGCTAGCGGCGGACCGACTAGGAGCGGAGCGGAGAAGGCAGGGAATGATGCGGAGGGTGGATAGGAACCAGGGAGATATTTTGATAGGAGCGGAGATGGCGGAGGATAATGCAGAGGATAGGAAAAGGGGTGATAGGAGGATATTGATAGGGGCGGGGTAATAAGGGAAAGACTTAGAGCACGGCTCTAAGTTGGAGCGGAGGGTCGGAGGGTTGGAGGTGACAACAAGTTGAGACTTGTGTCCAGAGGAGGCAAGGTCCTACTGAGAATTCTCACAAGATGTAACTGCAAGAAGACAAGTAATATTAAGACTAAGGAAAAATATCTAAGTACAGGATATGTTATATACTTTTATGTGTGAGGCAGTGATGAGGATAACTATGTAGTAAAGCTATGTACCAAGGATATAGTTTGTAAGTACTTTACATAGGTGAAGACATAAGTCGGAGCAGGATATCAATATGTATGCGTCAGATCAGCGATCGGGCGGTAATAGGAATTACCAGTGATCTGGAAGTGAGGGTCTATGTACCGAAAAGGAAAGCATATACCTAAAAGGGGAAAGAGGTCCAGTTGAATGGAGAGATTATGGAAGGGGACCGGTTGAGCAGTTGAGTGGAACATAGGGCGGAATGTGGACTTGTGATTGGGCGGAGCAGAGGATGAATGGAGCGGAGGGGGTTGGAAAGCAGAGCGGATATTGATATGGGAGCGGTCGGATCAGGTATATGACATAATGATGCTGCACTTATGATTGTGTGATGTCTGAGGTCCTGGGTTCAATTCCTGCCCATTGCCAATTATAATAAATGAAATTGATCATGTGATGTGACATGTGCCATAGCATGGGAAGATTTCTTTTGGCATGATTCCAGCACAACTTCAGCATATTTTCAGAGTATGCTTTCAGAGTATGAATTCAGAGTAAAAAACGGCAATATCAGCACCTCTATTTCAGCTCTTAATACTCTTAGTTTCACCAAATTATCTTCTGATTTCATCTAGTGAGTTTCATTGAAACTACTACCCACAGTGAGACTTGGTAAGAACTCAGGTAAAATCTGGGTTGAGTAGAAAAAAACTTGGCCATAGACATGCGGCACAGATCGGAACTTTGAAACCATACTTGTGTATTTGCGAGAGATATTCAGCAATGGTGTGTACTTAGTGCGTATGATAAAGGACGTAGAAATAGAGTAGCTAGTCTGTCTGCCTCCACCTGCCCAAATAACAAAGTTCCAGAAGGGTATATGTACTGTGTAAGGAGGGAGAACAAAGGAGTTTGTGTTGATGGGAGGGGGGGATGGGGAAGGTGTGTACTGCCGCTTATGATAACACAACGCCAGGAGGAGTTAAACTCCAGCCCGTTGTTGTTGTTGTACATGTTAAAGTCCCCATCTAAGGTAAGTAGCACGTTGCCAAGGGGGCCAAAGAAAGGCCCGTCATCATCATTGGCTGTGGTGTGGGGGTCAGCACTGAGGTCACCATCCAGATCAGTGATCAGACTGCCCCGAGTGCCAGTGTAATGAGGAGGGGGGGTACAAAGTGCTTGCAAGATCGGACTGCCCCCAGCACCAGTGTAATGAGGGGGGGTAGATCAAGCTGAGCGCTAGCAGCATGTGGGCTTGGGAGTGGGAGCTGAGAGTTTGGGGGAGGGAGCCGAGGGTCTGGGGGAGGGAGCCATCTGGATTGTTGATCGAACTGCCCCCAGTGCCGGTGTAATGAGGAGGGGGGGTGCTGTGAAGGGAGGGGTACAAAGTGCTTGCAGGATTGGGCTGAGCGCTGGCAGCATGTGGGCTTGGGAGAGGGAGCTGAGGGTCTAGGGGAGCGAGCCGAGCGTCAGGAGTGTTTTGGTCAGTAAAGGGACCAGCCCCCCCCATGTGGACGAGCAAGTGAGTAGAAATCTCCAGCAACTCCCGGTTGGGAGGTGAAGACTTTGGCGCCACATATTGGATTAGAGAACAGGAAGGGGGAGCGCCAGGAGCAGTTTGGTGAGTGGAATGTGATGACATTCATGGGATGGGATGGGATGGTTGCTTGCTGTCATCCACAACGAGACTTAGCACGCTGACCACGGTCAAATTTGAAACTCCGATTAAAACTCAGCTGTTCAGCCACACATCCCTCACCAGAGATCAGTGTTATTAAGGATTGGATTGGGGGGCTTGTTGAGCAAGAATATTTGAGATGGGGGTGGATCACCAAGGAAGACTACCTCTCCCTTGCTGATAGGTAGCTCAGATATTTCAGTGGAGTTTCACTGTCATCTATGATGAGTGTGGTCAAAATTGAAACTCAGATTATCAGTTGCACATCAGTCAGGGGGTGATAAGGGGACACATCCCTCAATCTTGAGCTCTCATCATGCCTCACAAATCCAGCTGCAAAGATCTCCTTCATGCAGTTGATAAAGCTGCATTGTCATTAGCCTAACTCCAATATCAGCAGGCATTGGAAGCTCAGGAGTCAAGCTCTGATTCCAACTCTGATTCAAGCATGGACATCACCTCTTCACCAACTCTTTCCTCTGACACCTCTGGTGAATTTTCTGATGGATCTGATTAATCTGATGAATTTGATGATTCTGATGATATGTCATATCCCATACCTCCAGATCCAGAATTCCGGAACCCCACCACTAAAGTCCGGTCCTCCGTCCTGTTATTCCGCCTGGCACTCTGCCTTCATCTCCGCACTCACCCCTAACTCCTTTTAGAATAGCTATTGCTCCGGTTACCGGTTATGTCCTCTCCCGCTATGCTTACTGATCCGCCCATTCTTACTTCATTTCCAACTTCACTGCTTTGATCCATTACACTTACTAATAGACTTTCCACATGCTTCGTACATAGCCCTTACCTTTGCTGACTGATTTACTTACATGATACCTACAGTATATAAACTCCTGTAATACTCTGGAACTCCTCAGTTCAAATATCATCTTAGTTCTGCTCATTCCTGTAATCTCTGGACTTGAGTCTCATCTCTTGTCCACCTCCGAGTCTTAGGGGTTAAACCTTAGGACTAATTCTCCGGCTCTACCTTAGGGTAGTCTAACCTCTGTTCTGTTTCTACTCCGGACTTGTCCACAGTAGCCTTACTCCATTCCCACATAGTTTTCTGGAGTTCTGCTGAACTCCACCAATGTCTGTCCTCCAGAACTCCCTGGACTTCCGTTGGACTTCCCCTCTGCCCCTCAGAAATTAAGGGCACATACTCAGGTAAGGGGTGCAGCGCACAAGCTGAAGCCAAAGCCCTTTGAGTAGTCTTTCCCTTGAGCACGACCCTAACATGATATCACTTCACATTATGATCGGCTTCAGGATCAAATTGCAGCTCTCTGTGATGAGGTTGCAAGGGCTCATGTGCTTCACAAGCCTGATGAGCCTCCCCCATGAGCCCCCCAGCTGCACATCCTCATTCATCATGAGAAACACCGCCCTCATTTATTTCGGCAGAAACTATGTGTCAACCCTATCATTTTTGATGATATCCTTGATCAGATATCTGATCATCATATATTTGGCAACCAATCCAACAATCCCCAGCTTCCTGTCTCCATCCAGCTTGCTATCTTCCTCAATCGTGCTGACCACTATGGCAATGCAATTTCTCTTGAAGATGTTGCCCAATAGGCAGGTATCAGTGTTGGGTCAGTTGTGAATTGCACTAATTGTGTAATGATTGCACTGCTTGACCAGCATGACAAATTTGTTGGTTTCCCACATCCCGATTCAGAGGATGTTGAGCTTGCTCAGCAATATGCAGAGTCCAAGACTTGTCCTGAGTGGCGCAATGGCATTCTAGCTGTTGATGGCACAACAGTTGACCTTTATGCTAAACCTGCTCATTTTGGAGAGACATTTTATGATAGGAAATCTAACTATTCTCTTGGCTGTCAGGTATTTTTCCCCCTCTTCATGGTCAATGATTAAATTATTTTTTAGGCAATTGTTATGCCTCACAACCTTCTCATTGTTGATTATGCTCTTGGTCATCCTGGAAGTGTCCATGATGCCTATGCTTTCTGATCAACTCGTCTCTATCAACAGCATGAAGCTCTTCTCCCAGACAACCACTGGGTTTGGGCTGACAGTGCATACCCACTTGAGAAGTGGTGCATAGTCCCTTTCAAGAAGCCCCACAATGGGAGGTTGACCAAGGACCAGAAGACATTTAATTACCATCTTTCCATAGTATGCTTATATTTTTGTGATTTTTGTGATGGTTTTGTTACTGATTTTTATTTTTATTTTTATTTTTATTTAGGTTCGTGTTTGTGTTGAGCATGCATTTGCTGCTCTTAAGGGGTGCTTTCAGTCCCTTTGAGAGCTTCGCCTCAATATTCACACAGAAAGAGAGCTTGAGATTGCTGTCCACTGGATTATGTGTTGCATCATCTTGCATGATCATTTGATTCAAAGCTCACCATTGCAAGCAGGATCCAGAATTCCACCATTCTCAGAGGTGGGCTGAACAAGAGGCCAGAGAATTTGCAGCTCAAGAGATTGAAGATCCTGATGGAGATGAAGTTGTGGGTGACAGGTCTTATGAGGGTACTCCAGGGCAGGCTTCTTGTTTGCAGATGATGGATCAACTGTTTGACAGTCCTTACTCAAGAGCTGAACATAAGGGAAGGGTAACTTGAAAGAACCAGAGTCACATTGGCAATCAGAAGGTACATGTACTACTACAAGAGATTCAAGAAATGTATGTATCAAAATCAAGCAGCGAAGTAACAATGAGATGCTAAAACAACACAATCAAATTGATGGTGATGAGGATGAGGGACCAGCAACATCTCCACCTGCACCATGGAGCTTCATGGACTAATACTGGATCTTGAGATGCCAGATCTCAGCCTCCTTCTCCTGCAAGGCAGTTGCAGCCTGAAGGCGGAGGATCTCCTTATCCTTGGCTTCCTGCTCACATTGATGATTAGCGGCTGAGAGGAGGACTTCGTGCAAACAGGACTCATGGCGCCACTGGTATTCCTTCTTCTGGGACTGGTAGTTCATCTTGATGGCATAGTGTTCATTCTTTGATTCCCGGCGCTTGGACATGTTACTATGCATACTCTGGATCTCACCATTGATCATGCTAAGGTGATCCTCCACATCTGCCACCGAGGTCCTCTTCTTCTTTGATCTAGTGGAACTCTGTGGCTTCACAGAAAGCAATGTCTGGGATTCCATTGGCAAAATGCGATAGTCAGACGACATATAGGGCAATGAAGACACTGGATGAGGGAGTGGAGCAGCTGTGCAATATCCCTGATGATGAAGCGAATGAGGAGGGTCTGCATGGCGCTTGGCCACCAGGCAAGGCAGAACCAAATGCTGTGTGGCTGTGGTATGTGGGTGTCTGTGGCTTCTGTGGCATAACAAAGGTGTTTGTGTCAATGGGAGGGGGGGACGGAGAAGCTGCATACTGCTGCTTATGTCCCACTACTTTGGGGGGGCTGTTGAGGTTGACAACACGATGCCAGGAGGAGTTAAACTCCAGCCCGTTGTTGTTGTACATGTTAAAGTCCCTGTCTAAGGTAAGTAGTGCGTTGCCAAGGGGGGCAAAGAAAGGCCTGTCATCATCATTGGCTGTGGCATGAGGGTCAGCACTGAGGTCACCATCCAGATCGGTGATCGGACTGCCCCCAGCACCGGTGTAATGAGGAGGGGGGGGGTACAAAGTGATTGCAGGGTTGGGCTGAGCACTGGCAGCATGTGGGCTTTGGAGAGGGAGCTGAGGGAGAGGGGGAGGGAGCTGAGGGAGAGGGGGAGGGAGCTGAGGGAGAGGGGGAGGGAGCTGAGGGAGAGGGGGGGCAAGCTGAGGGAGAGGGGGGGCAAGCTGAGGGAGAGGGGGAGCAAGCTGAGGGTCTAGGGGAGCAAGCCGAGGGTCTGGGGTAGCGAGCTGAGGGTCTGGGGTAGTGAGCTGAGAGTCTGGGGGAGCAAGCCGAGCATCTGGGGGAGTGAGCCAAGTGTCAGGAGTGTTTTGGTCAGTAGAGGGACCAGGCCCCCCACGTGGATGAATGAGCATGTAGAAATCCCCAGCATAATCAACTCCCAGTTGGGAGGTGAAGATTTTAACGCCACATGTTGGATTAGAGAACAGAAAGGGGTGGAGTTGGTCGTACCATGGGAACTCAAGCAATACTTGTTCTTAAAATCAAATAAATCAAATGATAATAAAAAAATGGCAAAAAACATACTATGTAGATTAACAGCCGTGTTTTCATTGAGTGGAGTGACACCAGCGCCAGTCTTGTTAAACTTGTCGAGCTGCTCCTTGAATGACTTCTTGAGACTTTTATTATGAATTAAATTAGCAGTTAATGAGCGATAGAGATCACTTATGAAATGATGCGGTTGCCCACCACGATGTTGAATTTCTTTGAGTCCTCAGCATACACACCTGAATATTCCGAGTCATTCGTGAAGATAAGTTTTGCCAAGACTTGATAGATTTCCCCCTTGTCCTTTCTAGAAGGACGCTCCTTGTTGCTGGAAGTTGCAGATTTTTTACCCTCATAGAATATTATGTGGGTGTCCAAAGGGTGAGTGACAAGATGCTGCATTAGTGTGTCTGTGCGACGGAGATCTGATGGTCTGGTCCAATGGATGATTATCCTAGGTACAGTGGTCTTAGGGGCCTGGTTATGAGGGGGATTGGACCCACGTCCTCGAGCCTTCCCTCTTCCACAGGATGCAGATGGATGTGAGGGGAGTTCCATCGCCTTTAGGCAACCTCGAGCATTTGCTTGTAGTCTTGCAGAACGGCAGACATGTTGGCGAAGAACAAGCATTGATATTCAAGCTCTGATACCTAATGCCGGCCAACTCCATCATTGAAAACACTTAGCCGATTTTTTTACCAAACACTTTAGTGAGTTTAGAACTTTACTTTGAGTCCCACTAATGCTTAACTTACACACATTACAGACACTTATGAACACTTATGACTTCAATAGTGCACTCATGTGATTGGTGGAGATTCTGATGAGCTGATTAACTTGCTTAGTTATATCAGAATCATGAAATCAAGTCTTAGATTTAGTCTTAGGTTATTTGCTGCATCTGATCTTTGCAAGATTGTAAGGATTCAATCAGGCTATACTGCAAAAATTAAGCATAATCCTCACTGATAAGCAATGAGGAGGTTTTGTAAGTTTATTTGTATTCTACTATTTTTGTGTATATATAACATACTAGAGGCTCAGGGCATGAGGACACTTCCATGTGGTGCTATGTATGTACCTTCTCCTGGTGGTTTTCCCCCTGGGAAATTTTTTCATGCAGCTCTGGCCCTCCAGGATGATATGTGACCTATTCTTATGTATATATAGAATATATTTGTTGTATAGATATATCAGCACAGTATCAGGATCTTTCTCAGCAATCCAAAGTCTCCTTCTGCCTACACTATAACATATTTTCGCATATTTTCTGTGTTTTACTACATTACCATTGCATGGACTATCTAGACTGTTTATATATTACCTATGGTACATATTTGAAGCTGTATCATAGCCAGAATTGGGCAGAAATATGTCAGGGTATTGATATCATGGATATATCTCCTATTCTCACTGATAAGAATTTTCAGACATGAATATACTGATATCTTATGATTGGACTATCACATTATACCCTATATATACCAATAAATTCACTCCTCAACTACCAGAAGGATCCATAAAGAATTGATAGCAGGGGAATCCAATGGATAACAGAAAGACCGTGAGAAAGTCAAAGAAGTCCAAACATCGCAAACAGCATGTACCAATACAGTCTACCCACATGTGGTCAGACGTTAACTCATGCATAATGCTGCAACATTTTGACATCACAACACTTCCACATCACCTTCACCCTTACAACACATTGTTAGTGTAGCTGTTCTACAATGTATTATATTATTTAGCACAACACCCTGGGGTGATAATGCATTAAACCTTATAATTGTAAGACACTTGTAATGCATCATCAATTACAGTTGTAAGCGTGAATCATGCATTAATCTATTACAGTTGTAAGACGGCTCCCCTAAGACCAGCTCCCCCCACCAGCCCTTCTCCGGCATTCAAAGGCCAGTTCATATGGTACCCTCGCTGTCTTTGCTGTCAAGTGCACTGACCAGAATAGTGTGCCCCGGGAGAAGCATGTTACCCCAAAGGTACCACCAGCCAGCCAGAGATCAGATCCAATCTAAGGTACCACGAAGCGGTACATACATGTCACACATATGGAGCAAAACAGACATATATTGATACTAGCGTACATGAATAATAAGCAACTAGATCTCAGGTGGGCGCGGCGCTGAGAGATCGGGGAGGTCAGCAGGATGGTCTGCACCAGAAAGAATGATGTTCGACAAGGCTATGGCATCAGGAGAGCTCAACAGAAAGAGAGACCACAAAATCTGAAAATGGTCAATGAATGCTCGGTGAATTTTTGCCTGCTTGGCAGCATAAGCCCGTATACCCTCAAGACACCCTGTATCCTCCTCCACACACTGATACCCCTGCTCATCCCACCACGTGGCCTGCCACCGAAAAAACTGAAGGACACGACACATTTCCTCATGGAGTAGTTCAACCTCCTTGGCCCAGCACATCGTGTGAGCTCGCGCCTTGCACCACTCTACCCTCACACCTGATTTAGTGTTAGTTTAGGCAGTCATTCCAAACATTGTGAGTCACTCACCATCTTCATCTGTACCATCCCCGCTACTATCCACACCATGCATCCTCCAGATCCACGTCAATTTTTGTCTCCCCTGCCCAGGCAAAATGTCTGGATCAATCAGTGGTTGTATGTCGTCAGGCTCCAGCAGCCACAGTCCTTGTTCCCACCCTACCTTCCCAAGTTCTCGTGCCAGGGTATTCAGCGCCTCCCATGAAGCATGGTACCTTGCTGTACAAGCTGCCTGTCTTCCAGTAACATGTTCTAAGGCATTCTGAGCCCCCGTATTTGCACCCTGCCTGTGCACCCAGTCCTTCTTGTATGTCAAGAGTGACGAGCAGATGTGCAGACATTGCCGGAGCTCTTCTAGTGCGTCATGTGCCTGAGCCAGGTGTAGTTCCCATTCATAGAGTCATAGGTGGTTGTGACATGGATGATTTCCGATAGCAGAAGGGAGTAGAAGCCGTAAGTCTTCTGCATTCTCGATCCCTGAATTAGAAGATGGTGATATTGAGGTAGAGAGCATGCCATGAACAACAGGCATATATAGCACTTATGTCATCCGCCATGAGTTGATCTTACAATTTAAACCATTTCTCTGATGTAGCAGGTTTCCTTTCTGGGTATCCATGATGTGGTTACCCAGACCCTTCATGAACCTAGCAACACACTATCTACCTCATGATTAGTATTGTAATACAGAAAATAAAACAACGAAATGTACTGTTCTTCTTCTAGATCCAGACCTAATCCTATGAGGATACTCGGCGAAACCTCCGGGTGCAGCGATACATCTGCCCCTTGTTCCAGCTCCTTTGCCTCCAGTTGCACTAGTTTCAGGTGTGCACCAGCCTGTGTGATGGCTACAACAGATCAGCTCCTTTTTCCCTGGTCTCGTTTTCAGACATACCAACAGATTTAGCTTCAAACGGATTTGACACACTTGGGTCATTGGGGTTCTCCTCCCACCTTTCTACCTCTGCCTTCCAGGCTATGTGGTGTTCTTCAGTAATAGCAGCATCCAGTTCTTTGAAAGTCGCATGGAAGGCCACCTTCTCCAGCATTGCTTCCTTTGTCTTGCATAGTAAGTTCGCCCCTGAAAGTGCACTAAGTTAGAGCTGCCACTTTGTGGGATATTCATTAATTACCTAAATTGACGACCTTCTTCCAATTCCAGTCTCCAAAATGGTCATCCAGTGTGTCCCATCGACAGCCTGGACCCATCTCTTTGGTACTAGAAGCTACCGGGTTGATGTTCAACCATCCTTGCTCTGGAGCCTCGCCATCAGTGCAACCAACCCAACAAGACCAATTGAAAGAAAACATCATCTGGCATTTGGCAATGTGTGCAGGAAGATGGAATTTGGGCATGAAGAACCGAACAGTTTTGATGGCATGATTGAGTCAATAATCTTCGGGAAGTGTTGCCATCCTGGCCCACAGATTCTTGTGCCACTGGCATGCAATATTGTATGATACATTGAGAACTTTGAGAGAGCGGTGGCGCAAGGTTGAAAAGAACAGAAAATCCATGTTAATATATCTAGGATTTGCGCATCAGTGAAGTGGGTCCATGTGCATCCAAACAGTACATACCTCTCGCCTTTCTGCAAGTCCCCGACACCATTCAGAAGCTTCATGTTATGCCAATTTGATGACTTTGATTCTGCCATATTCACGGCATTATGACTCACACACGTACTTTTCTGTGTTACATCTATCAATACAAGCTTCAAAATCAACCAAAATAGAATACGTACCTCTTGGGCTTCCATGTCTTAATTAGTCAAATGTGTCTTGTATTCAGTCTCATCAATGAAGTACCCCCACCCATGGGACAAGCTTGGATCTACAGTGTCCTTAGATATGATCTGCCTCTTCAGGCAAAAGTTCGCGTCAATGGCAAGAAAGAGGCCGTATAACCATCTGGAGACACATCAGAACCCATTCACATGGATGAATCAAGTGCATACCTTTTTCCTTTTGGAGCAAGCTCCCAATCATCTGGCAGATTCTTCCCTGGTTGAGGGCACACCAGGCATAAAACCGCACATTCACCCTGCTGTGTGGCAATGATGCTAGAGGGATCATGGCCGTGCCATGTGCATGAACACCTTGTAATGATCCCTGTGCTTCAAAAGGCCAGTATTGTCCATCATACGAACCAAAGAATGATAGAACTCATAGGCCGAAATCTTCGACTCAAATGACAAGACATGGAACTGCCACAGTACACAAAATGTTGCTGCAGTTCTCAGGTCACTGGTCATTGCAGGGAACCAACCAACACGTAAGAGTTGTTCAGTGTGAGATTGTGCTCTATCGCACCCACAAAAGTCCACGGCCATAGGGTGTATGCCTAGAGTGTCAATAAGGATGAAATTGTCATTGAAGGCTTGGCTGGGAAGTAGGCAAGATTCACCAACTTTGTGCCCAAGTTGCACGTGAAGCCCTAGATCCTTGAGAGTCACATTTTGGAAGCATTCACTGTTCCACTTCTGTAGTATTCACATGAGGCATGTATAGCAACCCAATAGGACATGAGACTTACCTCTACACGATGTGCTGGTGAATATGTGTGAGCGCCAACAACGCACATCTGACATGATAATGTGGACATGAAACAATCCTTGTAATGGTATGAGCCAACCATGATCCCACAGGTGTTGCAGAAGGTCAAGGAGATGTCATCGCCTCTTCCATTGTGGTGAAGCATCTCCAGAAGGAATAATTCCCGATAATCTATCCAACTAAGGAGAGGATGATCCTAGAGAAGGTCAGTACATAGTAAGCAAGTAGAAACCATCCACGTACACCAGCTGTGTGTCTGCGCTTATTCTGAGACCCTACTTCCACTTCAGGTGAAGGATCCTCATCCATCGCCTCATAGCAATCACTGTTATCATAGTTGCCGATGTTGTCGCAAAGAATATCATCTGCAAGATGTGTGCCAGGAGACGATGATGATGCCTCCGAGGACCTGAATACATCCTGATGAGATGAAACTAGACCACCACATGGTTGCAAGGTAAATTTGAGCCTCTCGTGAGCAATCAGCAGACTTGATGTAGGAGCGATAATGTATTCGTTGAAATGCGATCATCCTCAACTACTGCCACGTTGTCCATGCACACAGCCACAACCACGACGCCAACTGTTACTACCACAATTGTTGAGTTCATGCCAGGACCAAGGTAACATCCTCACCTGAATCATGGTTGTTTCATGAACTATGTGTTCATGATGAATCAACGCATCACCTACTGAGCACATATATGATACCTGGTGTGTCACCGATGCCTCCACTAGAGCTCGACATTTCATTGGTGAGTTCTTGAGTCAGTGTTCTTGGTAAGCCTGAGGATAACTTACTTGAAGTCCTTTGGGATTCACCAAGCTTTATGTATTGACATCTTGTTGTGCGAGAGGCCTTCTGTGAAGCTCTCGGTGGAGTTTGCTAAAGTTTGCCAGTGTGAGTGATATAAGACACTGTAGAGAGTATCCCTATGCTAGGCTCATATCCACCACTTTTCCAATGCATCAGGCATCCATCCAACATCCATCCGACACCAATCCATTCCATCCAATACCCATCCACTTTGCGGATGACAAGTGGATACCTTTGGATCTCCCCCTATAGCTCGCGCATCCGTCCTGTCCACGTCCATTCTACCTCATTGGTACGTACTCACATGTTTTTCCTTGTTACTGACCAAACACAGACATATCCTCTCACACTCCACTATTTTCCGGATAGCTTATGGCACAGTCTAGACTCACTACCTATACCAAGTGTTCCTTGAAAATACTGTACCCTATAAGCACAGAAGTTTTTCAGAAAATACTTACTTCATGTAACTTCCTCCCACTTTTCCTGCACCTTACCAGAAAATTGCTTTGACTTATACCCACTATCCATCCAACCTTTAATGAACTTCCTTTGACTTTGATTCGCATCCTGTCCGATCCACAAGTATCATCCACTCCATCCAATGAATCTGTATGTTTCGCATCCTATCCACTTCATCCACTTTTGTGGATCTTTCATCCTGTAGGGTTGTTTTAGACAGAGACTAGTATTCCCCAGTAGCAATCCCCTAAAGGGTCAAACGCACTTGTTCCCAAGCGAGGCAGCAGGCAGCAAAGACCCAACTGTGTAGTAGATAGGATTCCCACTGCTGCACTAGTTGTACCCACAATGCGTTAATTGAAACCCTTTCCCATCATTGAGCACTAGCAGTCTAGCACGCACCTCTCTTTGATCAGTCAACACTTTCACTTGTTATTACCTTTGACACTGTCTGTTTGTCCAAAATGAAGGTTTTTCCCACAATGATCAAGGAACAGACCTTCATTTTGTCTGAGCTGGCAACCGTTGTGGAGTTTTTGTGTGATCAACTAGGTAAGTCAGTGTAATAACACTGGCTTGTTGTCACACTCACTTGCTATTTCAGTTCTCATGCATGCCCATGCTGAGGCTGGCGCTGATCTTCATAACCATCTGGAAGAAGCGCTAGCAGTAGGCTATTGTCCAGGTTGCATTCTTCGTAATCATAGGCAGACCTATTACGTCTGTCAGACTCAGATTTTGCAGGCAGGTTTGTCTATCTCCTCTAGCAACAGTCCCAGAGACCATCCTGAAGGAGGTAAGTTTTCACTTCATGTTTGCTATACCAGATCCTGATCAAACACATCAGACAAGGCTCAGAGTGTCTCAGACACAAGCTCCTTGTCCAGCGTGACTACAGCTGTGAATACTGCACCACCTTCCATCACTATTACTGCTGCAGCTGGTGCTGCACCTCATGGGAGTACTTCTGTTACGACTAGGATAGTTCTTCTTCAGTGTTCCAATAAAGGATGATCAAGGCTGAAGTGTATCGCAAGTTCTAAGATCAAAGGTTCAGGCTAGTCGAGTGTCAAGGGCTTGCTAGATCAAGTATTCAGGCTAGTCTGCTTGGAAGGCAGCTAGATCGGTGAACTCGAAGTATCAGGAGAGAACCTAGTAGATTCAAGTTAAGGAATACAAGTACAGGAAACATGATATATATATGTAACAAGAAGGTGGTTTAGGGCCAGTCTGTAGGTAGATGACCCTATCAAGAAAGGTAAGTGAGAATAGGAAGAGAATATCAACCAATCAGAAAAGGAGATAAGAAATGGTATGATGTTGGATCGACCAATCAGGGAACAGTATGAGTAATCATCTGCGTAAGCATAATGAGTAAGCATATAGGTAAGCGTTCACGTGTTGGACATTTTGATAAGCAGTCACGAGACTTGATGAGTTAGTAAAGAAAGAAAGAGAAAAGAAAATATAGCGCCATTGTAACAACTTCTGCTTCATTCCGCTGGTACGTTGTTACTGTTGGACACAAGACAGGTGTATTTCAAGGCTGGTATGTATCTCCTTCTCATCTAGACCTCTCAATTCAATGTTCTTCCAGGCATAATGTGCATTCACATGTGGTAGGCGTTCCTGGAGCCTGTTTCAGACAGTACTCCTCTTGTGCTGTTGCAGATGAGGCATATGCCCAGGCATTGCAAGATGGCACTGTGCATGAGTTGCCACTCTGATGGTTGCCGCTGCTAGCAAATGAATGTGATATCTAGTGTATATATGAATCATGTACTTGTCACACGTGTGTTTCTTATCTGTACTTGCTGCCCACACATTTCTTGCTTGCAATCATAACTCGTTTCTTGCACACATGTTTTGTTCTCAGTGTCTTCTATATTTTGTTCTCTGGGAGTTGAAGTGTGTACCGTGTTGGAATGGTCAACAGTAATATCTGTGTCATGGCACAGGAAGTTCAGCATCTGGCAGGCTGGGACAGTCTCAGGCTTGTTGCATCAAAAAAAGATTCCAAGTCAATGGTGAGAAAAGATTCAATGTCGATGTTGACAGTAACTGCGGGGGGTTGAAGTAGCTATGTGACTCTTCACTGACAACAACCTTAAGATAAATTTGAGTGATATGCTGCGGCAATCTGAGCTTAGATATCAACTTGAGTGCATTAATCTCCCAACGGTCATTGAATGGTATTATTCTCCCAAACATGTCTTACACTATTATTCTCCCAAACACATGTAACACTAGGTACCTCAACACCTCAACACTCCACTCTCAGAATAATACCAGTCAACCCCTACCACTCCACTTGACACCGATGGCGGGTCATCCATTCAAATACAAGGATGATGCTGAGAGAGCCCAAGCAGTGCATGAATACCACATAAAATACTATAAACTGTGGGTGATTAATTTGATGCATGTATTCTCATAGTCAGATGCATCTATAGGAACAAGAGGGCCATCTGTGAAAAGAATAACATACATCATGCAAATCGGATGGCAGGCAATGTCCAGTCTGAGTGCACTACCAAAACTGCAACAATGAAGGCCTGCCCCACCTCTAAGACAAGCAACTCTCAGATCGTTATTGTGCCAGAATCAAAGCAAACCACCAGAATGCGCTCAAAAACTCAACTGTCGCATGTGTAAGGTATTCTTACGACTATGAACTTAATTTTACTAATGTCTTGCCCTTGGTCGTTTCACGCTGCAAAGCCAGCAGCTCAATTATGCTCAGGCTGCACTACTGAATTGCACTGGTATACCAGTGCGACAATTCTGTGAAGACCTGTGTGACCAGCTCATATACAGTATCGAGACACAGTAGACTGCCATCTGTAAGCTTCTCAAGGTCCTGGCGCATCTTGAAGAGGTTCAGGTTGGTCTACGGGGACTGGAAGGGAGTGTGCTCGAAGAGATGGGCATGTCAAGTTTATACAAGGAGGTCTGTGCAATTTCTACTCAGTGCAAAAAGACTATAACTGCCATTGAGGAACTGTGGTGCTATGGAACATCAGGGGTGTCAGGGATACCTGACCTTGCTGAAAGGCGCAGGGAGGGGGACTTACTGTATGAGACTTTGTAAGCACACATAACCGCCGGGTCCTTGTAATGGTAATGCATTAACTTTTTTTAACCTAGTTATATAATTAAGCAAGCAGCATCCTCACACTCTTCTGCCTTTCCCACTCAATGTCTCAAAACCTCGAGGCACAGTACATGTCTCCTACTCAACACGCATTTCTTGCTGAGCTATATGACAGGTTCGACAAGATCCCCATCAACAACCATAGCAAATTCTTGCAGTCCGTTTATGAGATATGGTTTGCTCAATGGCCTGAGCACGATGTCTACCCAGGGGACACACACCGAGAGGTGAAGTTCCTGCTTCTATTCTACTTCAACCTTTGCTCATTCTTGGTTCACAGTTGATCCGGAAGTATTTTATTAGGAGAAAGGCAGCTCACTCAGTGCAATAGCTTTGACATTGCCAGATGTCTTAGAGCTTACTTGGACATGCATACCATCCAGTAAGTGTTCCGCGCATACTCTAACAGTGACTACTCAAACAACGAAGTTCTGGACTCAAAGAATCTGCTCGCAACTGAATATACCCGCAGGTTGTATGTTGGATAGAAAACTCTAAGGATAGATACATCGAGCTTCTTTGTATCCTAGATAGATGTTCACAACTGAATATACCCGCAGGCTGTATGTTGGATAGAAAACTCTAAGGATAGATACATCGAGCTTCTTTGTATCCTAGATAGATGTTCACAATGACAACGAGATCCTCCGTTTGACAGCTGTTTGACAGTGAAGTATGTACATGGATACCAATTAATGCATTATATATTCTATGTCTAAGTACGCATCTGGTGCATTCTCATAGTTGAGCCCCTCCCTACATGTTCTGGCAGTCCTCAATACAATGGCTCCACCAAGGTGGGCTACAGCTGAGCAAGAAGCTGTCCTGATGTCAATGTTGGCTGAATATCGCACTTACATGCCATTGAAAAATTACACTGCAGTTCTGGCTGAAAATCAACTGGAAATTCTTCATGCAATGGCCAGTCCATAAAACATACTATCCTGATGTCGATAATGAGGATGAGCTGACTGAGGAGCAGAAGGAGGTGTATAAGACACCATTGCAAACCTGAAAAAGAGTACACACTCACTCGCATTGTTGAAATATTTGCTTACCATCAATTGCAGCAAATTATGTCTTGGTATTGGTGGCAGACAAACCCTGCATGTCTTACATGTTTGGGCTGTTCCAGAGGAGTCCTCGAAATAAAACAAACTCTCGCAGGAGGCAGGTCCACAAAAGGTCCCTGTGCACTGAAGGAGGTCGAGGTTTACTCACAGATGTACTATGCCGACCACATCAAGCAGTCAGCTGACGATGCAATTGCAGAGAGTGGAATTACCTCTCGCGGTTCTAAGCTTCGCATGTGTCAGTGAGATCACTGCAGAGAAATACAAGACAGAGTCAATTGACGTCAAAGAGAAGGTTAATGAGGAGCACCAAAAGTTGCAAGAGAAGTTCCAAAAATCCTGAATGGCCGCTGAGTGTTAGGTACCGTGCTGGCTCAGGAGGCAGAGGGGTCAGGGGCTTGGCTTCAGCTCTTGCGCTGTGCCCTTAGCCAAGTACGTGCCCTGAATTTGGAGCAGGGTCTGACGTTGTCCGACGATAGGACGAGTGGACTGCTTAGGTCCTCTTTGAGGGTCGGGAAGTAAGAGCTACTAGTGGCGAGCTGACTAGGAGCAGAGCGGAGACGGCAGGGGAGTGATGTGGAGGGTGGATAGGAGCAGGGGGAAGGTTTGGTAGGAGTGGGGAAGGTGGAGGATGATGTGGAGGATGGGAAAAGGGACAAGGGGAATATTGGTAGGGGCGGAGAAATAAGGGGAACACTTAGAGCACTGCTCTAAGTTGGAGCGGAGGGTCAGGAGGGTCGGAGGTGACAACAAGTTGAGACTTGTGTCCAGAGGAGGCAAGGTCCTACTGAGAATTCTCACAAGAGGTAACTGCAAGAAGACAAGTAATATTAAGACTGAGGAAAATATCTAAGTACATGATATGTTATATACTTCTATGTATGAGGCAGTGACCAGGATAACTATGTTGTAAAGCTATGTACCAAGGATATAATTTGTAAGTACTTACACTGGTGAAGACATAAGTCGGAGCGGATATCAATATGTACGTGTTGGATCAGTGATCAAGCGGTAATAGGAATTACCAGTGATCCGGAAGTAAGAGTCTATGTGCCAAAGGGGAAAGTATATATCTAAAAGGGGAAAGAGGTCCAGTTGAATGGAGATGTTATGGAAGGGGACCAGTCGAGTGGTCGAGCAGAAACGTAGGAGCGGATGCGGACAATGATTGGACAGAGCAGAGGAATAGATGGAGCAGAGGTTGTCAGAAAGCGGGGCGGATATTGATATCGGAGCAGTTGGATCAGGTATATGACACTGAGGCAAGGGATGAGCCTGATGACGATACAAAGATTAAGTATGTCCTTACATTTTCAACATTTTTTTCAGCAAAACTCACCATTATGCAGAGCAATCCATGAGCTTCTGGTGATGCTAGATCATATCTTCCAACACCTGAGTCATATGACTGGTGGATGGAAGTTCTCTGTCCTATGGGTGGCCGCGATCCAGAAGCTGGGGGAAATATGCAATTCTTCGAGTATGTACTGATTATCTATCTATAATCAATCAGTAATTAAATAAATCTGACAGCTATCACCTTGGTGAATGCGCCACTGGTGGCCAGTTTGCAGACTCATATGTGATGTACAGTGAGGTTCTTAAGGTGTTTGCAAGTTTCGTGGACAGCACCATCAGTAAGTGACTGGCATGGGAAATCATTTACTCACTAATGCTAAACTTGATGTTTAGAATACGAGGACTCTCTCCCAGCTACCAACCACAACCACAACAGAGACGCTGAATGCAACTTGGCAAGTGAGGGTTCAGATACTGAGGCGGATGGGGATCACACTGGCAAAAGTACTGCTGCTGGAATAGAGGAGTCAAACACGCTTTATCAGTTGACTCCGAATGAGTATAATGCATCACAAGACAAGTGTAATGCATCACACGCAGAGTTGAACTTAGTCTCTTCAATGGATGGGCTTAGTCAGGTAAGCTTGAGGCTAATGCATCACTTTTACGAGAAGTTAATGCATTACTACGCAGGACTTAAGCTTACATAATACACATGACTTACATACGCAGCTGTTGGACTTTGACTACAATAGTCTCCAACCTGTGGATTATGAAGCTGTGATGCTCTCTCTTCTGGAGATGTCTAGCATGGATTCAGAGGGTGCTAGTTCACATCTGCCTTTTCTACCTCCTGTAGAGCATGAGGTTCCAGTTCCTCCATTCGTCTGGCCTACTCCATATGTCTGGCCCACACCTCCCACGCCCCTTGCTTTTCAGCCAGATGTGGGGCTCCATGGGTCTCAGCCTCCTGTGACCATCGAAGCTCTTACTCATACTCAAATGCCTACACCTCCTGCTCCCCCTGCATTGCAACCACCACCTTTAGCACCTGCAATGCCCAGACCTACTTGTCCCTCTACTGTTGCACCAGATACAGCAATCCCTGTGCCTGAGGCTCAACCCCCGGTGAGAATTGAAGCTCTTGGTCCTACTCCCCCTGCCACATCTCAGGCTTCTGAGATGCCTAGACCTCCTCTTGCTGGATCTCAGACAGACCCAGCGGTACTTGGGCCCCAGCCTCCTGTGACCATTGAAGCTCCTGCTCATACTCCCTCTGCAATGCCTATACCTCCTGCTCCCCCTGCATCTCAGAAGGCACCTACCTCTGAACCTTGTGCTCCCTCTGCATCTGAGCCAACACCAGCACTTTCTGTGTCATCTGTGTCGGCAACTGAGCCTCTTCCGCTCACAGTGTCTCAGCTCATTGCTCACCATGTTGAAGATGAGCAGCCTGGTGCTCGGCATACTGGTAGGGCGTGCTGATCAGTCCCTTTCAATCACCGTGAATTGGACAATGACATTGGTGATGCTCCTCAGTGGTCTGGTCAAGTGGGTGGAGGTGTGAGTGCTACATCAAAATGCGGCAGCAAGCGCAATGCTGAAAACACTGGTAACGCATCTAAAAAGTTAGTGTCTTTGAATTTTTGTCATTTGCCATCATTGAGTTCTCATTTAGAAGATTGAAGGTTGCATAATTGCAAGTGTTGGCCGTCTTACTGTTGTGTCTGACTGTTAGCCGTATATATTGCCTAACTCAAACCTGTACTCAAATTCATTCTAATATATTGATTGTGCTATACTTCATGTGAGCAAGAATGCTGTGGGACCTTGCTAAGGTACAACAATTATAGATTTGCCACTACGAGCTTGGACTTCACGAAATTTTAGATGTTCAGGAAATGCCGCTGTTGAACTCTACAGACTTCACAAATTTTGGGACACTCAGGAAATGTCATTGTTGAACTTGTCGCACTCAAGTCAAAGTATGGGGTACATGTGCTCAGCAGGTACAAGAAGGCCCGCTACCCTACATCCAGGTACAGGAAGGCCCACTACCCTACATCCAAAGGGTCCGAGTGCAAGGGGAAGGTACTACAGAAGGCCCATAAGGTACCCACCCACTTTTTAATGGCTGGAGCAGCTGAATTAGGCAATTGGGGGCTAATGCATTACCTTAAGTGCTAATGTATCAGTGGTGCATTGTTAGGTACCGTGCCAGCTCAAGAGGCAGAGGGGTTAGGGGCTTGGCTTCAGCTCTTGTGCTGCACCCTTAGCCAAGTACATGCCCCGAATTTGGAGTGGATCCGACGTTGTCTGACAATAGGACGAGTGAACCGCTTAGGTCCACTTTGAGGGTCGGGAAGTAAGAGCTGCTAGCGGCGGACCGACTAGGAGCGGAGCGGAGAAGGCAGGGAACGATGCGGAGGGCGGGTAGAAACCAGGGGGATATTTGATAGGAGCGGAGATGGCGGAAGGATAATGTAGAGGATAGGAGAAGGGGTGATAGGAGGATATTGATAGGGGCGGGGCAATAAGGGAAAGACTTAGAGCACGGCTCTAAGTCGGAGCGGAGGGTCGGAGGGTCGGAGGTGACAACAAGTTGAGACTTGTGTCCAGAGGAGGCAAGGTCCTACTGAGAATTCCCACAAGAGGTAACTGCAAGAAGACAAGTAATATTAAGACTAAGGAAAAGTATCTAAGTACAGGATATGTTATATACTTCTATGTGGGGCAGTGATCAGGATAACTATGTAGTAAAGCTATGTACCAAGGATATAGTTTGTAAGTACTTTACATAGGCGAAGACATAAGTCGGAGCAGATATCAATATGTACGCGTCGGATCAGCGATCAGGCGGTAATAGGAATTACCAGTGATCCGGAAGTAAGAGTCTATGTACCGAAGGGGAAAGTATATGTCTAAAAGGGGAAAGGGATCCAGTTGAATGGAGAGGTTTATGGAAGGGGACCGGTTGAGCAGTTGAGCGGAAGCGTAAGGCGGAATGCAGGGTTGTGATAGGACGGAGTGGAGGATGGATGGGGCGGAGGGGGTCGGAAAGCGGGGCGGATATCAGTATCGGAGCGGTCGGATCTGGTATATGACATGCATTAGGGATCCTTGAAGATTTCTAAAAAGGGAGGATAAGCTGCAGTAACTGTTGATGCATTACAAGTGTCTTACAACTATAATTACTTAATGCATTAAAATGACATTATGGGCTGTATTTAGTGAAATTTTTGCCCTAGAAATAGTTGAGATATGACATTTGTGTGATTTGTGTCTCTTGCCCCTATACCCCTGATCTCAGTAGTCTGACATATCTGTGCATGATAATGACCATGAGAAGGCTTAAAATATGTACCATAGGTAATATTTAAACAGTCTAAATAGTCCATCCAATGGTAATGTAGTAAAACACAGAAAATATGCGAAAATATGTTATAGTGTAGGCAGAAGGAGACTTTGGATTGCTGAGAAAGATCCTGATACTGTGCTGATATATCTATACAACAAATATATTCTATATATACATAAGAATAGGTCACATATCATCCTGGAGGGCCGGAGCTGCATGAAAAAGTTTCCCAGGGGGAAAACCACCAGGAGAAGGTACATACACAGCACCACATGGAAGCGTCCTCATGCCCTGAGCTTCTAGTATGTTATATATACACAAAGATAAGTTATAGGGAGCATATTTACAAGGCCATATGTCAAAACCCTGAAAAATCCGAATTGATTTATGTTTGAGGGGTGTGTAAGCTATCTACTAATGTAGGACACTTCAGAGATGCAATCAAGCGGTGTAATAAGTCAATTTACACTCTAATACATGCTATATATCATCAGAATCGCTCCCCCGCTAACGGGGCAAAAAATCGAATATGTTTTAGTCCTGGCCTCCTGGGGTGCACATATTAGCACTGCAGGCTATACAGGCTTCTAGATCATGCAGAAAGCGGTCTATGAGTCTTTCTATGTATATATATGCAAGCTACTACTTATATACAGGAGTGGTGAGGGGGATAAGCTGTGGTGAAGCAGGTAGAGCTGGCAGGGATATGTGAGAATAGCGAGGATACTGGAATATCTAAATTTGGTAATATTTCAGGTGTTAGTGCTGGTTTGGGACACCGGAGAATCTCAGAAGCCATTAAGCTTAATCATGTGGGATCTGTAGACTACAAATAAACTTACAAAACCTCCTCATTGCTTACTAGCAATGGTTAAGCATCACCCTGGTATGTACAGGTGTACCGACTCTATACATCATCCTCCCAATCATCAGGTACTGCCTCTGCCTCCTGCTCCACGCCCCTCTCCTGACTAGCCGCGTCCCTCGCACGCTGCACTGCAGACGACACCCACGCTCCACCACTCGGCTTCAAGCTCAAAGTGGCAGCACCAACTTGAGTTCCTCCCGGGCTCGAGGACGCACCAGGTGCAGGCGATGAACTCCCAGACCCAGGGCGAGTAACAACTGCCGTCCACCTCCCCCCTGGTTCTGCACCCTTTGATTGGGCCCACCCTGCACCTCCACTTGTCATGCTGGATACAGGTTTCGGAGCGCGTAAATCAGCGAGCTTGCCCAACCCTGCAGGCGATGGCGATGGGAGGGATGCAGATAAGAGTGGGTTCGGGATGCGTGTGTCGATGCGCCGCAGTAGCTGTACGCTCCGATGAGGTTCTTGATCGACCATCTGTGTATCCATGCGGTAGATAGACGCAAGCTATATAATTGGTATGTCAGCATCACAGAGAAAATCGTAAGAACTGAGACTTGCATCGTGTACGAATTTACGTCGGTCGGGGGGCATGTGTGGCAGGACTTGCGTGCGTTTGTCAGAAACCACGAAACTAGAACACAGACAAGGTGAGAACGCGCAAGGCAGTCATAGTCAATAACACCACTCACTCTGCAAATGTCTTCTCCACCAGGGCTACAAACTTGCCGTACGCCCTCGCAAAAGCCACCAGGTCTTCATTATACGTGACTTTAGCTTGCATACCTTCACGCTTCTCAGGGCTGATGCCAAGAGCTTCTGCGAGGCGTTCGTTACGTTTCTTGATTGCACATTCGCCCGTGCATTTGAGCTTCGCAGTCGAGGATGTTTGGGAGCATGGGACGGAGGAGCGGAGGAGGCCGCAGGGACAGGTGAGAGTCACGAGCGCGAGACAGGCTTCGGTTTCTGGGCATGCTGCGGGGGCATGGCATGTTTGGGTGCATGGGTGTTGGGCTGGTAGACTGGATAAAAGGAGGCATTGGAGTTAGCAGAAGGATAAACGAAAGATGTGCAAGAATTTACCATGATTTGCGAGACTTGCCGCATACAGCGGTACACGTACCACAATCGTCTGCATGGCACAGGCGTTCACAATGATGGAAACCGCAGGCCAGTTGTCTACGAAGCAAAAGTAAAATTAACTCAATATGATCGCTACCAGCAAAGGCAAAACCCACTTTCCGCATACAGTGCCACAGCTCACTCGCTCCTGCGCACACCGTATATTATCAACCAACTTCTTCCCACAAGCACACTGCTTGCTGGTGAGGAATGGACACGGCGGGCAAGAAGATTCCTCCACTGGTTGGCTTGGGTCCGCACCAGCGATGATGACGCCCTCATGACAGGCATGTGGGATGCGTGAATGACCACATGGAGGAGGCCTTGCGCACGGATAACTGCAAGTCATTACCGTACCACATGGAATCGGTGGTTCTATGACCGTTCGCCCACACGGGCATATGAGCTGCACAAACGTCAGGCCAAAGCACATTGTTAACCAGAAATAAACCACCTACATCCTCATATGCGCTCTGAAAACACACCCCACATAGGCCCTGATGGTCCTTTCGCTCGCATCGGTGGTTCCCACAGCTCAACATCTTTCCACATGAAAGGTCGCACTCATGCAGCCCGCCTTCCTCAGCACCGAGTTCGTCCATTAAGCCAGCACGTTTCTTGCCTTTGCCTTTCTGGGCAGCAGCGAGCGATGCGAGGGGGCAGCAGATGCGGTTGCATCGGTGACGTCCGCATGTACGTAGGGCTTGGCACGCACGATCGCAAAGAACCTCCCCAGTTTCATCACCATCGTTGGTTTCGATTACTTCGCCGCACTTGACCATCTTCTTGGTCGTACCGCACCGACAGGTGCGTTCCACGAGTTCTGTGCAAGGCGGGCAGGGTCCGATATGACAACTCACACCGCACTGGTGTGAGCAGTCGGGTAACATTTTGATGCAGCGCTGCTGGCAGGTGGGAATGGGGACTGTACAGGATGTGCGGGGCCCGAGGAAATATGCAATGTCCTTGCCGCTGGCATCGGATTTGGGAGTGGTGATCGATTCCAGTCGTTGGTGGGTATAGCGATCGTGTTGCTCGACAGTGGGAAGAGCAAACCTGCCGCAGGCACAGGTTTGCATGATGGATGGATCGAGCGGACACCTTGGAGGCGTGAATGATGGAGGGTGACATCCTTTCTCGCAGGTGTGTACCCCGCATGCGAAAGGTCTGTGACAAAAGACATGTCAGCATACACAGGGTGTTATAGATGATTTTGGAGCGGGACATATCATGCAACCGATATTTGCACATATCCCTTACCGGTTGCACGAGATATGCAGCGTACAAAGGGATAGATAAATACTTGCCTATCGCACACACCATCGCACTCATATTGGCCCTCCCAGCCCACCTCTCCCTCAACAGCGCATACAACCACCCAACCTTTCCTATCACCGCACGGGACTTCCTTCTCTTCTTTCCCACAATAACAAGCGACGACCTCAGCCACGCCGCAGGGCTTACACTCACCCGGATGGCAAACCTGAGCACATGTATGCTGGGGATTCCCACATGACAAGGGTTTGCTGCAAGTGACGCCACACGAGACACCGCTGGGTAAATTTGGAGACGCCAAGGACGAGCAACGGATGGTTGAGACTTGGCGTCCACACCAGCAGCCCTTGCGGACGGTTACGGCGCATGGTGGACAGGGACCAGGATGACATGAAAGGGGACAGCCGTGACCACAAGCGGAAGCACGTTCGCGAGAGCAGGGATACGCGCAACTGTGGGGAGTGACGAGGCGTGTAGGTGTTGGATTTGTGACGCGATGACAAAAGCATCTGATGATGAGAATGTAAGCACACGATGCACAAATAGATGAACAGCACTTGCAAATAGCTAGATGGTACGCGCTCACGTTTGGCTTGACAGCCAGGACATCTCCATTCGCCGGTACGTTCCTCTCCACGAATGCGCCATGCGTCTTCGAGGTCCTTGACGCTTTTGCTTGCCCAAGCTCGAATACACTTGAGGTGAAATGTAGTCCAGCAACACTGGAGATTCTCGGAGGGATCAGAGAAAGAGCAGGACCATGTAGGCTGTTCTGGGCGAATAGAATTGAAGCAGATTGGGCAGTCAGGATAAGGATGAGTGCTGAGAGCGTGAGTAAGAGTCGAAGTGAGGTCATCAGCGGGAGGTAGCTTAGGTCTTGGAGGCTTGGCTTTCTTAGGCAGCGCAGAAGCTTTTAGTGAGAGATGGGCTTTAGCTTGAGGCTTGACATCACTAGCTAGCGGGGCCGGTTCAGAAAGTGATGCATTGAATTTGGAACGCCGGGATGGACGCTTAGACTGCGATTGAGGTTGAGTTTGAGCAGATTCAATGACAATTGGTTCATTCGCAACGCTCGTTGCCTGGGGACGTTTTAGAGGACGACTCTTCCTCGGTAGAAGGGGTCCATCGCCTGCAAGAGAAGTGGATCCAGCGGTCTGAGAAGCGCCAGGCGGTCTACTTATACGGGGTTTTGAGCTTCCCTGCTCGCGATTACCAGATCTGTTCTGATTTACATTTCGGTGAGGTGGCCTGGCGCCTGTAACATCTGTCTCCGGAGTAGCTACGCCATCTGAGCTGGCTGCATCTGTTGGAGGTACGCGAGTTTGGGGACGATTGCGACGATAGTGGTGTCTGCGTGGATTTGAGCTTGGATTGGCTGAATCAGGTGCTTGGCTCTGTTGGATTGTAGTTCCAGGTGTGGATGATTCCATGCGATAGGGACTGGTATAATAAAAGGGCTCTATATGCTCCTCGACGATAATCTATGTGAAATATAAGCTCAAGCGGAATGGCATTGCTGACTCAGCCTGAATCTTCAACGGCTCCGGAGTCAACATGACTCTCCTTGACTCTACTTGTCCGCACTGCTGTCGTACCGAATTTTCTATTATTGTGACACGATTAAATGACGTATTCTGACATGACTCTTGTCATTGCAGGAATCCTGGATTCTGTACTGTGACGGCACGAAGGTTCAAAAGGTCATGGAAGAGAAGTCAGCATACATAACTCATTCTAAGCTTGAAAACAATATAGAACCACAACTGCAGACGATTCCTCAAAACGAGTACATCTGGAACTCCGGTCTTTTGATAATCTTGATCTATTCCTAGTGATAGTATGGCGGCCAAGAACCACAAACTTTGACTTCGTCCCACAGCAGGATTCAGGTCACATGATTGGTAGATAACTCGGTCGCCGCAAGAGAGTAAGTATATGGACAAATGATGCGAGCGGCAGCTTCATCATCCACTACATACGTGCGAGGAGCCCACACCCACTGAGATCCGTAGGGAGGTATGTTCGAGTGACTCGGCTTATAATCGATATTGATATTCACAGCATTCAGACCGGGCACTGACACTTGAAGGTTAGCAAGATGGGAGTGTTCCGAAAAGTCTGCGAAATGTAACGGTAGGTAGACGGCGATCGTGTTTTTTTAACTTCAGAGAGCAGATTTACTACTGCCAACGCGAGACTAAGCAGTAGAAGGTTTCACGTTTGACATGCATCTCACAGGGCTGAGGGCGTGGTGTGTAAGTGGTTTGGAAGGGCCATCAATCACCTGGAAAATTTGTGTATACAGCGTAATTTGTTGAAGTATACAAAGCCGAGGCTGCGTGTGTACAAGGTAGTAGTAATGATGACATATTCAAACCCAACCACAATCACTTATCGCGTCCTCCTCATTATCCTCCCCGTCCTCTGCTCCAAGCACATTGTCCGAGTCTTCCAATTCCATTCCATCCCCTCTTCATCCCCATCTTCCTCAATCTCTTGAACGCTGTACCCATGTAACCAAAAGACACTCTATCTAACAGTACAATGAAAAAAATGAGTGTTCGCTATTCACCTCGAAAGACAGGATCACATACTGTGTGAGAATGGGACATGACCTGTTCAACTCTCTCTGGCAGTCTCAAATTTAACAAGCGGTAAACAGCTCAACAGATAACATCACACTTCTTGAGATAGGGTGTCACTGTGGCACGCATCAGTATCAGATAAGCAACTTAATAGACGAGACCACTCACCAACTGAAAGCAAAACATCGCAGTGGCACCATCAGAGATCGGTAAGCAGCGAAAAAAAAGGAGTTCACGAACTTCCTGAGAGCGAGTCATCGCCGTGGCACATCAGTGTCGGGTTAGAAATTCAAAGAACGAGATCATGCACCAACTGAGAGCGGGATATCGTCACGGCACAATCAGTGTCGGGTAAGCAGCTTATCAGACAATATCACGCACAGGCTGAGAGCAGGACATGTCCAATGTACCGTCAGCATCATGTAAGCGGTCAAAAAAAGAGATCACGCACAATCTAAAAGCGGGGCACCATCAGCGTGCGGTAAGTAACTCAAAAGACAACATGACGCACTTCCTGATAGGAGGACATGGCCATTGTACTATCAGCAACAGTTAAAGAAGTCTCAAGGGATCGCGCACTTCCTGAGAGCGGATCATCGCAGTGACATTAGTAATTTTTGGATACGCAGCACAAAAGGCGAGATCACGCACTTCCTGTGAGTATGACATCGCCTTGGCACAATGAGCATCGAGTGAGCAGTTCAAACCACGAGATCACTCACAATCTAAGAGGACGTCGCAGTGGCACAATCAGCATCAGATAAGCAACTCAAAAGACAAGATCACACACAGGCTGAGAGTGGCATTACCGTGACACGATTAGCATCAAGTACGCAGGTCAAAGTACAACAGCAGTCAAAAGAGAGATCACGCACCGACTGAGAGCGGTGGTACATCTGCGTCAGGTGAGCAGCTCGAAAGACCAAATCACGCACCCGCTGAGAGTGCGACATCGCCGGAGCATCATCAGTGTTGGATACGCAACCCACAAGACTAGATCACGCACAGGCTGAGAGTGGAACATCGACATGGCACTATAAGCATTGGGAAAGAGTCAAAATACGAGATCACGAATGCTCTTATATAGGGATGTGGGAATGGCACAGTCAACAGCAGACAAGCAACTGAAAAATTACGCACTCTCTGAGAGCACAACATGGCATTGGCACAATAAGTGTCAGGTAAGCAGCTTAAAAGACAAGATCACGCACAGGCTGAGAGCAGGACGTTTGTCGTAGCACCATCAACATCGAATAAGCAGCCCATAAGAGGAGATCGTGCACCCCCTGAGAATGGGACATCGTGTGGCGTCATCAAGCATGAAGCAGCTCAAAACACGAGATTACGCACAAACTAAGAGCAGGATATTGCGCATCAGCGTTAGGGAAGCAGTTCAATAATGACCAGATCACGCACCAACTAAGAGAGTGACATTTCCATGGCACCATTAGGATCAGGTAAGCTGTTCATAAGACGAGATCACACACCCCCTGAGAGCGAGACATCGCCGCTGGACTATCAGCATCAGGTAATCAGTTTAAAAGATGACATTACACACAGGCTGAACGCAAGGCATCACCGTGGCACCATCAGCATTGAGCAAGCAGGCGAAAGAAGGACATCACGAACGCTCTGAGGTCGGGACATGACCATGGCGCAGTTAACATGGGGTAAGGAGGTCAAAAAATGAATCACGCACTCCCTAAGAGCGGGTCATCGCCATAGCACTGTCAGCATCTTGTGAACAGCTCAACGAACAGCTCACGAACTTCCTGAATGTGGGATGCCATAGTACCATCAGCATCAGGTGAGTAGCTCATGAAACGAGATCACGTACATCCTGAGAGCAAAACATGGCCGCGGCAGAGTCGGCATTGGATCAGTAGGTCGAAAGAAATATCACACACAGGCTAAGAGCGAGACATCATCGTGGCACCATCAACATGGGCAAGAAGGTCAAAATCGAGATCACACACAACCTAAGAGCATGGCATGTTCATTATATCGTTAGTATTGGGTAAGCACATCAAAAGAGATCACGCACGATCCAGGAGCAAGACATCGGCGCAGCACCATCAGCATCGAGTGAGCAATCTAAAGACCTGAGCACGCACTAACTAAGAGTATAGCATAGCATCAGCATCATGTAAGCAGCTCAAAAGAAGAGCTCACGCACTCTCTGAGAGCAGGACATCAATGTGGCACCATTAGGGTCGGGGTAGCAGCTCAAAAGAAGAGCTCACGCACTCTCTGAAAACAGGACATCAACGTAGCACCATTAGGGTTGGGGTAGCAGCTACAAGTACAACATCACGCACAATCTAAGAGAGGTGTTGACATGGCACACATCAGAATCAAGTAAGCGGCTCAAAAGATCATATCACACACAGGCTGCGGGTGGAACATCGCCATGCTACCATCAGCAAGTAAGCAGATCAGAGTACGTGATTACGCACAGGAGCCTGAGAGGGAGACATCATGCGGCACATCAGCGTCGGGTAAGAAGCTCACAGGTGAGGTTACCCACAGGCTGAGAAAAGAACATCGATATGCCACCATCAGCCTTCAGTAAGCAGGTCAAAGTACGGGATCACGCACAGAAGACTGAGAGGGGCACATTACGGCGGCATATTAGCGTCGGGTAAGAAGCTCGCAGGTGAGGTCACCCACAGGCTGAGGGCGGAACATCGCCGTGGCAGCATCAGCGTCAAGGTAAGTAGCTCACGGGACGAGATCGCGCACATCCTGAGAGTAAAACATGGCCGTACAGTCAACATTGGGTGAGTGGGTGACAAAAGAGGTCACACACAGGCTGAGAGCGGGACATCACGGTAGCACCATTAGCGTTGGGTAATGAGGTTACACGGGTTCACGCACTCGCTGAGAGCAGGGCATCGCCGTGATACCATCAGTGTCGGGTAAGCAGCTTACACGTGGGGATCGCGTACTGGCTGAGAGCCGGACATCGCAGGGGGACCGTCAGTATCGGATAAGTAGCTCAAAACAAGAGATCGCGTACTTTCTAAGAGCGGGACATCACCGTTGCACCGTCAGCATCATATCAGCAGCGCAAAGGACGAAATCACGCACTCGCTGAGAGAGGGATATCGCCATGGCACCATCAACGTCGAGTAAAAAGCTCATACGTCGAGATCACGCACAATCTAAGAGCAGGACATTGGCGTAGCACCGTCAGCATCGGATGAAGAACTCAAAACTCGAGATCACGCACTCTCTGAGAGCGGGAAATGACCGTCACACCATCAGCATCAGATAAGCAACGCAAAAGACAAAATCACGCACTCGCTGAGAGCGGGACATCGCCGTGGCACAATCAGCGTTGGGCAACGAGTTCAAAAAATGAGATTACGCACTATCTGAGAGCGGAAAATGACCGTCGCACCATCAGCATCAGATAAGCAACGCAAAAGACAAAATCACGCACTCGCTGAGAGCGGGACATCGCCGTGGCACAATCAGCGTTGGGCAACGAGTTCAAAAAACGAGATTACGCACTATCTGAGAGCGGGAAATGACCGTCGCACCATCAGCATCAGATAAGCAACGCAAAAGACAAAATCACGCACTGGCTGAGAGGTGGACATCGCCGTGGCACCATCACCATCGGGTAAGCAACTCAAAAGACAAAATCACGCACTGGCTGAGAGCGGGACATCTTAAATCTTAAAAAGTAATCTTAAAAAGTAAGGGAGAAGGGAGGGGGGGAATGTGGGAGGATTTGGGCATTTCCGCGTAGCGCACATGGTGTCGGTTGCGTCGGTAAGGTCGCTGAAAAAAGGACTAGCCCACACCCGTTGTGCCTTTGGCACATGTCTACATAATTACATTTACAAAATACTATATACTTTTATTTTAGTTCTGAGGACAGAGGACACGGGAGAATTTTTTGGGAAGGGCAAGAGTCAACAGCAAGACACAAACAGTGAGACTGAAGTTTACCTGGGACACTGGCTTACAATCCCATGGCCTCGTACCTCGGCCAGCGGGATGCAAGCCAGTGTCCCAGGTAAACTTCAGTCTCACTGTTTGTGTCTTGCTGTTGACTCTTGCCCTTCCCAAAAAATTCTCCCGTGTCTCTGTCCTATTTTCTGCTTTCCTATCTCCCGTTCTCCTGTTCTCCTGTTCTCCTGTTCTCCTGTTCTCCTGTTCTCCTGTTCTCCCATCCTCCCGTCCTCCTCCTCCCATCTCCCCATTCACCCCATTTCTCCATTCTCCACCTTCCCATTCCCATGTTTACCCATTGCCCATTTTTCCTATCTTTATATTTTCGCATTTTTATGTATACAGAATTACAGTACATATATACATCATTGTTGTTTTCACATTTTTCTATTTGCTTAGTGTTCCTCCCCTTGTTGTGGCTCAATTTTTACATATAACCAATTTTGGACAGTGAGGTCGTATAGTAAGGGAGAACGGTTTTTTGAAATTGAAACTCCGATTGACAGAACCATGCGAAATTTCTAAATCGAGGTTTTAGTGAGGTAAGCGCAAACCATGTGGCCTTTGGCGAAATAAGCGGCGTTGGCGAGATACGCGTCTCCCACACACAGCCACAAAACCAGTCTCCCTTTCTTCTTAGATCCCATGTGGTTCTGTCAAGCGGAGTTTGAATTTGAAAAAACCGTTGTCCCTTACTATACGAGCTCACTGTCCAAACGTGGGAATTTGTAAAAATTGAGCCACAATGGGATTGGCAAGTGCTCACTGGCCCTCCATTTTGCACAACAACAATGAATTTTATATGTACTGTAACTGTGAATACATAATAAATAGTAAAAATTGAAGGACAACAAGGGATTTTGGGATTTTTGTGGGGAAAAGAGAAAAGAGAACACCAAGCAAGTAGAAAAATGTGAAAATGCAAAATTGCGAAAATATAAAGATGGGAAAATTTGGCAATGGGTAAACAGAGGAATGGGAAGATGGAGAATGGAGAAATGGGGTGAATAGGAAGATGGGAGGATGGGAGGACAAGAGGAGGACAAGAGGACACAATGGGAGGATGAGAGGGCTACAGGAGGACAAGAGGATGGGAGGACAAGAGGAGGACAGGACAATGGGACATGGGACAATGGGACACGGGAGAACAGGACAACAGGACACAGGACATGGGACAATGGGACATGGGACATGGGACATGGGACATGGGACACGGGAGAATGGGAGAACAGGACATGGGACATGGGACACAGGACAATGGGACACGGGAGAACAGGACAATGGGACACGGGACAACGAGACACGGGACATGGGACAATGGGACAACAGGACACAGGACAACAAGACATGGGACAATGGGACATGGGACAAGATAATTGGGAGGAAGTGTATGAGTCAATAGCATGACACAAACAGTTTGACTGAAGGTTACCTGGGACACTGGCTTGCATCCCGCTGGCCGAGGCATGAGGCCACGGGATCGCAAGCCAGTGTCCCAGGTAACCTTCAGTCAAACTGTTTGTGCAACATCCCATAACTAAAACAAAACTATATAATATTTTTAAAATGTAAGATGTAAGAATTTATTTATTTCACACAAGTAAGTAATATGTAGACACAGTGAGACAAGGCACCGAAGGTGCCTCCAGCAGAGCACGAAGTGCTCTGCTTGCTTCCTGTGCCGAAGGCACAACGGGCTTGGGCTAGTCTATAAAGTAAGGGAGAATGGTATGGGGGAAACCGTGAGAGATGTGTATTCCGCGTATTTCGGCAGTTTTGGTTGCGTCGCTTGCATCGGTTGTTTGAATCCCTTTTCCCTTGGAGCGCTGAAAAAGGGAATGCCATGTGGTTCTGTCAAGCGGAGTTTGAATTTTGCGCAAACCTTTGTCCGTTAGTATGAAAGGGTTGACTGATTTGGCAGGTGGCTCCAACAACAATGATGTATATGTACTGTAATTGTGTATACATAAAAATATAGCCACAACAAGGGATTTTGGGATAGAAAAAGAACACCAAGCAAATAGAAAAATATGAAAAATGCGAAAATGTGAAAGTGTGAAAATGCAAAAATATAAAGATGGGAAAAATGGGCAATGAGTAAACATGGGAATGGGAAGATGAAAAATGGAGAAATGGGGTGAATGGGGAGATGAGAGGATAGGAGGACAATAGGAGGACAACAGAAGGATGGGAGAACAATGGGAGGACAATGGGAGGATGGGAGAATGGGAGAATGGGATGACAGGAGGATGGGAAGACAGGAGGACAGGAGGACAATGGGAGGACAATGGGAGGATGGGACATGGGACACGGGAAACAGGACACAGGAAACAGGACACGGGACACGGGACACGGGACACGGGACACGGGACACGGGACACGGGACACGGGACACAGGACACGGGACACAGGACACGGGACACAGGACACAGGACACAGGACACAGGACACAGGACACAGGACACAGGACACAGGACACAGGACACAGGACAACAGGACACAGGACAACAGGACAACAGGACAGTGGGACACAGAACCATGGGACATGGGAAATAGGAAATCAGATAATTGGGAGGAAGTGTATGAGTCAATAGCATGACACAAACAGTTTGACTAAAGGTTACCTGGGACACTGGCATGCATCCCGCTGGCCGAGGCACGAGGCCACGGGATCGCAAGCCAGTGTCCCAGGTAACCTTCAGTCAAACTGTTTGTGCAACATCCCATAATAACTAAAACAAAACTATATAATGTAAGAAATTATTGATTCATTATAATTAAATAATATGTAGACACAGTGAGACAAGGCACCGAAGGTGCCTCCAGCAGAGCATGAAGTGCTCTGCTTGCTTCCTGTGCCGAAGGCACAACGGGCTTGGGCTAGTCACCATTAGGTAAAAAGCTCAGCAGACAAGATCACATACTATCTGAGAACGGCATCACACCACCATCGTTCAGTGAACAGCTCATAAGACGAGATCACGCACCACCTGAGAGCGGGACATCGCCGTGACGCCGTCAGCCTGATCAGATAAGCAACTCAAGACATGTAATTACTGACTCTCTGAGAGCAGAATATCACCACGGAACCATCAGCGGGTTGGCAGCTGAAAAGGTAAGATCACGCACCCTCTGGGAGCGAGACATTGTCATCGCAATATTAGTGCCAGTAATGCAGATCAAAACACGCGATCACGCACAGGCTGAGAGTGGAACATCACCGTGGCACCATTAGCATCAGATAAGCAATTAAAAGATGAGATCACGCACAGGCTGAGAGCGGAACATCGCCGTGGCACCATTAGCATCGGATAAGCAATTAAAAGATGAGATCACACACAGGCTGAGAGCGGGACATCGCCGTGACGCCGTCAGCCTGATCAGATAAGCAACTCAAGGCATGTAATTACTGACTCTCTGAGAGCGGAACATCACCACAGAACCATCAGCAGGTTGGCAGCTGAAAAGGCAAGATCACGCACAAGCTGAGAGCGGATCATCGCCGTGGCACCATAAGCATCGGATAAGCAATTAAAAGATGAGATCACACACAGGCTGAGAGCGGGAATCACCGTGGCACCATCAACATCAGATGTTCAGCGCAGAAGAAGAAATCACGCACTTGCTGAGAGCGGGACATCGTTGAATGTTCAGCTTAAGATTGCCCGTGAAGTTTTATGATAACGTACAGTTTGCTGGACATGAAAGTTACGAATAAGGTGCATTTCTGTGTCAGTCATCTCATTGGTATCCGTGTCAGAGGATCCAGTGCTCTGCTCCGCACTGCTCCGTATGCGGGAGATCTGAAACCGTCATTTGCATTGTTGACTTCTGGTTGTTAGACACGGTCAGGACCCAGAAGAGACAGGTATTCACCAATTAATTGAACAACCAGCCTCCCGTTTAAGTGAATACACGATAGACTCCACGGTGTCCACGCCAAGCTGATTCATAGTGCCACAGAAATGACATTTGTATGAAATTCTCCAGAATGGTGCCTCCTGTTTGATGATGACCCTCATGACAATCTTCGTGCCTGGTTCGATTCCTGACCATGCATGGCTTGTCAGTCGGGTCACTCGCGTGCCCTCATCAATGCACAAATCATACTGGCCTGATTTCATATACCGTCTCTGAACTCGAGCTTCAATCGAGTCGCACTTAAACAGAACTTGGAGCATCTCATTGAGTTGCTAAAGAGGATTTGATCAGTGAGTTTGGAACCCTGAGACGGATTTTACACTAGCGAGACGGACCTGAAATGAGGTGCAGAAGTCCACTGATATTGCATGCTCGTAGCCTGTTGCGTCTATCAGTGTCATACAACCAAGTGCGATAGTCAATTGCGTTGTGTTCGGTCTAGCAGAGGACCGTCTGGTGACCGGCCTCTGGTGATTGGAGTCCTGCCCGTCGTGCATGGCATTTTGACTTTGTTGCATTTGGAACAACCACTGATCAAGCGTAGTAGTGAGTAAATGCAAGCGATCTTTAGAGAATAGAACACAACCAGACACTCCAAGAGATAACGGTCGATGGCAATGGAACATCCGGTGATGACTTGTGTGACAGATGTGTACGTGAGACGATGTTTATGCAACCTTGTTAGTTGAGTTGATGTATCTTGCAGCATCCTGAGTGCAACTCCATGTCGGGTAAATTCAAGCACGCATCAACACGGAGCATACCTAACTATGGAATCCCTCCGGGATTGTTCAAGAGGATCTAGGACAGGTGGGGCGTTACACAAATGGCCGCTTAGTCGATAAAGTCGTAATTTGAGGGCATCTATGTCCGCTTTATTCTGACTACGTTTCTGTGATAACCTTGAATACCAAGAATCATTCTCACAATCACAAGCCCTCACATCAATAATTTGAAGGATTGACAATAATCCACCAATAGCCAATCACATGGGAGCACCCACAAGTGGGATTGAACTTGCGATGCCCTGTATCAAGGGTAAAGCTAACTGAGCCATATCGGAAGCTTCGCGGGTAAGGGATACACTCCAGGAGTATCCGGTGGAAGAAACACTGGTGGAGACTTCGAGATCTGGTTCTCTGCTCGCAGAAACAGGCTGCACTAACGATGAATTCAAAGGGAGCTCTGGTGATGGAAGGAGAAATACACTAGGGATGCCTGCGGGGATGGCAGCATCTTGTTTGCATCCGCTCTTTGTGGACCACCTCGAATGAACTGTGATAACCTTGCCCAAATCCTCGAGCCACTGAAAGGGCATTTTGATAAGATGGCAAGGTCAGACGATAGGTGAGAGTGAGTGTCGGTGGGGAAGTGAAGAAGGAAGGTGGTACTTAATTGAGCTGTGCACGGCTATGCACAAGCCTTGTGTTCATGATGAATGTAGAAGTTCTATTGTTTCTGGAACGAAAATCATTCTCAGCCACACCAAACTATCCATTGCCAACCAGGCCCATCACTATCCATGATGGATCACTTTTTGTGCCAAAAGTCATTGTATTCTAATTTGTTATGAATTATTATGCATTATGCATTATGAGCGTTTCTGCTGTAGTAGGTATAGGTATCCGAGTCGATAACGGCTGGATTTATTGCTGTTTGTGAAAATCGACATTTTGCTCTGTAACAGCTTTTGTTGCCTTTGTATGACATTGACACTGCCGAAATATCAAAATTGGAGACTCAGACAAGCCTACTTTTTATATGTATTTCCAGTCCTATGAAGAGTTCTCCAGATCGTCGAAAGAGAAGGATTGACATTTGACGTGTACCGCACACCCTCCTGCAATTCATCCAGGTATGTATCACGGTGGCGAGTCACGCAGGCATGAAAGTACTGAGCCACGATAAGAATAATCCCGATCTCCTTATACAAATACTTACATTGACATCGTCTATTTGTATTCTTCGTGGCCGATCAACTCTTTTGTGCTTGTTGTAAGCTTGACCGGTTTTCTTGTAGTAGCAATGAACGATCCACTGGATTGTATGCTTGCTGGTGCCAGTATATCCTGCGATCTCCGAGATTTCGAGGAGTGGAAACATTCGGACGATTGCCTTGCAAAGATCTCAGAAAGTTTTCAGCCCTTTATGGTGTGCTTGGTCAGTGTTATCATTGGTGAAGGGTATTGCAGGGTAAGTTAGTTAGACGGAACAGCAGGCATTGGTGTTAGAGTCTGAATGATCCGAGGGATCAGTGACGAAGAAAACTGAACGATCCGAGATAGTAGAAGAGAAAGAGTGATAAGTCCAAGCCCAAGCCAAAAGGGACTTTGACGAGCGACACACTGACATCGGCTCGTGTCCTACAATATGTTTTCCTTTTCCATTCTGATATATTCCGTTTCTATACAACTTACTATATAAACGCCAGCAGTAGCACGAACGCATCTCAGCTTCTTTCAAGAGACTGAGATGTGAGTTATTAGTATCGTTATATCAATTAGAAAACTAAACTGACGAGTCATTAGTATACTTGTTTTTATTAGGTACATAGCTTGTTATACCGAGCTTCTTTCAAGAGACTGAGATTATACTTGTTTTTATTAGCGTGCGGTCAAGCTCCCACTCGTTATAACTCACCATAGGTTATGAGCCCTGTCTCGACCATGGATACTTCGCTCCCCAGCTCCAACACAACCCTGCTTAACATCCCGAAGCTTGCTGAAGATGGCTCAAACTGGATAACCTACAAGGAACGGACGTTAACAGCCATAGGGGCAAGAGGTCTGATGTGGTATACCGACGGTCAAGCAAGTTAACCTAAACCCTTCGCGATTCACCCGGATACGAAGGCCATCGTGAAGCCAGATGGGACGACCCCAATGCAGGCGGACTACGACGATCTTGATAAGAGAATTGACGAGTACCACCAGAAGAACTCACTGGTAAAACAGCAAATATTCAGCACCATCACCGATCGGCTGCTGTTATGCGTCCAGAAGCTAAGAGATGCATCCAAGATCTGGGAAGAAATATGTCAGATCCATGAGGGCAAGACGGAGCTTGTGCAAATAGACTTACGACGTCGAATGCAGGAGACCAAGTGTGACGAGGGAGGAGATGTTAGATCCCACTTTGCCGACCTCATGAGGCTCCGCGAATTGCTTGCGGGCATGGGCGTAGCGATAGCTGATACCGATTTCCATGCCATTATCCTCGGCTCTCTCCCTGAATCATACCGCCCACTCCTATCCTCCATCACTGCAGCCGCAAAGATCACAAAAACCCCTGTCACCTCCTACGAGTTAGTCACCATTATAACCGAAGAGTACGAACATCGGCAACTCACCAATCAACATCCCAGCAAGAAGGGAGCTAGCGCTGCCCTCGCTGCGAAGGAGACGAGAGGAAAAGGGCATGCCTCACCTTCCTCCACCAATAAGACAAACCCCAATGTCACCTGTTTTAACTGCAACCACAAGGGTCACTATAAAACGGACTGTTGGAGGCCTGGAGGGGGAAAAGAGGGTCAAGGCCCCAACCAGCAGAGGAAGAGAGGGGAGAAACAACCTAAGCAGGCGGCGAATTCAGCGGCAGAAACCGAGCCGCAGGACCAATACGCCTTTGTCACCTCAGACTTGGCAAGTGTAGCGAGGGATTTGGGCCTACCCATTGAGAAGAGAGGAGTGATCGTGGACTCGGGTGCAACGTCGCATTTCTGCCCAGATCGATCAAAGTTTAACAACTTCGTTAGCATTGCTCCCCAAGACGTCCATACTGCGGACAGTTCAACTCTTAGCGCGATAGGTCGAGGAGACGTCGAAATCAACCTGCCACTTGGCAATAGATGTACCACGGTAACACTAAAGAATGCCCTATATGCACCCACCATGGCCTTCACCCTCATTTCGACCAATCACATCACAGCAGGTGGCCTAGCCATCCTATTCGAGGGCCGCATGTGCAAGATCCTATCGAAGGGACCCTCCCGTCGCGTCATTGCTGAAATCCCTCAGGTCAAGGGGCTATATAGCATCATTGCCAGCCGTCAGAAGCATCATGCGAACATTGCAATGACCAAGCTTACCGTTAATGAGGCCCATCGCATGCTAGGTCATGTATCCCAGACTGCCGTCCTAGACGCGGTCAAGAAGGGATTGATCACAGGGGTAGAACTCAATAGTAGCTCTAAACCCGAATTCTGCGATGTTTGTGTCAAAGCGAAGTCAGTTCACAAGCCTTTCCCGGATGAAAGTAGCAACCGTGCACTCACCTATGGCGAATTGGTGCACACGGATCTGTGGGGACCAGCGCAAATGACAAGTCTAGGTGGTTGCCTGTACTACATTAGCTTTACCGACGACTACAGCCGCCAAATGAAGCTTCAGTTCTTAAAACTCAAGAGTGAAGCTCTCACCGCCTTCAAAGCCTATGAAGCGTGGCTAGCGCGTCAATTGCCTGGAGTCCGCCTAGCGAAAGTCCGTTCGGATCGAGAGGGAGAGTATCTGAGCGCTGAGTTCAACGAGTACTTGCGTCAGCAAGGGATCAAGCGCCAATTAACGGTACACGACTCACCCCAACAAAACAGTGTTGCAGAACGCCTCAATCGAACGCTTGTCGAGCACGCCTGTGCGATACTCATCGCCAAGGATCTGCTGAAGTACCTGTGGGCAGAAGCGATCAGCTACACAACCTGGCTAAAGAACTGACTCCCTTCCTGCGCAACCCCCGGTACTACTCCCTACGAGATCATTCGTCATGCGAAGCCGAACCTGGCCCAAGCGCACGAGTTCGGGACGAAGGTATATGTCCATCTACTGGAGGCGGGGAAGTTAGAGGCAAGGGCGGAAGAAGCGATTTTTGTTGGAGTCGACGCAGAGAGCAAGGGATATAGAGTTTACTGGCCAACAAAGCATCGAGTCTCAGTGGAGCGGAACATTACTTTTGCGCCCATAGAGGTCGTAGTGGCCGACGATGTACTGGACGAGGGGGAGCCAAACGGCTCTACCGCCACCAGCGATCCCAGCAACGCACCTAGCGTCCAGACCATCCCCCAACCTCCCACTACTCCACCCAGACCAACCATCAAACACTCTATCACACCACCGCCAGTGCCACGCGTCACGCGAAGTAGACCACTTCCTGGCTACTATGCAAGACTACAAGAAGGGGAAACGGTGTCAGTCGCAATTGAGTCCCTACTGGAGGCATCAGAGCTAGACCTACTTGATGAAGACTCCCATATCCATCTTGCTTTGGCCGCCACAGAACCAGAACCAACCCTACAACAAGCCTTGAACCGACCTGATGGAGTTGAGTGGCAGGAAGCGCTAGATTACGAGATAAGTCAACTAGAGAAACTCGGGACTTGGGACATCGTAGATGCACCTCACAGCGCTAACCTCATACCGTGTCACTTCGTCTTGGCTACCAAATGCGGTCCCGATGGTGAGAAGTTGAAACTTCGGGCCCGTCTCGTCACGAACGGTCAAAGGCAACAGTACGGAGTCGATTACTTCAACACGTTCGCACCCACCACCAATATGAGCACCATACGAACTGTTCTAACCATGGCCGCACAGCGAGACTGGGAGATACACCAGGTGGATATCAAAAGTGCGTACCTTTATGCGAGTATCCAGGAGGAGATATACATGAGGGCGCCACCCGGCTATCTGAAGGATGATCAACAAGGAAAGGTGTTGAAGTTGCGGAGAAGCTTACCTGGACTGAAGCAAGCGGGCTTCGAGTGGGCCGAAGAGCTAGCGAGCGTCTTCGCAAAACTGGGGTTCATGCATTCCAGGGTAGATCAGGCTGTCTATTTCAAACGCACCAAAGAGGAGCACATCATCATCACCATATCAGTCGATGATATGGCCGTCACCGCCAACCACATCTCCCATATCAACCGCTTCAAAGCACAGCTGCTCAAATACTTTGAGATTTCAGACCTGGGCGAACTCAACTGGCTCCTAGGATTGAAGGTAATGAGAGATTGTGAAGCACGCACCTTGACCCTCTCCCAGAAGGCATACGTGGATACCATAGTCGAACGGTTTTACCTGGGCGACGCGAAGAATGCGCTAACGCCAATGGAACCTGGTACCACCCTGTCCATAGATCAATCCCCCGGTACAGCTACAGAACTGCAGGCGATGCGCGACGTACCTTACCAGCGGGCCATAGGCTCACTCATGTACGCGGCCACGAGCACGTGACCTGATATCGTGTTCGCTGTAGCCACCCTTTCCCAGTTCATGCGCAACCTGGGCAGAACCCACTGGGAGGCCAGTAAGCGTGCTTTACGGTATCTAAAAGGTACAGCCGACTTCAAGCTCACCCTTGGTTCCACAGATGGAGGCATTGAAGCGTTCGTCGACGCTGACTGGGCATCGCAACCGCACAGACACTTGATGTCTGGGTACATTGTCATGCTTAACGGAGGTCCCATAGCATGGAGTGCCAGGAAGCAACCGCTGATCGCGTTATCTACAGCTGAGGCTGAGTATATCGCGCTGATGAGCATTGCGAGAGAGGTACTTTACCTGCAGTTGCTCATCAGTGAACTCTATGAACCTACCCCACTCCCCACACCCATCTTCTGCGACAACCAAGCGGCAATCGCACTTGCATCAAACGGAAAGTTCCAATCGCGAACGAAACACATCGACCTCCGCTATCACTTCATCCGTTCTCACGTTAAGAACGGAACGTTCCAGCTATTCTATTGTCCGACCAACGATAACATTGCCGATGCATTCACGAAGCCACTTCCTCGGCCGCGCCTGCAAAAGCTTCAAGGCCAAATGTCCCTGGCTTGCGCTCGAGGGGGAGTGTTAGAGTCCAAACAATCCGAGGGATCAGTGACGAAGAAAACCGAACGATCCGAGATAGTAGAAGAGAAAGAGTGATAAGTCCGAGCCCAAGCCAAAAGGGACTTTGACGAGCGACGCACTGACATCGGCTCGTGTCCTACAATATGTTTTCCTTTTCCGTTCTGATATATTCCGTTTCTATACAACTTACTATATAAACGCCAGCAGTAGCACGAACGCATCTCAGCTTCTTTCAAGAGACTGAGATGTGAGTTATTAGTATCATTATATCAATTAGAAAACTAAACTGACGAGTCATTAGTATACTTGTTTTTATTAGGTACATAGCTTGTTATACCGAGCTTCTTTCAAGAGACTGAGATTATACTTGTTTTTATTAGCGTGCGGTCAAGCTCCCACTCGTTATAACTCACCATAATTGGTGCAGCCACTAACATCGTGACTCATGACAGCCAGCCGATGCGGCCAGAATGATTGGTCCGGTGGATATTTACTGCGATCGCCACTATCTCAAACCTGAAATGAGAAGCTACAGTAGAAAGAAGACGACTATGACGCGCCTGTTTCGTCGGTAGGTCCGGGTTCCTAAGCCCAACTAAAGTTCTTTCAACTGTACACATCATGCCGTAAAACCCATCGGTGTTTATTAAATCCCACAGTGCAATACTTGACCTTCTTCTGTTCCAACTTCGGCGACTTGACTATGATAACACTATCATGTGCCAGGTGTACGAGAGAGATCAGACAAAGAACTCACCGCGGATTTCCAGCAATATTATTGTATCACGGGAGGGTTAGGTGCACTGCGGTTTGGTGATGCTACCTTCGTACAACCTTGTCTATGGGACATCAAAATCGAATTGCCGGTCGAAGTGATCGACATTGAAGTCCAAGACAATGCACGTCATCACAGCGGGCGTTGTCAGAAGCATTCTCTATCTAGGACGGAGGTCAGTCGCATATCACCGTGAGTCGTGACTGGCAGCGAATCAAACATACTTACTAAGCTTCTTAGTATGCGCAGCTTGCGCCTTCCAGTGACCGATCCGCGTTGGAGCCGGGTCTGTCTTATGGCATGCACTGACAAGTCTGAGCGCTGGGCGCTGAGCACTCTGCCCGCTCCCAGGCGGACTTCGAAAACACTGGCAAGACCAACACAAGACTGAACTTCGTCCTATATTCAACGTTACAACTCCTGTGACCGCACTTTTTATCAAGTTTTAAAGGGTAGGAGCCCACAATTATCATGATGGTGAGCATATTTCGGGTGATTTTTTTCAATTGATTCACTGACTTCAGGCGACCTGGATTCAGGACGCATCGCAGAGTCAGCAAAGTGCCGTATCAGCGTTTTCGACTGCTATGATTGCGCGCAGCTCTTCACTGTTCTTACATTCAGGCCCAAAGCCTCGCGCTCCAGCCACTGACCTCCCTACCGAGCTTCTTTTGAGGATCTTCCGTCTCGTATACGTGGAGAACAGAGCCATGCAACTAGAATCATCCCATTCTAACCGCTTGTGCGAAGACTGGACGCACGAAGAACCGCTCTCCCCTACTTTGTTTCCATTTGCTGTCGCTGCAGTTTGTTCTCGCTGGTGTGATGTCACGGCAATTGTGCCCGAGTTTTGGACTCGGATGACGGTTACGGTAGACAAAAATCCTACCGATATCTCTGCAATCCGAGCGTGTTTGCGGTGGTCTTGTTCGCTTCCGCTGGACATCATGGTGGCGCGCAACATTATTGACCATGACACCCCTGATGAGGTCGAGTGTCAGCGCGCCCAGAACATCCGAGCGTTGCTACGACCTCACTGGGGCCGCATCCGTCGTCTACACATCTCGGTGTTGCACAGCGATACACTTCCTTTCTTGTTCACCGATCTTGACGGGCCTGCCAACTTATTGCAGAGCCTCAAGCTGGCGAGCGCCATCGACGATGGAGATTCCAAGCGAAAACAGCCTTCTCATAGACCCCTAGTTGCGCCTGTATTAGACACGCTGGACGTCAGCGGTCGCTGCTTCCAGGATGGCTTACTACAAAAACCGGTTCAAATCGCTTGTATGATAAGAATCACATCTGTATCCATCTCCCGTTACCGTCCTTTCAGCGCAGGCGCACAGGGGCTCTCGTTGTGGCAGACGCTCCGAACCCTTAGCGAGCTCCCCATGCTCGACGACCTCAGTCTCTGTGACGTTCACTTTGATATATACTCGGGCGTTGTGACCGGGCCTGCGTTTTCGCTCGGCCGTTTACACACTCTCGCATTGGAGAAACTGGACAACAGTGATGTTCTCAAACTTGTTTTTGCAGTCCTCAGAGCAGCCCACCTCTCGTCCACAATAATCACAGACTGTAAAGTCAACACCCTCACTCGCATCTGCTACACCGACTACCTTACGTTCGAGAACATGGACGCATCCAAAAACTTCGTCAACGTGCTCCGTCATTGGTCTGGGAGCAGTCTCACCCTTGACAATTGTGCTTGCGTTGACGACGCATATTTCGACGCCATGACTGGGCCTTTCGAGAGCAACTCGGAGGAGGAGCATTATATGGCGCCCAGGATGACGAAGTTGCGAGTGAAGAATTGCAATCGCTTCACTACTCACGCATTGAGGGGATTGATCCAAGCGCGGGTACGTGCTGCGAGCGCCCCGCAATGGGGTTTCTTGAATCCGCTGGCAACCGACTCCGACGAAGAAGATATGCTCACGATGAACACGAAAGCGATAAACTGGCTGGATGTCAGAGGTCGTGGGCCTGTGATCACGGAGGTAGATGCAGCGTGGTTGTCGGGGCGCGTCGGTATGTTTAGCTGGGATGCTTTGCAATCAGATGGGAAGAGGTATGTGGTGGAGTATTAATCGAAGAAGGTGGTGGTCAAGTAGCATTTCTCGTCTTTAACAATACATGATGCCGAGGTGCAAGTTCACTCTTTCAAGTTGCTAGCGTGTCTCATTATCATCCAAGTAAATCATATCCCCCGTCCATAACAGTGTAGCACCTTTTGATTCGCAGTTAAAAGCTGATCTTGCCCGTTGGGCCTTCAAATCGCAATAGGGAAAACCAGACATTCTCACTCCTATCACTAGGCATAGGCCGAGCGGCCTGCAGGAATATTGTTTACTATAAATATCGTTGGTATTTGAAGCCCCAAGCCTGATCATTGTTGATGAGTTGGGATAGCTAGAGTAAGGTGGTTGTACAGGTTACGATCACTGAGATTGGGATACTAAGTGGTGAACTCACCCATTTTAACGGCGCTGTCACCAAAACACTGCGGCCAAGACGACATCTCGGCGATTTTTGCTCTGAAGACGAGCGAGTAAATTTATGCGCAGATGAAGAGATGGGGAGCAAGGTAAACGCTATTGGAGAAAAACAAGAGGAAACGTGAAGAAGGACGCTCGATCTCATCGATAAAGATCGGTTGACGCGTCAAGTTTCGTGCTGTACTTCTCAGGGAAAATAAGATTTCCGTATCCATCTCGGACGTTCGGGGCGACGATTTTGGTGTCTTGAAGTTTGAACTGGGAGATCAAACCCATGTAGCGCTAGTCTCCCGTAGTCAGACCTTGATAGAATGAAGACAGTCGTTCCTTCTATTTCGCATAGCTCTGAATCTGGTAGCGTTGCAGCTGGTAATGTCGCGCTCCTTCCGATTCCCAAACATTATGGAGAGCTCAGGCTTGAACCTGGGTTGTGTGAAATCATGTAAGTATGAGAAATTTCTTGCGAGAAATTTAGCTTGCGATGACTTGCTTCGAGGGTGCCTGCGGCGAACACATCAATGAGTAGTACAAGTCTGGTAGGCGATCCTATAGATGCCACGTATGATCAATACATCCCCGAGTTGTTTTGCGATTGTGTTAGAATTCCTTAAGTATGCTAGACTGGTTGGGCTTTATAGACATAGGATTGATAAGTTTGTCCTAGATACATTCATGGCATAGGTATACTAGAATCATTCGTAAGAGATCGTGACGGTATGATGGTGCCTGCGTATGTTACTGTACATATTGTGAGGTGCGATGAATGACGGTATAAGATCCGGATACGACAGAACAAGATTACATGACATATAAAGTAATCCAAACCATAATGATAATATGCTGTAGTCCGAGCGACGAGGACACGGAAGTCCGTCAACTGTATTCTATTATTGCGGAGCGAACGACAGGTTGCACCACTCCTCATAAGGGATGTCGAAGGCCGACACATCGAATGAGGGATTAGCAAGCGCAAGGTCATCATTTACGACAAGCCCTGACGGCAGTGCAACAGAGTCAGACATGACCGGGGAGCCAAAGAGATCATCTTCCTCTACTGAGGTGGTAAAGAAATCTTGCGCTGTAACCGGTGGGAGAGGCGCTGCGGAGGGTTGCTGAGGCACAGAGCGCCCATCACTACATTGCGTAGCGGGCAGAAACCATGTGTTCTGAGCGGCGGTCACCGGCATGGGCGGATTTTGATGTGGCACCGAGATCGTGGCAGGAGCTGATACTTGGACAGTAAACGCCTCTTCGGGAACGGCGACGGGGGGTGGAGGCGCGAAGGTGTTCGTGACCGATGACGTAGATGCATCGTGAGGTGATTGAGAGACCTCCTGAGATTTCTTCTGGTTCAGTTCACACTGCCCGGAATCCTGATGACGATTCAGAGAATCGGAACGACTAAAACTAGTAAGAATCAACGACTCAGTATCATAGTCGCATTTGAAAGCAGCGAGATACTCACAGTTGGCCACAGTCCAGGCACGGCAACCGAGCACTCTCTTCTGGCTTATGCGTTCTGGTAGTTTTATGATTACGCACGCTGCTTTCCTGCATTTGGATACCATTGCACGAAGTAAGGAGGCATTGGAAGATGGTTTTGCCGTCCTTGGTGCCGACGTTTTTCTGATAAACAATTGTTAGCGGGTGGCGGGAACCAAAGAAATAAAATTGACTGACAAAATCAGGGTCCTGATCGACGGGAATGTGACGGATTCTCTTCCGCTTCTTGGTCACGCCCCCACTATCATTGGCCGCCCTGCGTTTCCTGCGCCGCACCGAACTCCTCCCAGAGGAGCCTACAGATGGAAGCTGCTGCATAAATCCCTGATTGTAATGGTCGACATGTTGGTAGTAACCGGTTCCTTGCATTTGTGGTTGCATGGAGGAGGCAGTAGGGCAGGTGTCTGACATCTGCGCATCGGTCCCATAGACGTGCTGTGCGGTCGCGACGATGAAGTCAAGTTGTTCGGCCGTATAGACCTGAAGGAGTCTATCACGGTCTGAAGGCGGTTGCGGTTGCGTGGCTGGAGCTGGGGTTGCAGCTGCAGCAGCCTGTGCCTGCGGAGGGGACACCGAGACTGGAGGGCTCACAGCTACCGCAGGAGCAAGACCAGCTTGCATCGAAGGAAGGTAAGTGTTCATAGCCTGAGGTGGCGGTGCATACCCAGCATAAGCGTGAGGAGGGACGGGGTAGTGATATGGTTGAGGGGTTGCGAGATATTGCTGAGGGGGATAGGCGGCAGGTGGATGAGGGGCATACCCAGGCATCATCGTCTGTTGTCCATATATTACCCCACCGGTATTGAACGCGGGCGCGTTGGGAGCCAGCCTAGGTGTAACGTACCGCGGACTATACATATCGGGAGGGTAAGAGCCGATAAAAGGCTGGGGCTGGAGCTGGGGTTGGGCCTCAGGCTCGGGCTGAAGCTCATGCTGGGGGTGGGCGTAGACTTGAGCTTGTTGCTCCGTACGACGCTCCGCATCGTGGTAAGTAATAGTACTAGACTTTACGCCGTCATATTCGGGAGTGGTCCCAGGAGTTGTACCCGTCGAGTTCGGCGGGAAAAATGCATATGGAGCGAAGGGAGAATTGTTCTGCGAGGATGAAGCCGAGGAGTAGGGGCTAACGGAAGTATCGAGGTGGGAGATGGTGTTTGGGCCCATCATATCGATGTTTTGGTCCATGAGAAAATCAAAGAGTAATGTGTCGATAGCTTCAGGTCCTAGCCCGTGGTAGAAGATAACAAGTGGAAGAAGAAGTGAGTATAGTTAGACAGTACCAGTCAGGATGAGAGAGAATACGATGGGTGATGAAGAGGAGGAGGACAACACAAGTGCCAGTATTTAACTGTTGGGACATCCGCTTCAAGTAAATAAAGGGGATGGCCCACCGTGCGGCGCGTCACTTCCTTATTCGCGCTGTGGTCCACAACTCGTTACCCAGGCAAAGCCAAACAGTGACCCAGCGGATGTCCACACAAAGGATGGCATCCACCATCCTTGCATACAAGTAGAGTTTCGGGTGAACAATAGTCAAAAACGCAGGCCACCAGGATATCCCACCGCAGGAATGTGAAGCGTTCACTTAGGCGTGTCGATCGTTGATTGTCGATCGTTGATTGTCGATCTTCAGAAGTTTCCTTCCTGGGAGAAGAGCAGTGCAAATTATTTTTGAACGCGACGGGTTGGATCTGAATTTAGAATGGGGGTACCGATACCTTCCTCCCTCGCTCATGTAATTTTCTTCGTGCACAGGGATCCGTCGCGTTTGCATTAGCATTGAGAATTGTATACCAGAAAATCTGATTGACAAAATCTATCAACACAAAACACATTAAACAGGAGATTGCATGCTTATTGATCCAAATAAAAAATATCATGTCCGACCACTAATGTGACACGCGGGAAAGGTACGTATCTCTCCAACGCGTCCAAGTCACGTCTCCGGTCGCCACGGGCCACACGAGTCCCCCCTTGGCAACACGTCGAACACCACTCTTCTCTGTCACAGAACAATCAGACATTGTACCTTTAACAAGCAGATACAACTTACTGCCACCAGATCAGAACACTCATTTCCACATTCACATTAAATTACGGCACTTAGATTTGCAAGCAACTCAGAGAAGGGTCTCTCCTGTACAACAAACAGATCACGAGCGCGATTAGTAAGTCACATTACGAGTAGTCGATGTGAACACCGTGGTGCACGTCTGGCGCTGTGTCCCAATCAAGAACAATAGCCAAACCGCGCAAACAGAAAACAACGTGATGGCAGATGAACAACTTACCCAAAGCAGAACGGACCAACGAGCACCCCACTGTGACGGTCTGCCGCACGCTCTCAGCATCTGCAAGCGTGGGGTTGACTTCCTGCATGTGGTGGAACGTTACATCAAGGTTCGTGCGAGTAGGGCCGAGGTAAGAGACGTACCATCAAGTCAAGCGCGACGAGTAACCCAGTCTCATAAATCGCCTCGCAGATGTAGTGTCCTTCGCGGAAGGTAAGGCCGCCGCGCACCTTCGGGATTTTGGTTAGTGTTGCTCGTTGACTTGGCATTTGATTTGACTTGGAATAAATTTCCTAGGAATACATTGTTTGCCCGCCGCGCGCTTGGGCATTCCCGCCACGAACGCCACGGATCAAAGCATCTGTATTTCCAAGACGCCCCCTTGAGATAGGGTATGCGCAATATAAAGCGTCTGCACAAGCCATCCCTTGTTTCTTTCCCGTTGTGACGCATTTTTTAAGCACCCGCATGGTCAAGACGCGTGGAGAATGATATGCACTTCCGTGCATGCTCTCACACCACAAATACACATCCCCAGCAAGGAAGGTCGGCAAGCACTAGGTCACCAAATTGACGCGGACCAGACGACTAACTGCATCCCACTCAAAGATACGTGCCAACGCACTGACTAGCAAAAATTAAAATTAAGATACTTACCGGCGTCCCCGTGCTAGGAGCAACACTCGGATCGAGCGCGTCAACATCAAAGCTCAGGTGAATAGGGCGGTCTCGTTGCGGGTTAACATGGTCGAGCGCCATTTCAACCACCTTGCCGATGCCATAGCTACGTCAAATACAATCAGCGTCTGCGCCTTTCCTCCACACCGAAACCGAAACTCACCGGTCAACCTCGTGCATACTGAACGCCTTGATGTTGTGTTGCTTCAATATCTCCTTCTCGCCTTGTTCCACGTCCCTTAAACCGATGTAAACGAGACGCTCGGCAGGGAGGTGGGAAACCCAGTCGAACTTGGCGAGGACGGAGTCTGGGGATGGCGCAGGGGGGTTGAGCTTGAGGAGGAAGGAAGAGGCATGCCGTGGATGTTTCCGCTGTCGGTGCTATGGATTGTGTTTATGTCGGCGTGGGCGTCTATCCAGATAACACACGCTTGGTCGTAGCAGTGCCAAAAAATGCAGACTAATGTAGCGCCCGAGAGGACCAGTCACCTCCTAGCCGATGAGCTGTTTCGGACCGTGTCCTGATGTAATACTACCGTACGTACACAAAGTAATACAATCCTGTTACAATGGTTATAGAACAACGTCAACCGTGAACTAGCATCTATGAGATCCAGAGGATCTACATCCTCTCTTTTGTCTATCAACCTTTCCCCAGGGTCACTTCACGGTCCATTGTCAAACAAACTACCGCAGCCCAAACACTACGCCACCCAAAGTCCAAAACCCGACGATAGTAAAACATCATGGATTCACATTATCGCACTCGAATTTGCGGCATGGATATCTTCGCATAAAGATACTGTACGACCGGAGCCCACCCAAAGTTCAAAAGGCGGTTCGAATCGGTGGGTTCACTATACCGCACTTGGGTTATGGAGAGATGCTTCGCAGGACCAAATCAAAGTTAGTACTAGTCTTCAATCTTGGCTCTAGACGAATTTGACTGGTTGTGGCGCAGCGAAGGTACTACGAGGTGTGGTTTGGTCATGGTCCACGCATATCTTTGAAAGTGACCACGTGTGTAGCTGAGCAAGAAACACCATCCTGACGTCTCTCAAGATCCAAGTTCTCCCGAAACTTTCAGGAAGGTTACAGAGGCTTATGCTGTGCTTGGAAACAAGAAGGCTCGGTGCGTTGGTTTTTTGAGACTCGGCGGCGATACTATGTAGTTCTCAACATCATCGTAGACGGAAATATGATCAATCTGAGCAGCTGCATTCCGCCCTCGTCACAGGATTGCTAGATGAATGGTCGGGGCGGCCATCCGCATCTTCACCGCGCCCACTTGATCCCACTTTCTGGGACCCAGTCAAGTTAGGCTCATCTACGTTTTACCGTCCGCCTCCTGGATACTGGACGGCGATGAACAGGATCAGGCGAGATAGGGAGAAGGAGAAGTCAAATGCTCAGGAAGTTCCATCTTCTCCCCAGACAGTCACGCCCTCTCACGACAGAACGGAAGGAAATGAGAAAAGCAATGAGAAAACCGAATCTAAAGAAACGTTCATCATCGTTGCTTCCCTCGTGTTTGTTGCGATCTGGGAAGGGCAGGAGTGGATACTTGGATGTACCAGGGCTTTCCTCACCCGACTGCAACAGAACTACGAGAGTGAAAGCAGCGCACCGCAGAGACACATGGAAGATACTATGTCGCAGGCTACTGATGCTTGATTATGGGTGGCTCACGAAGTATAATACCCGCTGAAGGACTCAGAAGGTGGAGTAGATCTGGTGACAGACATTGATGTAACTAATACTTGCGGAACAATTGCTGTAGCAATATGACATATTCCAACCACTGGCTACGACACATGTCTAGATAATGGATTTTTCATGCATGCGCGCTGCCCTAATGTGCTCCAGCAATTTGGGCTGTCACTAATGTAAGGCTGGTTGTGAGTTCGAAGGGGAAATGTAACAAGACGAAGTAGATAAGTGACGAGCGCAACGGCGAACGAGACGAGTAGAGTAAACGTATATGTCGAGGACTTTCTGCGATGGTTTTCGATCGAGCTTGGAGCGGGGAATCAGCGTCTAGGATTCTGCTATAGGTATGAGTGTACATGGGCGGTTTATATACGTTTTCGAGTACTTGGCTAGACCTGAATGAGAATACGAAGCATATGGAGAGGTGAAAATACTTCGGTGAAGCAAGGAGATCGTGGAGCGTGAGCACAAGGTGAGATAACGAAAGAAAGTGAAAAGGAGATGTAAAGGAATGTATCCGCGTGACTCGGATGCGAAGAGTGACGCTCTTCGCATCAGTGTGTCACATGGACGAGTTCGAACGCGTGGCGATTCGATCGTCTTCATTTTGAAGCGCGGTCGGGGCATAAAGGATACTAGCCCACACCCGTTGTGCCTTCGGCACATGTCTACATATTACATTTACAAAATACTATATACTTTTATTTTAGTTCTGAGGACAGAGGACACGGGAGAATTTTTTGGGAAGGGCAAGAGTCAACAGCAAGACACAAACAGTGAGACTGAAGTTTACCTGGGACACTGGCTTGCAATCCCGTGGCCTCGTACCTCGGCCAGCGGGATGCAAGCCAGTGTCCCAGGTAAACTTCAGTCTCACTGTTTGTGTCTTGCTGTTGACTCTTGCCCTTCCCAAAAAATTCTCCCGTGTCTCTGTCCTATTTTCTGCTTTCCTATCTCCCGTTCTCCCGTTCTCCCGTTCTCCTGTTCTCCCATTCTCCCATCCTCCCGTCCTCCTCCCATTTCTCCATTCTCCACCTTCCCATTCCCATGTTTACCCATTGCCCATTTTTCCTATCTTTATATTTTCGCATTTTTATGTATACAGAATTACAGTACATATATACATCATTGTTGTTTTCACATTTTTCTATTTGCTTGGTGTTCCTCCCCTTGTTGTGGCTTAACCAATTTTGGACAGTGAGGTCGTATAGTAAGGGAGAACGGTTTTTTGAAATTGAAACTCCGATTGACAGAACCACGCGAAATTTCTAAATCGAGGTTTTAGCAAGGTAAGCGCAAACCATGTGGCCTTTGGCGAAATAAGCGGCGTTGGCGAGATACGCGTCTCCCACACACAGCCACAAAACCAGTCTCCCTTTCTTCTTAGACGAGTCCAAGCCCGTTGTGCCTTCGGCACAGGAAGCAAGCAGAGCATTTCATGCTCTGCTGGAGGCACCAAAGGTGCCTTGCCTCACTGTGTCTACATATTATTTAATTTTGTGAAATAAATAAATTCTTACATCTTACATTTAAAAAATATTATATAGTTTTGTTTTAGCTATGGGATGTTGCACAAACAGTTTGACTGAAGGTTACCTGGGACACAGGCTTGCAATCCCGTGGCCTCGTGCCTCGGCCAGCGGGATGCAAGCCAGTGTCCCAGGTAACCTTCAGTCAAACTCTTTGTGTCATGCTATTGACTCATACACTTCCTCCCAATTATCTGATTTCCTATCTCCCATGTCCTGTGTCCCATGTCCCATGGTTCTGTGTCCCACTGTCCCACTGTCCTGTTGTCCTGTTGTCCTGTTGTTTGTCCTGTTGTCCCGTGTCCCGTTGTCCTGTTGTCCTGTTGTCCCATGTCCCGTTGTCCCGTGTCCCACTGTCCCATTGTCCCATGTCCCATTGTCCCATGTCCCGTGTCCCGTGTCCCGTGTCCCGTGTCCCATGTCCCATGTCCCATTGTCTGTCCTCCTGTCTTCCATCCTCCCATTGTCCTCCCATTGTCCTCCCATCCTCTTGTCCTCTCATCCTCCTATTGTGTCCTCTTGTCCTCCTCTTGTCCTCCCATTCTCCCATTGTTCTCCCATCCTTCTGTTGTCCTCCTATTTTCCTCCCATCCTCCCATCCTCCCTATTCACCCTATTTTTCCATTCTCCATCTTCCCATTCCCCTGTTTACCCATTGCCAATTTTTCCCATCTTTATATTTTCGCAATTTTGCATTTTCACATTTTTGCATTTTGCATTTTGCATTTTTCACATTTTTCTACTTGCTTGGTGTTCTCTTTTCTCTTTTCCCCACAAAAATCCCAAAATCCCTTGTTGTCCTTCAATTTTTACTATTTATTATGTATTCAGTTACAGTACATATAAAATTCATTGTTGTTGTGCAAAATGGAGGCCCAGTGAGCACTTGCCAATCCCATTGTGGCTCAATTTTTACAAATTCCCACGTTTGGACAGTGAGCTCGTATAGTAAGGGACAACGGTTTTTTCAAATTCAAACTCCACTTGACAGAACCACATGGGATCCTTTTTTCAGCGACCTTACCGACGCAACCGACACCATGTGCGCTACGCGGAATACGCGTTTCACACGGTTTCCCCCATACCGTTCTCCCTTACTTTATAGACGAGTCCAAGCCCGTTGTGCCTTCGGCACAGGAAGCAGACAGAGCACAAAGTGCTCTGCTGGAGGCACCTTTGGTGCCTTGCCTCAATGTGTCTACATATTATTTAATTATAACAAATCAATAATTTCTTACATTATATAGTTTTGTTTTAGTTATGGGATGTTGCACAAACAGTTTGACTGAAGGTTACCTGGGACACTGGCTTGCGATCCCGTGGCCTCGTGCCTCGGCCAGCGGGATGCAAGCCAGTGTCCCAGGTAACCTTCAGTCAAACTCTTTGTGTCATGCTATTGACTCATACACTTCCTCCCAATTATCTTGTCCCGTGTCCCATGTCCCATGTTCCGTGTCCTGTGTCCCGTGTCCCGTGTCCCGTGTCCCGTGTCCCGTGTCCCGTGTCCCGTGTCCCATGTCCCATCTCCTGTCTCCTGTCTCCTGTCTCCCGTCTCCCATCTCCCGTCTCCCGTCTCCCATCTCCCATCTCTCATTTCCCATCCTCCCACCACTCCAATAATGTCACATCACCCATTTCATACATCACTCCCATCCAATCAGAAATCAAATCATATTATAGGAACAACTCTAACACAAAAAACTATTCAGAAGGCTCCCAGCCAGGTGGAGGGCCCTCCCTGCGTAGCTCATCCAAATGCCGACGCTCCTCCCGACTTTTTCCCTTCTTCTGCTCAAAGAGGTGCTTTCGCCAAGCATCCACCACCCTGCGATGCTTTTGATGCTTACGTGCCTCCTCCAACTGAGAGCAGAAGGTATCCACATCCCTATCATCATTCTTGAGGTCTTGCTCATGTTGCTCTTCCCACCACATGATGTCCTTTGCCAACTTCACGTTATATCATCGGAGGTCATGGATTGTCTGATCCATAGCATTGCGATTCTCTTGCCAAGTGGTGACCTTAGCATACGGGTTGTTGAGTCGTCTCCGTTCAAGACGTGTGATGTGACTCTCGGACCAGCGGCGATGGAGTTCAGCAGACCAGTCAGTCACAGCTGGCGCTGACAACTCAGAAGGAGGGGGTACTGAAGGAGTTGTGGAGGTGGGAGGTGAGGCCAGCATGTTGACGGGCTGGCGATGACATTGCTGCAGGCGGGCAGCAAAACTTGCATCAAAGCCCTGCAGAAGCCTGGCATTCCAGTCGACAGTAGGTCTGGGCTCCTGCCTTGTAGCTACCATAAATACACAATCAGACAAAGAGAGAGAGAGAAAAACTCACCTCGTGACATGACCCAGCATGACCGGAGTGTCACGTGATAATGCGCCCGAGCCAGCATCAGGTGCTGAGGAAGCACTGGGAATAGCTGCTGTAAATTGTGTGATCAGACAAAAACAGACACCGAAAAACTCACATGGTGACGTGACCCGGTGTGACAGGGAGCTCCGCGTCACGTGACGCGGCCAAAAACGCGTCCGAGCCAGTATCAGGTGCTGGGGAAGTGCTGGAAATGGCCATGGTGAAGTGTTGAGGGCACTGAGAGGCAGCAGGATTTAATAGCTTATGGTGAGAGGTGATGGCAGGTGATCAGAAGCGACGGCAGGTGATTGGGAGCTGCTGGAATGGTAGAGCAGTGTTGTGTTGCGTCGCGTTGCGTCGCGTCTGGTGCAGTCGGTGCTGAAAAAAAAAAACCACGTGAGATTGCCAAATCAAGCGAAATGTACATATGACCCAATTTGGACGGTATAGTAACGGACGACGGTTTTCGGAAATTGAAACTCCGCTTGACAGAACCACATGGCATCGCTCTTTTCAGCGACCTTAGCGAAAAAACATGGCGTCCATGCGACGAAACGTGGCATCCATGTGTGGGTGGCTGCGTTCCCACACCCTTCTCCCTTGCTTTTTAGAGACGTTCCCACACCCTTCTCCCTTACTTTATAGACGAGTCCAAGCCCGTTGTGCCTTCGGCACAGGAAGCAAGCAGAGCATTTCATGCTCTGCTGGAGGCACCAAAGGTGCCTTGCCTCACTGTGTCTACATATTATTTAATTTTGTGAAATAAATAAATTCTTACATCTTACATTTAAAAAATATTATATAGTTTTGTTTTAGCTATGGGATGTTGCACAAACAGTTTGACTGAAGGTTACCTGGGACACAGGCTTGCAATCCCGTGGCCTCGTGCCTCGGCCAGCGGGATGCAAGCCAGTGTCCCAGGTAACCTTCAGTCAAACTCTTTGTGTCATGCTATTGACTCATACACTTCCTCCCAATTATCTGATTTCCTATCTCCCATGTCCTGTGTCCCATGTCCCATGGTTCTGTGTCCCACTGTCCCACTGTCCTGTTGTCCTGTTGTCCTGTTGTTTGTCCTG